GGCATTCACCTTGGCTCACTCTTGGGACTCACTTCTCCAGAAACCACAGCGCGGTGAAGGGCGTAGTCAGTCTGACGGATCTGATGGATCTGTCAGACTGGCTCGATCTGTCGGACTGGCTGATAAGAGACACGTCACACCATGTGCCATCTCTGACGAAGGCGGAAACATGTCAGGTAATGAAGCAGTACTAGATTCTTATCAGAACCTTTAACTGTTGACAATAGGGAGACAAGAGTAGAAATATAGGTCTTTCATGCAAACTTAACAATAATCATCATGATAATAATAATTTGCATTAAAACAAGAAAGTAAATTGCCACCCCAAAGACAAGCTGAAAAAACCCTCTGAATTTGTTTGGAGTCTTGTCCAAGATAAGGCTATTTCCAAGAGCTCTGCCTGATTTTTTTCCCCTTTAAAGCTTGTTCAGTCCACAGACAAGACCAGCCATAGTTAGCACAAGCAGTGTCTTAGCAATTGGACGCATTAGGCCCAGGTTCAAAATGAGTTAGTCGGCGATTTACCCATCTAGAGTGAAAATGATATTGATGACAAACATAAGCCTTTTCCGTCAACACTCTCGGATCGAAGAGCGAGTACCCATTTCCATTTAGATAATCCCCGTCTGTCACGGTGCACATTCCACCACATCACATAGATTTACTCGTGGCTCATTAGCATATGCCAGTCATTTCAAGAGCAACCGCTACAAAGCTCAGAGGAACTGAAGCGGACGGACTGGCCACCTGCATTTCCCAGCAGCAGAAAAACATGCAACCCAGGCATCAGAGCCACCAAAATAATTCTTTTTGGTCATCAGAGACTTCACCGAGCGCCTGATTCATTTCTTCTTGAGGGCTATTAATCTTTTCAAGCAGCAGAATCACTTTGCCTCTCAGGGATGGAGAGAGGAGATTGAGTTTTCTATTACAATCGAGGAGAGAAGAGAGAAGAGTGTGTGTGGGAGAAAGGACTGAGGCCACATTGTCCTTGCTGTTGCCTTCCCCATAAAAAAAAAACTAGAATACTGGAGCCATTATTATTAGATGGGTCAGTTTGATTTATTGAGGCAATGTAGGCAATTCTATAATATAACAGCTGGAAAGATGACGTTCATCTGCGCTGTATATTCAATGAATGTTGCTAAGCCCTTTTAGAATTTGTGTTAAATTGCATTGAGGAAAGATACATGCAATTATACATTTAAATTGGAAAAAACGTATCAAACATTTAGAGCAGAATTTAATATTTAATTTGAAAAAAACGATTAGTGCCATTGGAAAAATACTTAAGAGGCTTATAATTTGCGCTTTACCAGCACGTTTTTTGAGAAGAAAATCCTATTCTAAGGTCATACACATAAAGCTTTGCCTCTTCTTAAGCATTTTTTAATGTACTGCCATCAAACAAACCTGTTTTTGATTGTAGCCAGAGGAAAACAAGTTTTTGACAAATTTTCAAAACAGTTATATCCGTTTTTGAAATTGAACTCCTCATTTATATACAAATAGCAATGTACAGTTAATTCGAATGACTCTCTGACCCTATGCAGTAAGTAGTATCTCACCAGAACAGCCTGATTAGAAAAAAATGAAAAATATGCCAGCACTTTCTGCATATGTGACCACCATTATTATTCACAGGGTCACAAGGCACGAACTACACCCGTAAACGTCCAATTAATCAAAGTTAAGTCAAAACCAGAACATAGACAGTGCCTTGTATAATTTATCTGACAAGTTCATTACACAACCCACTCTTGAAAAAAGGCTCACTGGTTTGGAGAGGATTAATTGGAGGAAAAGAACTGCTGAGGTCGGTCTGTTGGAAGCCACTTTAAAAATGAAAAATAGCAACATAGCAAAGTGTCACTTAATCAATGTAGAACCCCAAGCAGAGCGCTGCTTGTGGGGGGCTGCCTGGTCCCTAGACTCATGTCCCTTTCGACAAAAAGGAGGAGGAGGAGGAGGAGAGGGGGAGGGGGGAGGTAACTCATCCCAGCAAAGGCCTGATGGCTCCGGCTCCCTGGTGGCTGCTCTGTGTGGAGTCTGTGTCCTCTTGGGAGCTGCTTAACAACATCATCTATCTCCATAATACAGTTCTACAGGCGGCACCATCCCAGGGAGTCATCATCACCAATGGATCCAGCACTGATCACTGACCTTCACCAAGAAAAGAGAAAGATGCTAGAAAAAGAAAAAATAAGAAGCAGAAGCGGAGTGTGCAGTACAAGACCAGTGATCTGAAGGATGTGAAAATGTAGCGATCTTTATATAGCGCATTTCACAGACATCATAGAGCAGTATGCTCTGTATTGTATTTGGTTCAGTCTAGTGGATTCATTATAGTTAAAATTCCAATAGAAATAATCTAAAATCAGTTATTGCATTTTTCTTTTACACCATGAAAATGAAAGCTGGGGTTCTGGACAAGTATAAGATGATGTGAGAAAATGGTAGCCTTATTTAAATGATATTGGCTCAGTGGTGTGTCTCAGGGAATTCAAGAACTTTATCAAGCTGCTGTAAATTGCTTTTTTTGTTTGTCTTTTTGTATTTTCAAGGGTTAGTTTAAAAATGTGTTTACATGCTTAAAATCTTTTATCATTATTATGAAGTTATGTTTTCTGGAGAACAAAATATTGTATGGTTGTGCAATTATGTTATTATATTGTGAATACGCCTTATGTTCATGCCATTCTAGGCCTACGTGTTCCTTACATTGAAGCCATACGGTTCATTCTGCTATGTCATTTTTCCAAAGTCTATGTGTTTACGTCAGAATTTAAGGCCTATATAAGCGCCATCCTTCTCTGTGACAATCAGACTTTGGCAGAGTTATGTAGACTCTTGCTAGACTTCTGCAGGAGCACAGAAGGACCAGACTTTGAAGCTGTCTGGGACCTGCTTAAAACTGCTATTAAATGCTAATTGAACAATACAACCTTCTGATGTCTCCTTGTCTTTTGTCTCATCATTTTAATTCACAATTTGCTGAAGAGTTGTTTTACACTTTTAGTTTTTGAAAATGTTTAAAGTTCACGTCTGGAACAAAAAAAAACTACAGCTGGTTTCCTTACATTTATGTTTAGTGTCTCCAACAGAGTTTTGTAAAAGGAAAATGTGAACAAATCAGACCGGAGATTAGAAAAATAATTTTATCTTTTGCGTATGAGTCACTATTTGACTTTTTGGGTGGAGAACTGATTGGCTGAGTGTGGGTTGTGCTTTCCTTTTCTGAGTGGAGTTTGCATGTTCTCCCCGTGTCTGCGTAGGTTTCCTCCGGGTACTCCGGTTTCCCCTACCACTAAAAATATGTACAATAGGTCTGGCATGCGCCTCCTGTTCGGCGACCCCGCTCCCATCTCTGTGTGGAGTGAGAGGACAAGTGCCCAAAAAATAACAATTGTAAACCGCTTTGTGACTCTGGTCTGTGAAAGGCGGTATATAAATAAAGCTTACTTACTTACTTACTTTTCACTTTTCTGTCTGAAAAAGATAATATCAAGGTCAAAACATAAAACAGGAACATAAAACTACTGATAGGAGCAAACTATTAAGAGCGAGGAACTAAGGATTTTATAACATTTTTTGTCGTTTGAAGTGAGGTATACGCCAGCTCACTTGTTGTAAAGTAAACATTTAACACAGTCTTTAAAAGTAGATTAGACAAACATTACACATTCACTATAATCGGTCACATCAATAATTGAAGTAATGGTCTTTCTTTTCTTTTTTTTGAGATTTCATTCAATACAAGAAATCTCCTAAAGCCCTTCATTCAACCTAACAGAGAATTCTCATGCTGGTAATACTTCAGACTCTGATTCACAAATGCATGCCATCACTCAACCCTCAGCCAGCCTTTTCCAACCTCTAATACATAATTCACAACAGCCAAAGCGCACAAAAACAAAACAAAATTAAATCACAAATCTGAGGGAAGAACATAAGGTGGCTGGGCTTAAAAAAAAAACTAATAAGAGAGAGAAAAAAGTGGGGACGGTGCTAATCCGAGTGGACATCTTGGCCTGGACTGCTGGACAGCGTCTGGAGTTTACCTTCCTGGAGCCCGGGGGTGCCCTTGTGTGTCCGTAAACAGCCTCTACACACGCGCTCCCCTCATCTATCTGCCTGACATGCGTCTCTGTCTGCTCTCCGCTGCCTTCTTTAGTCGCAGCTGACGATATTGAGCTGCGTGTCCACGGCTCCTCCTCCACTCATGTCAAACGAATCAATCTCTCCCCGAGCGCTCTTTCTTTCCCACATTAAGGGAGTGCTTTTCTTCTCCTTTCTCTCTCCCTCCCTCTCTCCAAGTAGCGCTGCCAGACACTTCAGATGAATGACAAAGACAAATGTTTTGTCAGCCTCTTTGAAAACCATTACTGCATTGATTGTTTGAATCCGACATAACTATATCAAGAGATTACAACTGTTCCTCGCTGACATATAAACGCGTGGCGAGGATTAGGCCGATGTGTTTAATCAGCTGCCCGTCAAAATCAAACGGTAAGCTGGAAAATACGTCAATATTAATCTAGAAGGCGAAACAAAACAGACATTTGTAACAACTATAAGCTCAAAGAATGTAAGGGGATCAACGCAGTACAAGAAGATTTATTATTTCTCATTATCATAAAAAAAAAAAGTATTTTCAAAAACAACATGTGAACAACCCTGTGAATCACTATTTGACTATTTGGCCAGAGAGCTGATTTGAGTCGTCTCCTTTTCACTATTCTGTCTGCAAAAGGTGATCTACAGATGTGACAATATATGTGAAAACTTGTGGTTGAACCAAACTGTTTTGAGAGAGAGGAATTAGTCAGATGGATATAATTATAGGTAATTATAAGTCTTTTGTGGTTTGAAAGTTAGGTACAACAGCTTTCATATAGAAACATGATACTAATACATTAATCCAGGGGTGTCCAACTGGTTCCAGAAAGGGCTGGTGTGGAAGCAAGTTTTCATTCCAAGCAAGAGCAGTCTCTCCGGTCTCAGCTCTCTCTCCGGTCTGAGCTCGGTCTCAGCTCTCTCTCCGGTCTCAGCTCTCTCTCCGGTCTCAGCTCTCGCTCAGGTCTCAGCTCTCGCTCAGGTCTCAGCTCTCGCTCAGGTCTCAGCACTCCCTCAGGTCTCAGCACTCCCTCAGGTCTCAGCACTCCCTCAGGTCTCAGCACTCCCTCAGGTCTCAGCACTCCCTCAGGTCTCAGCACTCCCTCAGGTCTCAGCACTCCCTCAGGTCTCAGCACTCCCTCAGGTCTCAGCACTCCCTCAGGTCTCAGCACTCCCTCAGGTCTCAGCACTCCCTCAGGTCTCAGCACTCCCTCAGGTCTCAGCACTCCCTCAGGTCTCAGCACTCCCTCAGGTCTCAGCACTCCCTCAGGTCTCAGCACTCCCTCAGGTCTCAGCACTCCCTCAGGTCTCAGCACTCCCTCAGGTCTCGCACTCTCTCCGATCTCGCACTCTCAACTCTCTCCGGAGTCACGTGTGCTTCTGCTTGGTTGGAATGAAAACCTGCAGCCAAGCCGGCCCTTTGAGGACAAGTACGACACACCCCTGCATTAATCCATTAGCGATCGCCAATAATGTCATCTTGATGCAAGCTTCAAGCCAACAAACAGCAGCAAAACAAAGATTATCCAGTCATTTCAGTTTCAAGTTCATTTGTGATAAAAAAAAAAAAGTCCAAGTTCTTCTACACAACTTGTTCATGGCCACATTTCACTGACAATCACCCTCTTCACAGTTCTCCTGGACAATGTGCAAAGGATTCCTGCGTGAAGTCACTTCGAGGAAATTCCCGGCATTTCTAGTTTGCTCCGAAGCGGCACCGTTTGAGCCAGCGTGGTGTTTGCGGCGGCCGTTTCCGTTCCCGGTCTCCTCTGTGATCGTCAGCTCCTCCAGCTCCTGAATCAGTGGCCGGGAGCTGTCTGCGAGTGTTGGCTGGGCACTGGTTTCCTCGTTGGCTGTCGGAGGAGTGTTGAAGCTCTCCCCGGGGACGGTGCAGCTGCGAGAGTTGGAGAGAGGGGGGCCGTGCTGACGTAGACCTCCTCCTTCCCCCACCTCCACCCCCACCCCTCCTCTCCCTCCCTTTTGTATGTCTGCACAGTCTAGTCCCTCTCTCTCAGACTCCTCGCTGTCAGACGACTCGCTGCTGCTGCTGCTGTTGCTGCTGCTGTTGCTGCTGCTGCTGCTGTTGCTCAGGGTTACCGGAGCTGCATTTTCTTCCTCTTGCACCAGGAACGCAGCTTTCTCCAGCGGCTCAAGCTCAAGCTCCAAGTCGTTTTTCTTCAGGAGGGTCGTCTGTAACGCCTCAGCGAGGGCGGTCAGCTTTTTGGACCTGGGAAAATAAGGATACATTTGGGTCTGTGGTTTATATCATATGCCTCACTTGGAAAAGGGACGTTACTTTCTCCCTAAACTTTTTGGCTGGATGTGTACCGGATAGAGTGGAAGAAAATACATGGATTTGTACAATTTTTACATTTTTTCGCATTATGCTTCATTAAAAAGAGCAATAATATACAACTATATACTGCCAGTTCTTAATTTGTTTCTAAACCTGTATGAGAAATGATGTTGCATGCTTTTCACCTTTTATAAATGATGCAGACTGGACACAGAATCACAAAAACACAACACTTTTAAGTTGGTAACAATGACAACTCTTGGTAATGTAACACATGTCAATACAAAGCATGAGTGTTTGCATCACACAGTAGATGGGTGCATCTTTGGAGCTGGGAGACTTCATAGGGAGCAACTCTGTGAAGTCTGTTTTGTGCACTCTTGATTCTGCTGTTACTGATTTCAGATGATTTTGACCAAGTACTCGCCCATACCTGAAAGAAGCCCATCAGAGTTTTTGTCCATACTGACACTGGTATTGGGACATCTCTACTTCTTCAGTATGGTGACATGCCACTTATACATTGACTAGGTTTAGGGTTTTTAGTGGTGAAAAAGCAATCTTATAAAAAGGAGATGGCCTGAAAGTTCGGACTGATACCTTAAAAGAATTGCAGACTTGGATTTCATTTTCCTTTTCTCATTTCCAAGATTTGCTAAAAATGCACTTATGACTTCATTATCTTGCTAACTGACAAACCCAGATGAAAAGGACTCCAGTAACCATTCATTATATTGACTAACCATATTAACAAATAGTTCACATTTGGAACAGTGCAAAGAGCTCTGAGAATTTGGGAGGCGAGTCTCTACTGACGCAGTGGAACTAAAGTTCACATTTTATGACACATTTGGTTGTAATAATTGTTCTTGCTATTAAATGATTCAAGTCAATAGTGAAAAGCAGTAAAGATAAATGAGAACCACTTTAAAAAGTTTGGCAACGAAGGACATAAGAAGAAAAGTGCTGAGTGTTCCTGATAAAGCACTCCCTCACCTTTTTGAGAAATGCAGATGTAGACACATTATTCATGGCGGCTGTGCTGTTGAAAACTATTGAGATCAGGGAGGGCATACAGCCTCAACCGCTGCTGTGATTACGCAGTGACCTCTTGGGGTCATCCAGGACCATTGAGATTTGGGGTGTGCAATGATGGGTGGAGCTCTCATAAAGAAGGGGGTCATCAAGCTTACTCTTCCGCTAAATTATTCTAATTTTCACACAGCACCGACTGCCCACTCAGGCCCAATTAACCCACTGCTGGGAACCTGGATAGCCTTTCATTACAGAGGAGTTCTAATGAGCTCCCTGTTCTGGTGAGTCAAGAGTTTCTCAGAGTGCAGAGGGACTTGTATTCATTTAGATCCCCTTTAGAGACCGTGTGTTAACAGATCTTATAGCATGAAGAACAACCGAGATTTATACCAACTTGGAAACACAGGGCGTTGTAAGTGGGGCCGGGGTGCAACAATAAAATGTTTTACAAATTAAATTAAACCGGGTTGGTTTTCAAAGTCAGCTAACGAATCAGAATGCACAATTTAAATAGGTCTTTTACTCATTTAATAATACAGTATGACTTCATTATTAATAATTCATTTAAATTCAATTAATTCTTGTATAGCCCAAAATCACAACAGTAGTTATCTCGGAGAACTTTACACAACCGTTGAATTCGCCAACGCAGATCAGAGAATCACACAGGTCAAGAAATAAAACAGATTGTTGGTCGGTATTGGTCCATAAGGGGCAGATGACCAATGACCATAAGTGTTGAGAAAATGTTGTTGAATGTTGAGTGTCCTGGGTCATCACCACTGTCCTTTATAATAAATTGTTATTTCAACTCAAAATTATATAAGTAGCAATCGACATTGAACGATCACAACTGGTTGGAACAGTCTAGGACAAAAAAAAAAAAAAGCTACTACATTAGCTTATTTACTCTAAAGTTATCAATCTCCATGAGCGGCAAAAAACAGCCAGAACCTTTCATCTTAAATGTGCCTGTATCAAACCATACAAACTTGGCCAGACCTGTCCCTCTCACTAGTATCTTATGTCTAACTCCATAAGGTATGTGAAAGCTTCCTGTATTCAAACAGTGTGGAGAAGCCTTGTTCTGTAGAGCCACTTCAAAGTCTGTACCGTAGTCTCGTCCCCCGTGGGAAGTCATTATTGAGTTAGCATCGGAGTAGCGCGCTTGTATTTTCTCCCCTCCCTCGCTCTGTGGTGGGGGAAGCTGAGCCTGCGGTGAATACAAAGCCTCTGGTCCAAGAGAGTGGGGGATAATGTTGTACACAATCCAGTCATTAATACCACACCACTGTTGCGGCCGGCTTTAATTTAAACTCGGAAAGAATGAGCTTTGTGGGTTTAGAAATAGTCGAGTCTCCATCTGAGAGTGGCATCTGTGAGGGAGAGAATATACAACCTTGCTTTTCCCTCAGACACAGTGCCCACAAAGAGAGACGATATAATAAAGATATAATATGAACAGATATACTGGAACTCCCAGGTGTAAAAATCTACATTATGTGTGAAAGAGTGAGAAATCAATCACTCTCGAGGGAAATTATGAGCAGCGGTGAGAGATGTGATTCGTCAGTGATGAAGAATACTTAATGGATGCCACAACCAGTTAAACAGAGAAGTGAATTATCAAATTTCAGATAAAACGTGAGTTCAAAATGAATTAAACAAAATTTCAGGCGAATTGTTATTAACAGTGTGATTAAAACAGAATGTCAATGCCCTCTTCAAGGTTGAGTTTTAATTATCATTCGAGCACACAGATCTTTTGGAGTAATTCACAAGGATTCTGCAGAAAACATACAGTGCAAACTATTTCAGCAGTGCGACGGGCCGGAGAACCCTCATGCCGGGAGTTAATCTGCACTGTTTGCTCCTGTTGTAAGGAGACAGTGGCACCTTTGTTCTCCCCAGCAGGGCTTCTACGATCGCCTTTGGTGTGTGGACTACAGATACTGATAGAAACGGAACGGGCCCTTGAGAGTCGGTCCTCGCCTGGCCGGTGAATTCCAGAATGTTCCACTGAGCAGTTGGATTTCTCATCATACGAGTGGCTGAAAAGCAGGAATACGAAGCGCTCATGGTGTGGTACAAAAACTGAAGGCGTAATGGGAAAACCACCTCCCGGCAAAAGCAGGACAACATTACCAAACTGCATTTAAGACCATCCATCCATCCATCCATCCATTTTCTTCCGCTTTATCCGTTGCCGGGTCGCGGGGGCAGCAGTCTAAGCAGAGACGCCCAGACTTCCCTATCCACACACACTTCCTCCAGCTCGTCCGGGGGGACCCCAAGGCGTTCCCAGGCCAGCTGAGAGACATAGTCCCTCCAGCGTGTCCTGGGTCTTCCGCGGGGCCTCCTCCCGGTGGGGCGTGCCCGGAACACCTCCCCAGGGAGGCGTCCAGGAAGCATCCGGAACAGATGCCCGAGCCACCTCAACTGGTTCCTCTCGACGTGGAGAAGCAGCGGTTCTACTCCGAGCTCCTCCCGTGTGACTGAGCTCCTCACCCTATCTCTAAGGGAGCGCCCAGCCACTCTGCGGAGGAAGCTCATTTCGACCGCTTGTATCCGCGATCTCGTTCTTTCGGTCATTACCCAAAGCTCATGACCATAGGTGAGGGAGGGAACGAAGATTGACCGGTAAATCGAGAGCTTTGCCTTTCGGCTCAGCTCCCTCTTCACCACAACGGTCCGATACAGCGACCGCATAACTGCGCACGCTGCACCGATCCGCCTGTCTATCTCACGCTCCATTCTTCCCTCACTCGTGAACAAGACCCCGAGATACTTGAACTCCTCCACTTGAGGAAGGACCTCTCCACCCACCTGCAGAGGGCAAGGCACCTTTTTCCGGTCGAGCACCATGGCCTCGGATTTGGAGGTGCTGATTCTCATCCCAGCCGCTTCACACTCGGCTGCAAACCGTCCCAGTGCATGCTGCAGGTCCTGGTTCGTTGGAGCCAACAGGACAACATCGTCCGCAAACAGCAGAGATGAAATCCTGTGGTCTCCGAACCGGACCCCCTCCGACCCCTGGCTGCGCCTAGATATTCTGTCCATAAATACAGTGAACAGAACCGGTGACAAAGGGCAGCCCTGTCGGAGGCCAACATTCACCGGGAACAGGTCTGACTTACTGCCGGCAATGCGAACACAGCTCTGGCTCCGGTCATACAGGGATCGGATGGCCCTCAGCAGAGGACCTCCGACCCCGTACTCCCGGAGAACCCCCCAAAGGACACCCCGGGGAACACAGTCGAACGCCTTCTCCAAATCCACAAAGCACATGTGGACAGGTTGGGCGAACTCCCATGAACCCTCGAGTATCCGATGGAGAGTATAGAGCTGGTCCAGTGTTCCGCGACCGGGACGAAAACCACACTGCTCCTCCTGGATCCGAGATTCGACCATCGGCCGTAACCTCCTCTCCAGTACCTTGGAGTAGACCTTACCGGGGAGGCTGAGGAGTGTGATCCCACGATAATTGGAACACACCCTCCGGTCCCCCTTCTTGTAGAGAGGGACCACCACCCCGGTCTGCCACTCCATTGGCACTGCCCCCGATCGCCACGCGATGTTGCAGAGACGTGTCAGCCAAGACAGTCCTACAACATCCAGAGACTTTAGATAATCAGGGCGGATCTCATCCACACCCGGAGCCTTGCCACCATGGAGGCTACCAACCACCTTGGTGACCTCAGCCAGGGAGATGGATGTACCCGCCCCAACATCCTCAGCCTCTGCCTCTGTAACAGAGGACGTGACGGGGGGATTGAGGAGAACCTCAAAGTATTCCTTCCACCGCCCGACAATATCCCCAGTCGAGGTCAGCAGCTCTCCACCCGCACCGTACATGGTGTTGGCAAAGAACTGCTTCCCCCTCCTGAGGCGCCGGATGGTTTGCCAGAATCTCTTCGAGGCCGACCGATAGTCATGCTCCATGGACTCTCCGAACTCCTCCCAGTCCCGGGTTTTTGCCTCTGCAACAGCCCGGGCCGCGGCACGCTTGGCCTGCCGGTACTGGACAGCTGCCTCAGGAGTCCCCCGAACCATCATGGCTCGATAGGACTCCTTCTTCAGCCTGACAGCATCCCTTACTGCCGGTGTCCACCACCGGGTTCGGGGGTTGCCGCCGGGACCAGCACCAGAGACCTTGCGACCACAGCTACGAGCCGCCGCATCGGCGATTGAGGCAGAGAACATGGTCCACTCGGACTCCATGTCCCCCTCCTCCGCCGGGACCTGGGAGAAGCTCTCCCGGAGGTGTGAGTTGAAAGTCCGTCTGACAGGGGGCTCAGCGAGACGTTCCCAGCAGACCCTCACTATACGCTTGGGTCTGCCAGGTCTGACCGGCTTCTTCCCCTGCCAGCGGATCCAACTCACGACCAGGTGATGATCGGTTGACAGCTCCGCCCCTCTCTTTACCCGGGTGTCCGAGACACGCGGTCGAAGGTCAGATGATACGACAACAAAGTCGATCATCGACCTCCGGCCTAGGGTGTCCTGGTGCCACGTGCACTGATGGACACCCTTGTGCTCGAACATGGTGTTCGTGATGGACAAACCGCGACTGGCACAGAAGTCCAACAACTGAGCACCGCTCGGGTTCAGATCAGGGGGGCCGCTCTTCCCGATCACCCCTCTCCAAGTGTCACTGGCGTTTCCCACATGGGCGTTGAAGTCCCCCAGGAGAATAACGGAGTCCCCGGGCGGTGCACCGTCCAGTACCCCTCCCAAGGACTCAAGCATTTAAGACCAATTAAAACAAAATGGGTGAAAAACTCTTAATATCTCTTTATCTTGTGAAGTTGATTTCTAGTCAAAATTCAAAGCTAAGCCAATTGTTTGACCTGATGATGATAGATTGAGACGAATAGATAAAGAAAGTATTTGAAGAAAGCGATGTCCATTTTTGGGGGGATTTTCTAAAATGTAGGAGCAGTAATAACACTAATAATGTCTTTTTAATTTTTTTCTTTTAACCTAGTTTAAATGTGAATGACCTCAGCCTTTACCAAACGGTTGAGATGCAGTTTGATGGTTTTCAGATTTCAGTTCCCAGCTTGCTTAAAGTAGATACAGAGACTTAAAACGTAATCTACCAAATGGTTGAAAAAACCATTAAAGGGTTGAAAACCATTTGCCAAAAAAACAAGCAAGAAAGCACCATAATTTGTTTCCCAAGCTGCTAATGACTTCATCTGGAAACATGGCTCTTACACTTACCCCACAGCACCTCCCTTGTACGCTTTTTTTGTTTTTTTGCTTCTGCTGGAATCTAATTGACCCAATTAAATAAGGGTGGGTGAGTGGGTGGTTTGAGGGAAGCGATCCTGTAGAAAAAGGAAGTCTGTATGATTTAACCAAGGAGGCACTGTAACACAACACCAGGCTTAGGGGCTTTGTCTGCTCCAGGGCTGTGAATCGGCACTGGCCTCTCTCCAAGCATTTTCCTCAAGTTGGGGGGAAGGAGAAAACAAACGGAGAAGAAGGCAAAGAAAGTAGGTTTTTCTTTGGCATTCAGGCAGCTCTGTGGGGGATTATTTGGCAACTGAGGACCATCAAAACACACACACACACAAACTTGTAGCCTACAGAAGCGCCGGAATCTCGGAACAATTTGCAGAAAATTAGTCGGTGGGTGAAACGAATTTGATTAAAAGAAGCATCCATTTATCTTCAAGGTACAAATTCCACCTGTTATTTACAAAATTAACAAGGTTTGAATGTTTTTTCTGTGTCCAAGATTTAAACATGCCTGAACCAAAACAGCAGAAGTGTCATGGGGTGGATTTTTTGTTATTTGGTGCTTGGTTTTATTCTGACAACAATACTCTGTGGTATTGTTTTAGTTTTACATTCTGGCCTGTTCCTCTGTGTTGATTGTCTTTCTGTTGTTGCTGGTCCATTGTCAATGTGTCTCATCTGTCCGTTTTCCTGGCTCCCATGTTGTGTACCTTGGACTTTGATTTATTCCATCGTTAAATAATATAATTTTGGCAATCCCGTAACAAGAAGGTACATTCACAAGAGGAAAATAGATTTTTTTAATCCTAATTTTTCAAATTCATTTATTCATTTAATTCATTTTCAACCCCTTTATTAATCAATTTCTGGATTTTGGGGGGGTGTCAATGAGAGCTGCCACCCAATGCACATGGCCCCTCCCTGATCCTCCTGCAGGTGGTGAGTCCACAGAAGATTGCTTCTGATCCGTCAGCAATGACAAAGCCTTGGTCTTTCAGCGGGGGCTCCAGGCAACGAGGGGTTAGGTGTCTTGCCCAAGGACACAACGACAGAAGACATTAGAGGGAGCAGTTGGAGTAAGTCTTGTGGAGGGATCTCCACAAGACTTACTCCACGACCTTCAGGCCCAAAGGCCAATGCTCTACCAACTGAGCTACGGTCGCCCAATTTTTTTTATGGTTAAATGTAAATGTACAATATATTTATTCCTGCAGGGAACTTTGTCTTCTGCATTTGACCCCTACTGCGATACCATTAGGGCGTTTTTCAATTGCAAACGAGAGAGAACACTCTTGGGCTTCTACTACTGCTGCTGCTGAGTGGATATTCTCCTTGCATTCTTGTCCCGCGTCTCAGCAGTAAACAGGAGAGAGCGACGAACCAATTAAATCACTCCTCTTAGCTTTCCGACGGGACTATCAAGAGTCGAAATGCACATGCGACGCTCAGGATTAAATAAATCGAGTCAAGCCCCGGCAGCTGAGCCCCCGTTCGATGCCACGTCCATCACCCACTCCCGCTCGTGTCTCCCAGACTTCTCCCAGATGGACTGACATGATCTGTTATTCCACCAGAGGGTACAGATTACATCTCAACTTACAGCGCCACTTACACAGACGACTCACTTAACTGAGAATGACAAATCCGGCACTGGGGAATATCTGGCACGGGGAGAAAAAACATGGTATACACAGATCTGTCGTGAAACCTGTCAGACTACACAAAGACGCTGCCACGAGACGATGTGTTTTTGATAGCAACACGAGAGGTCCTGTTTTCTTTATTTCTAACTACACGTTTAAAAGAGTAACGCTGCAGACTGGTGTTGGGGAGTGGATTATGAGGGAGGAAAAAAAATCGAAAGTGAAAGTCAAAGGGTGTACAAGCAAGGGCGACGAATCCATTTACTGATCGATACGAGAGCCAGGTCAAAGTCAGTGTGTTGGGCCACACTTGACATTTAGTTGCACTGAAGCGCGGAGGTGAATCAGAGCAGAGGAGCCAGCAGACTGACTTCATCCATGTCTTTTTACACTCTCAATACTTCTTATTGGTCTGAGCAGATTTACTATCAGTGATTATTACTTCTATCCATTCCAAAGATATTTGCATAATACAGAGTTTACAGTCATAGCTCTCTGGTCTCCCTCTGGTCTCCCTCTGGTCTCCCTCTGGTCTCCCTCTGGTCTCCCTCTGGTCTCCCTCTGGTCTCCCTCTGGTCTCCCTCTGGTCTCTGGTCTCCCTCTGGTCGGTCTCTGGTCGGTCTCTGGTCTCCCTCTGCTCTCTGGTCTCCCTCTGCTCTCTGGTCTCCCTCTGCTCTCTGGTCTCCCTCTGCTCTCTGGTCTCCCTCTGCTCTCTGGTCTCCCCTCTGCTCTCTGGTCTCCCTCTGCTCTCTGGTCTCCCTCTGCTCTCTGGTCTCCCTCTGCTCTTGGTCTCCCTCTGCTCTCTGGTCTCCCTCTGCTCTCTGGTCTCCCTCTGCTCTCTGGTCTCCCTCTGCTCTCTGGTCTCCCTCTGCTCTCTGGTCTCCCTCTGCTCTCTGGTCTCCCTCTGCTCTCTGGTCTCCCTCTGCTCTCTGGTCTCCCTCTGCTCTCTGGTTTCCCTCTGCTCTCTGGTCTCCCTCTGCTCTCTGGTCTCCCTCTGCTCTCTGGTCTCCCTCTGCTCTCTGGTCTCCCTCTGCTCTCTGGTCTCCCTCTGCTCTCTGGTCTCCCTCTGCTCTCTGGTCTCCCTCGCTCTCTGGTCTCCCTCTGCTCTCTGGTCTCCCTCTGCTCTCTGGTCTCCCTCGCTCTCTGGTCTCCCTCGCTCTCTGGTCTCCCTCGCTCTCTGGTCTCCCTCGCTCTCTGGTCTCCCTCGCTCTCTGGTCTCCCTCGCCCTCTGGTCCCTCTGGAGTCTAATGTGTTCCTGCTTGTTTGGAATGAAAACCTGCAGCCACACAGGTGCTGGCAATCATAGCTGCATTATTTCTCCAATATTTATGTAAGAACGAACCGAAAAGGAATCGGGAATATGTTGAAATTGGAAGGGGAGAAAAATAAAATCCCTGCAGACCTTTTATCATGTCTGCATCTGGGCGCCGAGCCTACAACATCAGCCGTACATTTTTCAACTGGGCTTTTTCCAGACAAGCACACCACTTGGCTGAACCCAAGCCAAAAGTAAAACAGCTCATTACTTTGTGATGTGCTCGCAGGCTTGCACTTTAAATGTGCAAGTAATTCTAAAAATATGAACTCAAGGACGGAAAGATCCATCCGACTCAGATCATGGGCGAGGAAAGCAGTTAGCAATTCCAGCTTAGGTCTAGTTTTCACCCACCTGATACATGACGGGTGCCAGTGCTCATGAGGACTTCTTCATGGTCGTCCTGATGTTTACTTTGAAATAGCCATGCACTTTATTGCCCAAATCCATCATATTTATATATTTGTTGACGTTTGTGCGTATAAACTTACTTGACCCTCTGGATCCAAATGCAGTAGTCTGTGATGTACAGATCGTTCAGTATGTAGGCTGGCTCGTTCTCTCGGAAGGCTTTGTGGATATCGAGCAGGCATTTGAGGACACAGCCTTTCCCTAGGCACAAGTGAATGGAAAAACAGTGTTATTGGAGCTTTAGTACAAGGATGACAATGCAGTCCAGCTGCTGGCATATACACCACGACTCCACAGGCTTGAGATCATTATTCCATACATCAGAGCCAAGGTAGAGGATCAGAAGCAAATCCCGGTAAGCGGCACAGTAATTTGATCCAGACCTCTTTTGTTGTTGATCTGAGAGAACATGAGCTCTTGGAAACAAGTACCTAGAAAGTGTCTCTTACCAAACAAAATATCTGAAAAAAATACAAAAACAAAAAGATACCTATTTAGTTGAGCCCACAAAATGTTCTTGATGGAATACATGACAATTTAATCCAAACTGACTGCCACACAGAGGGAAGATAACATGATTAAAACATGAATGTTCAATAAAAGAACAAGGTTAGACGACTTGAAAACAGTAATGGAAAACAGTATAACAGGTGCTTTTTGCTGAAGGGAATTGAGAAATACAAAATGCCTGAAAAATACAAAAAACAAGGGACTAACTAAAATGCCTTTAATGATTACAGCATGTCTCCAAACTGAGCCTCACTTTTCAGTAAACAAGTTTTTCGGTGATAAAGGTAGGTTTCTGTATTTTCAGACAAGCCATATACAGTACAAACTATATTAGGTAGATGAACAGGCAATTAATTGTACTAAAATGGTTAAAACTTTCTATAAAAGTGGGCTCCAGGGTCTTGAGACGTGGGGACATGACAGCCGTATGAGCCACAGGCCCCGCGCCACAGCCCCTCAGGCTGGGGGCACTTAAAGCAGCTTGAGCAGGTGGAAGTGATCCTTGACAATAGTAGCCATTGCCAGAGGGCTCTTCAAATACTTATCCCTGGAGAACTCTTCCTTCTGGGCCTCAAATTGTGTGCTGTGGTCATTTCTTGGTCTTTTTTCTTAATAAAGAAAATGTTTTCTTTTGCACTTAAATGAGCCAAAGAGTACACTACAGAGTTGTTTGTGTTACTACTTTTTCCCCTAATATTACCCTTGAAATTTATAAAAATATACATATACAGATCCACAGTCATTATCTGCAATTTAAGACCCTGTAACGGTTTTATAAATTCATTTTTTGCTTTAGTTCACAGCAGATACAGTATATTGTAATAGCAGCTGTTGATTTTATAAACAACAAAATGGACATAAATCTTATGCAATACATGATATGAATAGCCATTGTATTTCACTTGTAAATCTTTTTAGCCTGTGAACATAGGATCTATCACACACTTCTGCACTGCAGGGTGAATTAATACTAAACTCACTTTTCCATACAGAAGTAGCACACTGTAGAAACCACCGGGTGGACAAAATCCATTACTACTAATTAGCAGCTTTAATGTGCTCTCACAGGAGTCAAATTAATCTTCACTAAGAGCCCGTCTTTACTGGAAAATGCCCGTTTTGACTCCGTCCAGACAAAATGACTACTGCTGTAAAGACAGCGGCTGTGACTGAGGTAAAAGATTCTGGTGATGCTGTGACATGTGCCCCTGAGGTTGAGGCCTTTTGTAGAGTGCTGCTGTTCACTTACCCGACTGAAGAATCTTGGTTGTGTCACGAATGGCAGCAGAAACCATGTCAAAATGTCTGTACAGTGGGAAGCACAAAACTCTTCGGCCAAATGACACCACGGCTTCATGCAGAGAGTTGTACACCTGGAACATGGAAAGCAAATTGGTGACACACTGAAAGGTGTATGCTTTTTCTTCACCACTTGATTGAACTTTGTGGGTAATCCATTTCATAATAATAGAGTGGGTTCATTGAAAACACTAAGACTGAGGAAAAAGTTGATGCTCTTTTCAGTTTGTATAGTTTGGTTTCTACCTGGCAACCACACATTACATTACATTAGACTTTTATAGACCATAAACCTGTTCAGAGCAGCTTAGTAGTTTTATTTTCCAGTTGTGAAAACTTCAAAATAAAAAGTGTATAAGATTTCTGGTGCTAATTACTCTTAATAACTCCTAGTTTATAGAGCTGGCAAACGCAGTCTCACAAGTCTTTAACACGTCTGCAGACCTGCCCAGTTAATTGGTGCCCCTCTGTAATCACTGCCACACACTCTCTGCACCAGCGGATTTTCTGTTTCTTCGCGCCTTGTTAAGGACGTGTTGTGCGCGTCATTTGGGATTGTGTTCTCCCCAGGGCTTGTTTAGCAGCAGTGAATACACAATGTACTGCTGCAGGGATTTTAAGGGCGGAGGTGTGGTCTAGCCAGCGCAGGCGACTGAGGACAAGTAAACGGTCAACAAATGGGAGGAGGAAGCAGCGCATAGCAGGGGAATAGATTCTGGACAGGAAGAAAGATAAGGCATGTTTCCACGACGACAGTGCACTGGTTTGATATGTGCTCTACTGGTGAGAGAGCCATCCAACAAAGAATACAAATGATAAGTGAACATTGCATTTGACTCAAAAGAATGTGTTCATCCTGAATATGCACAGTGTGGACAGAGCTCTCCTTGTCTAGTGTCAAAGCAGCTATTAGATAAATGCAAGACGGATATATACTAGGCTGATAAACATGATATTTGAAAAGAACTCCAAGTGAAATGGGAGTTTTGCATTTTGAAAACCTAGAAATGAAATTAGTCTAGAAATATAATGCTGCATATTGTAGGATTTTTACTTTTTGGAGAAGGATTGGAAATGTGAATTGCAAATGGCAGAAGCGTCAGATCAGCTGTGTGACACTCAGACAGGCAGCCAGTGGAACAGAGGAAGTTATTGTGGAGCACAAGGTGCAGGGGGGAGGAGGAGGGTGGGGGTGCTGGGGGGTGAAGCAGCGGTCTGGCAAAAGCAGACTCCACTGTGATTGAGTGACACGCTTTAAGGGGCTGGCAGGTAGCTGGCAGGTAGCTGGAGTGCCTGACAGTGGAAAATCTATTCCAGACTCTGGCTGATTTCATGCTCTGGGAACTTCTCTGTGGTGAGAATGTTTAGAATGCTAAAAAGGATATTTTGGGTACAAAGGAAAATAAGCATTGTCTATGCTGGAGATAACAATACAGGGGTGGGGCAAGTTATTATAAGTTACACCAAGCATAGAATCTAAAGACAAAACAAAAATGGCAAAAAAAAGCATCTAAGGGGTGATTCTTTAGCTTATTATGCACTAGTCCAAAACCTGATTCTGAAACAATCAGAGGAAAGTAAAACAACTACATATGCACATTCGCAGGGGCACAGTTCCATCTTCTGTTTTTTAATAAACCAGGATCCGAACGGTGAAGTGGATCACCTTCAAACATTCATAATCCTTTATCATCATTTATTGTCATAAGAATAAACACAATTTGATTGAGCGTCATTCGCTTTGTGAATGTTTTGTTCAGAATAGTTGTGAGATTTCATAACACTTTTAAGCAACTTTTGTTAAAGTTAAACTCATCATTCTATCAATGTGCAGAAGCCAGTACTTTTCCCTTGTTTCTTCATCTCAGACAGAATAAAGGCAGTACACAGTTTATATAGTCATTGTCACGTCACACATGGAAAGACATACGTGTCACACAGAGACAGTCACATCATAGTCAAAATAATCAGAGTCCTTGTACAGTCCTGCACGTAGGCCATATTGCTATCTAATACTAACATAGTATTTAAGTAACTTATTTTTTTTTATATCGAGCATTTTACAGATGAAGGTCATCCAAATTGCTTTACAATGTTTGTGGAGTACATATATTTTTCCATTCACGGTGATGACGGAAGCGAGACGCTGAACACATCGGCGCATTAAAGGCTCTAACCAACACATTTGTTCACTCACTCAACTACATTCATACATATTGTACATGTTTTAGCTGTAGGGGAAACTGGAGCACCTGGAGTAAACCCACACAGACATGGGTAGAACATGCAAACCCCACACAAAAAGGCCTGGAGGTGGAAACGAACCCAGGACCTTTTTCTGTGAGGCACAAGCTCACGCCGTTGCACCGCCGTGCCATCTGGTCTATACCTACAAACCCTGGTGAAAACATAACCCCCATAGCAGAGGTAAAAAGGCACCAAAATTAAGGAATAATATAATAATGCATCAATTTCATATAGCGCTTTTTGGACACTCAAAGACGCTTCACATGTTATTGTCATCATTCACTCAGTCCATGTAGCCACAGCTGCCCTGGGGCACACTGACGGAAGGAGGCAGGCAAAAATTAAATGTTACTAAATGTTTTTACCTCAAACCAGCTCAGAGTCCCACTGAGTTTTCGGACAGTCCAAGGTGACTCCACCTGTGCAGAGAGAGCAAGCCTCAAAATAATGATCGATAGAAACTATTTTTAATTATTGGATGTATTTGGCCCTTTATGATTTTTAAAACAGTCAAGCATTTGGTTTCTTGGTTCAAAATGTTGAAGTGCTTTATTAAGATCATCGCTTTGGTGTGTTAAACCAACCCTGCTGTAGGCCGCATTTATGAGGGCAAATGGCAGAAACTACCTTTGTGCTATTATTTTAGCGGTAAGATACTTAATTGACCCCTGAGGAAACGTGTCCCCTGCATTTGACCCATCCTTCAGAGTCAAATGCAGAGTGCAGCGGAGGGACCCATCACCAGTTAATGCTGGAGGATTAAAACTATAGTGCTTGTTTCGTGTGGTGTCTGGAGAAAACCAACCCAGACCCAGGGAGAAACATGCTCCACACAGAAAGATCCGTGAGCTCTACACCGCTCAGCCACCGTGCCGTCTAACACGCTAAAAAAGAAGAAGCAAAGAAGAGAGAAAAAAACTGTCCGGAACTGAGCAGTGGGATCTGCTGTAATCTCTTAAGGCTCTGAATAGAATAGGAGGGAGACTTGAGGATTTGGGGATAGAGGGCTTTGTCATCCGGGCTAAGTGCTGCGCAGGAAGACTGGCCTCTGCGCAGACACTCACACTGTGCTCTCCTTCAGTGGAGCGCACTTCATAGCAGTAAGCCAGCAGGATGTCCACCAGGCTCAGCCACACTTGGCCACGAGTCGCTTTGTCGAGCAGGTGGGAGCGGTTGGTGAATCTCCTCATCTGCTCCTTCTCCTCATCTGTAAAGGACACACCTGCAAATGACATAAGTCTTAGGTCAGTGTGCAACTTGATTAGACATACTGTACATACACAATACGAGCTAGAATTGGGATAATCTGTGTTGGAAATAATGGAAATGTTGTTTCTGGTCGAGTAGCAGGAGTCAAAAATGATTAGCCATACTGACAAAAATCAAACTGAAAACTGTTGGATGAAAGAGTATTGTTTAGCAAATACTTTGTTTAACCCCAAAATAATGAGTCAAAAATAATTCAGGAGTTTGATAACCCTGAGTGGCTCAAATTCACAAATTGTTTTAGAAAAATCCAGATTTTATAATCAGATACATACACATTATCCAATGTCCTGCATTCAAGCATTGTAAACTAAGTGAGGTCGCCATATGCTGAAGAGGGTCTGATTTTATTTTATTTTATTTTATCTGATTTTTTGTGATTTCAAAAGAGTGAGTTTCAAATGATATCTGTGGAGGGGCACTGACAGAATGAAGTTTCAGATCATTCATAATTGAAGAATGTAAAAGTATAAACCATACTATGTGACATTAAAAACAAAGTAAAAACATATCCATTGCAACAAGCAACTAGCAGACCCCATCAGAACAGTTGGGGACTGAGAGAAAACAAATGATGAGACTGGTTCTCAACCGACTTCCCTCTCCCCATAGGAGCTCAGGAAACAGCTCAAAGCAATATTTTTCTCTGCGTGAGAGGAGTCCCTGTGCAGAGCATCAGAGCTCAGCTTGTGCGAGTCCATAGAACCACACATGTATTCAAACTGTTGTGTTGGGCTATAAAGGAGATTCCTGCTGTCATGTTGTAGCCGCCTGCTGCTCCTCCCAAAGTGCAGCTGCAGCAAGACTCAAACACAGACACACCATCGTCTCTTGTGTATAATTCCTCCAAGAAAATCGGCTTCCTCTGGCACGAGATCTTGTGCTACCACGTTTACCAATGGTTCTAAATGTGTGTCGTTAAAAATATGTTTTTCACTGTACCGGTAGTACCTGTAATTAGTTAAGGATTATTCATAATGTCATTTACACCTTGACACAAAATATCTTGCAAAATGATTTGACATTATTATCCAGTCAATTTTATATGCAATTTGTATTCCTCAAATCACCAGTACAAACAGGAGATGGCTTGCAAGTCCTGTTGGATCAAATACACAGACATTAGTGTGTTGAGCGCGACTTTGGGAGGGCACACGCGGCAAGAGGGACCTAGATAAAAGGATTAGTTTCTGGCTCAAAACAGTAATAAATATAGTTACACTTTATCGACATCTCCTGACTAAAAAGTGTTCACAGTTGAGCTAAGGCTACTCAAAACATCAATCAAGTCATTAAGTATAATTCAGGCCATTTATCTGCGTCTGGGCTGTAACTGAGCACTCACAGAATTCCGAATGAGCGGAGAGCGAGTTGACATGGCTATGGGGAATCCCAGGATCAGCTCTAATGGCCTTTGAGTGGCTGAGTGATGGGCGCTCATCTGTGCTCCGACCGGCCGCGCTCCTCCTGTGATAATGCTATCTTTTTAATCTAAATCCTCTCTTGAGTGTGCCACAACCACACACCAACATAAGCTGTGGATATGAGCCGAGCATCTGCTCAAGCACTGGAAGTATGGGAATTGGCAGCCTATTAGGCACACAACAGAAGAATTCAATTATCGCCTACAGCGCTAAGGTCTCACAAGCGAAACAAGAGAACCAAGCAATGAAGGCACAAGCAAGAAGCGTTGTAGGACTGCAGCATTATTCACACACACTATCTTTGTCAATTGGGCTCTGTGATAGCTCTATGACTTATTCTTCCTCTAAACAAAGCATAAGTTTATCTACTTGGAATGTATTTGGCAGGAAAATCTATGGCCTCTCGAGAACTAAAACAGCACATCTGGAGTTTTTAAGACTTTTAAATGTATGGTTATATTATTCAACATGGAGACAGCTGCACATTCATTAACAGCCATTAAGGCAAGGAACGTGCAGAGAGACCTAAAGACTCTTATAATTACAGAACAATGAACAATTGATCAAAAAGGCTTCCTTTTTTGGCAACATCAATGCCATCTTCTGGTGAAAACTCGTTAGTGTCCCCTTGAGATAGATAACATGAGAGGGGTTCTTAAACGTTGTGGGGCGAGTTCAGAAATAGGGCTCAAAGTCCAAGGCTTTAAATCGATTATTACGATTATTCAATCAATCAATCAAACCATCAATTGATAGATCAATTGATTGATGATTATTAACTAATTTAGTAATCAAGCAGCATAATTTCAATCCATTGTACTATTATAGCACATTTAACAGACCCACAAGGTTTCCATTGTGCTGCACAAAAAAAGACTATATAATAGCTAGATAAAATTAACATAGTCCATCCATCCATCCAGCAAATTGAATAAAATCCATATAGCAAGAACGCAGTGATGATCTGAGACATTTTTTCACATTTATGGACATAGCCATTGATCCAGAGTGAGTAGGATGTATTTATTATTGCTCAAATAATTCAAATACTTTTGAATCTACGACTTTGTAAAGTCCTCAGAGACGACTGCTGTTGGGAATGGAATTGTTTGGGTATTAAAAATCTATGATCACTGGCCTTTTGGAATCTGAACAACTAATCGGTTTGTTTAGTCAAGTTTAGTTATCCTAAATACTCTTTCAATTAAATTGATTATCAAAATAATTTCAGCTCTTGTCTGAATCCAAGATCGTACTCAGGTCCAGCGGTCCGAAATGCCCTCCGCAGAAAGCCTAACAAAATATATGTTTATTAAGGTTGATCAGTTACGTATAATTTGTTATGAATATTATTAATCTATTTTTAGCCATGATATTTTATGATGTTATTAGTTTATTCTCAAGACGGATTTGTAATATTCTCTTTTTACAATAATTTATTTCCTCAAAAGAGAGGATTTTCCATGACATATACTATTTAATGATGTGGTAGATCTAAATAAATGTCTCACCAGCCGCTCCGTGGTCGGAGGAGCACCCAGGCTTTGTCCACCATGGTTTGTAGTTTAACAGCCTCTTTACTTCTTCATCCTCAAATAAATCAGCTCTGCAATGAAACGTAATGGAACGTGGTTAGTGGTGGCAGGAATGAAAAAAATAAAATAAAATAATTCACTGCACTAAATGCCTCACAAGTAATGATCTGAGGAGAAAGCCGAAGTCTCTGCCTCCAGTCGAGCCACCCTCCTCTCTGAGGCCGTTGTGTCTTCTGGGTTTTTAATATCAATCACATCAGCAAGTTCTTCCTGATGGAGGACATAGTATTTTATTAAGCAGTTGTTAAATTGCACCATGTTTGTGTAACTCAGTAAAATAGAATTGAATAGAATATAATAATGACAATAATCCTAATAAATAAATAAATAAATAAAAAGGGTCTGGGTTATCTATAATTCATAGAAACAGATTTTTTGTCAAATGAATCTACAGCCAGTGTCATACAGAGAAAAAAATAAAAAAGGAAAAGAAAAAACACAAAACAGATAAACAAAATAAAAATTCCCTTCGTCTAGATTATAATCTGGGTAAGGGCTAAACACTATATTAAAATAAAAATACCTGTAGTCTGGAGAACACCCCAGTTCTCTGATTGCCAAAACCATATCTGTGCATTCGTGCCAGTTGTTCTACTGGCGTCTCCTGGTAAACCTGCTGCTCAATTTGCCAGTCAAACTCCTCTTCCTCCTCCTCTTCCTCGTCTTCACCTACACTGGAAGCTTTCAAATGCAAACACATACCATATATTAGGATTTCTTATGTAAAATATGAAAATATATTTAGAAATTCATATTTTAATTAAAATTTCCCCTCTGTGGGACAAATAAAAGTGTATTTTTTGAATCATTCAAATTAACAATGGTTATCACAGTATTCCAAAAATTCGTACTTACAAACATCGACTTCCTCTATCAGCGGCTTCACTGATTGGGATCCTTTTGGGGTGAGCAAGCTTGTCAGCAAATCAAGACCTTCGAAATGTTCTCCTGGCGTTTCCTTCGCGACCTTTAGCGTGAAGAGTCCTAAAATCCATAATAAACATGCCTTCATTTAGATTATAATACCAAAACAAAAATAATAATAGGTTAGATATCAACAATACTTTATAAGGACTGAACAAGAAGTGTGTTTTAATAAATTACAAGAATGTCGTAGTGTCAATGTATCCAAATGTAAAAAAAAAAACTCAAGGCAAGAGATTGTGTAAGATACAGAACTTGAAAAGGGACACCTGGAAAATAAAGACGGTGGCTCATTACAATTCTAAACAAACACTAATTGCTTTATACGCAGATGGTACAAGCTTTCACTGAAGTGTGTGTGAACAGAGGCCTCGCCAACTGTTGATAATTACAGGATGTCAAGGTTCATACGATATATAAACGGTCTTTATGAATCTGACTATTACAGAGGACTTAGAGCAACAGATTGTCAACACAACACTGAGCATCAACACAACACTGAGCATCAACACAACACTGAGCATCAACGCAACACTGAGCCATCGCAGTTCTATGTGAAGCCTGAAGCCCCTTTCCGCCTGCACTATACCCTATAATTGATATGGTCCAAGAGACTCTATGGTTTCCTGCTAGTGTCAATGAGGCCGACATTACTGACTGTGATAATTACATAACAGATGGCTCCAGTTCACAATTGGAGGAAATAACATAATAACTAGGTAACAGACGTGAGTTCAAGTTGACAATGCCGCAAGGATCAATTCTGCATGTGCTGCTGTGATTGACAAAACATATCGGAATTGTTAATGTGGACTCTTTTAATAGCCTATAACAATGCCATGGTATTTTAGGTATTTTGATTTAAAAAAAACACTTGACACTTCCATAAACCAAGATATGTGTACAGTGTCGAACAGTGCTGGCAGCAGAGTGTGTGTCTATTAACTGGGTGAACTCAGATATAATGTGAATGTCAGCTTTATTTGTATAGCACATTTACAACACCAGCTGCCCAAAGTGCTTCATATGCACACAAAAAATAAAATAAAACAGGACTAAAACATAAAACACTATTTAATGTTGGGATATTTTAGGTATTACTTGATTTTTGCCTCATGGTCAATTTTAGCATAAAATAAATTAAACATACCCTTGTCAATGTCAAATGTGGCCTTTTCTCGTCCATCCTCCACAATTCTACCTGGAAGAGTCAGCCTGAATAGAAAAAACCCCAACAATAATTACTTTTCGAACGTGACAGGAAATAATGTCCTACTAACCTCAGAAAATAGGGTTTAGCAAAAAATTTGAAATCATTTCCCCCCATGTAGAGGTCAAACTCTGACGTCCTGGTGTAGGGAACACGGATGCAGAGAGAGAGGTATTCTGGATCCTGGCTCAGCTCAAACGCAGGAGTAATCATGATGAACGGAGGACGTGAGGATCTGTAGGAGCACACACAGCACACACATAAACATCACTGAATACAGCATGCCACCTTGTGGTTGCCTCTTCATGCTACCATGTAGACGTCCACTTTTCTAACATCAAAAAGCACGCGTGGACATTTTAAAGAGGACACAAACCACGGAAAATAATATTGCTATGATTGTTCATTTCTGTCTATGGTTTGTACCTTTGGATTTTGCAAAAACATGAGCTTGTTAAAGTAATCAGGTCCTGGCTTATTACTTGTATAGTAAGTGTATTATAAAGTGAAATAGTGACGAGCCATGCCACAGACACAGAGATCATCATACCGGTCTCTTCTGTATCAGATGAGTTTCTCAGTAAATGTTGTCTTCCAGAACAAAGCAGCGTGTAGCGGGTCTCATGGAAAAGTTCCCTCCTCGTGTGGAGTGTTGACAGCTACTGTAGCACTAAGCTAACAGCGCCGATAACAAGCCATCTCTGGAGGGAAAAAGATACCATCTGATTTATTATCAACGGAATAGTAAGTAAACATGTACCAATGTAAATACATCACACAAAACAAACAGACGATGGTCTGTACAAGAAACGGAGTAATAACAAGACTCACGTTGACTCCTGGTGCGGCCATGTTTACCGTAATAGACATAAAGTAGTGCGCAGCCAAAAATGTCCTTTTCATGCACCAGGATCAAAAAGGCTTCAAAATGCTGTGTTTGGTACTGGTGTTACATTTAGTGTGACGTCACCACCTTAATTAAACGTATTCTTTAAAAAAAGTTATATTATCAATGATTTGAGTTAATTTCGACCAATCAGGAGGCTGTGGGGTGAGGCTTATCTTCACAATTTGAAAAGTTACTGACTTTTAATTCTTTGTGATTTACAATGATAACCTTGTTTCAATATATCATATTCTCTGGGTAATCTGTGATGTGCTACTTTGTCAAGAAAAGCAGCTTTCTGCTATTGTTGGCACGGCTGCTCTGGGACAGATTTTCTCAAAGTAATAATGTAATGTAAATGTGCAATTTATTGTTCCTGTACGGAAAATTGTCCTCTGCATTTGACCCATCCTGATGCCACAAAGGCTTACATCAGGAGCAGTGGTCGCCGTAGTAACAGCGCCCAGGAACCCAGGGGACAGTCCTCGCACCGTTCCTCTTCACCCTCTACACTGCGGACTTCAGACACAACACGGACGGTTGTGTTCTACAGAAGTTCTCTGACGACTCTGCCATCATCGGACTCAGCTCCGAGGACGATGACGCAGAGTACAGAGGAGTTATACAGGACTTTGTGGACTGGTGTCAGCGGAACCACCTCCTCATCAACGCGGGGAAGACCAAGGAGATGGTGGTGGATTTCCGTCAACGTCACTCTGCCGCTCCAGCCCCAGTGTACATCCAGGGAAAGGGAATTGAGAGAGTGGACTCTTACAAGTACCTGGGTGTTCATCTGAACCACAAACTGGACTGGACTCATAACACAGACGCCCTCTTCAAGAAGGGCCAGAGCCGCCTCTACCTGCTGAGGAGGCTCAGGTCTTTTGGAGTGCAGGGGCCACTCCTGAAGACCTTCTATGACTCTGTGGTGGCATCAGCCATCTTGTACGGTGTGGTCTGCTGGAACAGCAGCATCACAGAGAGGGACAGGAAGAAGCTGGACAAGGTCATCAGGAAGTCCAGCTCAGTCCTGGGCTGTTCCCTGGACACAGTGCAGCAGGTGGGGGACAGGAGGGTCCTGAGCAAACTAACATCTATGCTGGACCATGACTGTCACCCCCTGCAGGACACTCTCTGCTCTGGAGAGCAGCTTCAGTGACAGACTAATTCACCCTCGATGTGTGAAGGAGAGGTTCCGCAGGTCTTTCCTTCCTGCTGCTGTCAGACTGTACAACAAGAATGTGTAACAGGAACTGCTGAGTCTGCACAAGTGTTTCTGATAATTCACTAGTAACTTTGTCACTAGTCACTTTACCTGTTATCAGTACTACTACAGTACTACATATCTGATATTTACTGTTATCAGTACTACTGTATTATTTCATATCTGATAATTCTGCCTTCCACCGTCACTTTACCTGTTGATATCTTACTGTATTATTCATATCCATCTGATAATTCTCCCATTCAAGTCACTTTACCTGTTGATATTATTTCTGATGCTTATTCTGCTCATATTCTCATATATCTGCTGCTAATGTATAATATAGACATCTGTAAATACTCCGAACCAAGTGCAATTGTAGCCCAGATTTTCTTATTTTATTTTATTTTATCTTAAATTTATTGTCTATTATCTTAAATAATAGACTTTGATGTGTGCAATCTGAGTGCTCTTATTTCCTTTCTCTGCTGTAATGTGCAACGATGACACTGAAATTTCTCCACTGTGAGACTAATATCAATCAATCAATCAATCTTTATTTATAGGGCGCTTTTCCTGCACAGGGCAACACAAAGCGCCTCACAGTCCACACCACACAATGCACAAATCATCACCATTAAAATACAATTAAAAACACATATGTAATTAAAAAGCATTAAAATCACATAAGTAATTTAAAAACATAAGAATCACACAAGTAATTAAAAACAATAAAATAGTTAAAAACACAAAAAGTTACAACAATAAATAACAAGGTGTGTTAAAAAGATAAAATTCTCTAGTTGTATGCACAGGAAAAAAGAAAAGTCTTTAACATGGATTTGAACATTGACAGAGAGGCAGCCAGTCTCACATCCTCAGGAAGACTGTTCCAGACTTTAGCTGCATAAATCTGAAAAGCAGCCTCCCCCTGTCTAGTCCTGACTCTGGGCACTAACAAGAGTCCCGTCCCTGCGCTCCTCAGAGTCCGGGCTGGTTCATATGGGACTAGCATATCATGGATGTACTTTGGTGCAAGGCCATGGAGAGACTTGTACACCAGGAGAGCTGCTTTAAAGTCTATCCTCTGGGCCACGGGAAGCCAGTGCAGAGACCTGAGGGCCGGACTAATGTGGTCGTACTTCCTGGTTCTAGTCAGGACTCGGGCTGCAGCATTTTGAATATACTGCAGCTGTTTTACTGCATGTTTGGAGATACCTGTGAGCAGGCCATTGCAGTAATCCAGCCTACTGGAAACAAAAGAATGGATAAGAATCTCCAAGTCTGCCCTGGACACAATATTTTTAATTTTGGCAATATTTTTCAGATGATAAAAAGCTGCTGATGTTACCGATCCAATGTGGCTATTGAAGTTTAAGTCAGAGTCCATTATTACTCCCAGATTTCTGACCTTATTTAAAGGCCTCAGGGAGAGAGACTGAAGGTGACAAATGACGGTCTCTCTTTGTTTCTCGGGACCAAAGACAATCATTTCGGTTTTGTCCGCATTTAGCTGGAGAAAATTGCATTGCATCCACTCACTGATCCGCTGGATACAGCGAAGGAGTGAGTCCACCGGTCCATGCTCTCCTGCAGTCAGTGAGACATAGATCTGAGTGTCATCAGCGTAATTGTGGTAGGACACTTTCATACTTTGAATTAACTGACCTAATGGCAGCATATAAATATTGAACAGGAGAGGTCCCAGAATCGACCCCTGTGGCACTCCGCAGGTCAGGGCCATATTATCTGAGACATAGTCTCCAATCTCCACACAATACTTCCTTTCTTCTAGATAGGACCTAAACCAGCTTAGGGCGGTACCAGCAACACCAACCCAGTCCTCCAGTCTCTGCATGAGAATCTCATGGTCAACGGTGTCGAAAGCGGCACTCAGATCTAACATGACTAAAACAGAGACTTTTCCTGCATCAGTGTTAAGCCGAATATCATTTGTTACCTTGACTAGAGCGGTCTCAGTACTGTGGTGTGGTCTAAAGCCAGACTGGAACATGTCAAATGAGCCATTAGATATCAAAAATTCAGTAAGTTCTTGGTAGGCAACTTTTTCAAGAATTTTTCCCATGAAAGGCAGATTTGAGATGGGACGGTAATTTTCAAGTACCGCAGCATCCAAACTGCTCTTTTTTAGGAGGGGCCTGATGACTGCCTTTTTCAGGGCCATTGGAAATGTTCCAGATAAAAAAGACATGTTTACTATTTGTGTCAATGAGGGTAATAGACTACACATAACAGACTTCAGAAATCTAGGAGGTAGTACATCCAGACTGCAGGTAGAGGAACTAAGACCTGTGATTATCTTTTTAACAGTTTCATCATTGACAGGTGCAAATTGAGCTAGCTCACAAAGCCTCACTGGATGTTGCATTGTTACTTGTGTTGTAGAGGTGATGGCATTTCTGATACCCTGAACCTTGTCTCTGAAGAACTGTGCAAACTCATTACACCTGGATTTGGAGTAGTGTTCTAATGGCAACTCAACAGGGGGGTTCGTTAATCTATTGATTGTTGAAAATAGAACACGCAGATTGTTGCTGCAGCCTTCAATAGTTTCAGAAAAGTATAATTCTCTTGTTCTACGTAGTACTCTGTTAAACTCACACAACTTCTCTTTTAAGAGTTTATAATCACCCTGGAGGTTGGACTTTCTCCACTTTCTCTCTGCTCTCCGGCACTCTTGCTTCTGTGCCCTGACCGGGCCTGCTTTTATCCATGGGGCTTTTTGCTTATTTGTGACCATTTTTACCTTCACAGGGGCAATGGCGTCCAGAACATTCAACACACTAGAGGTGACAGAGTTAAACAGTTCATCTACAGTAGAACATGATGTGTTCTCAAAATGGATCATTCCCATAAATAGTTCACCCGTGTTTTCATTTAAGTGTCTACTTCTAACAATTTCATATTTAGCGGGTGGTCTGGTAGCAAAACACATGTTAAAAAATACACAGAAATGATCCGACAGAGCAACATCAACTACATTAACTTTTGAAATATTCACCCCTTTCGTGATAAGCAGGTCCAGGGTGTGTCCTCTGCTATGGGTGGGGCCACTCACATGCTGAGTGAGGCCAAAGGATTCAAGTTTGGAACTCAGCTCTTTTGCATATCTGTCATTAACATTATCCACATGAATATTAAAATCGCCTATAATGACTAAACCATCAAAATCTGTGCACACAACTGAAAGCAACTCAGTGAAATGATCAGTGAAACTATGGCATGACTGTGGCGGCTTGTACACAACAATAATAAGAATGGAAGAAGATTTCTTTTGTTCTATTTTAAAAGAAACATACTCAAATGATGAAAATTTCCCAAGAGACACTCTATGGGAGACAATACGATCTTTAAAAACTGCTGCTATGCCCCCCCCCCCCTTTTATTTTCTCGTGTTTCATATTCAAACACGAGAATATGAAAATATGAAAGGTTTATCTTATCTTATCTTATCTCCAGATGTTAATGCTCGGCTTGGTCAGGACTACCGGAGCTGGAGGATTGTACCTAGTGAGCATATTTTTAGTGGTAGGGGAAACCGGAGCACCCGGAGGAAACCTACGCAGGCACGGGGAGAACATGCAAACTCCACTCAAGAAGGCCCTGTTCCGACCTGGATTTGAACCCAGGACCTTCTTGCTGAGAGGTGAGAGTGCTATCCGTTCAGCCAGTTATGGCTGCTGAAGTTTTTGATTTGATATGCGAAACCATCGCATCTGGAAACCTACGCAGACACATGGAATCTGAAGAGACTGTGATCATTGGTCCATTAGGTTGTATAAAAGATGAACTGGTCCTTTATCTGTCCCACAGTGAGGACATTTGTAGTGTATGGTATATTACAGTAGTGTGTGTTAGTAACACACACTACTGTAATGTAACACATACTACTAACACAGTGTTACATTACAGTAGTGTGTATTATAGAGTAGTATTGTGTGAAAACACTACCCAGATAGCAAAAGGACATCGTTTCAACATTTAAATAGTGTTATGGCCTGTGATTGAATAGATGTTGAAAAATGACGTTGAACTGCGATTGAAAGCGCTCGATATGATAGATGTCGAACACAACGTTGATTTTTGATCTTTTCTGACATGGAATCAATGTCATGCAAATAACATTGATTAGGAGTTGAATAGATGTCGAAATTCAAATGTTTTTTAAACATGGATTCAACATTGATTAAACGATTGAAATATGCCTATATTCAACCTTTTTTAAACTATATTTTGATTATTGGATTTACTTACCGCGTCACCACCTAAATCAACCACTAAACATTCACCGCGGTCATCATGTTGAGTCATTTACACAGGCATAACCAGTCCAATATGGATCTGAGGCATAATCCATCTCCTCCTGTTGTTTGTTTACATTACGCATCCATATAGCACTCAGAATGACAAGTTTACCAAGGTATTTACATTACAAAATTTTACTGCGCATGCCCCATTTAAATCGTTATTTGGTGCCTATAGCGTGACAGTGCCTCCTGCAGTCCCAAGACAGGTATTACAGCATAAGTTACATCTTTTTTGTTTTTTTGCATTACGAAACACGTACAGCCCAGCACTTCAGCACTTTTGCTTCCATGAATAAATAGTAAAAAAAACAATAACCTGCCTCCATGAAGAATGTACAGTAAATTAAAAACAAACAAACAAAAAGCATTTGGAGCAGAAGCACATGAGACATGGAGAAGAGACAGGAGATTGAGTTTTGACCAAATACCACAAAAATAAATAGAAAACCCATTGCTTATGGTGATATATTGGGGTAGGTTTTAAGTGTAAAACTATAAAAGTAAAATAAATAAATACATATCTCCCCAGGATCCAGTCAAGAATGTATGAATTATAGGCAAGTCAATGTTAATTTATACCGCATTTCAAACACAAGGTTACTCAATGCGAATATATATTCCCTCAATTTGTTGCCAACACAATGTAACCACTGTATAATACTTTGTTTCATAAAAGTACTTATTTACAGGGCCATCATAATTAAGGCTATCCAGGTAATTGTAGTGTAGCAATAAAACGTTTGTAGAAGTGGTGCAGATTTGGTTAGTGTCACGAGGAACACTGGTACACAGCATCATTTTCAATATTTAACGGAATTATACACAACGAGCAATTTGTGCCAAAAAATGTGTTCAATTTCATTCAAAACTGGAGTTCAGTGTGTTTTGGAGCTTATTTTTTTGTATTTTCAATGAATATTTGCAGTAACACAGTTATATAACATCACTATTTTCAAAGATATGTACAATTAATGCCTGTTGGAATACATTTTAATGCGTTTTAATTACATTTAAGGCCTTTATTTCACAATTCATTCAATAATAAATAAATGACCCTAACAAATTGATATATTGCCAGACAGTAGTGCATTTCTTTAAAAAAAAGAAAGAAAGAACAGAACAGATCATTTTAGAACACACAATATGAAGACATCCTAATTGCATTTGAGATGGTGCTGTAAAAATTGCATTACTTGATTGCTTTGTTGTTCGTGATATCAACTTGGGACTTCTGTAAAAGAGAAATGGAAATCATTATTAAAGCTTTTAGATTTGGTTTTAATGCTTTTTGATTTTTCTGTCTGACAGTGAATGACTAGTACAAATGAAGTGTATGTGAAATGCTGTATTTACTCACAAATAAATATTTAATTGGCATTACCCCTTGTGTCTTACCATGACATTTTTTATTTTACATTATAGGCTATTCAACTTTAACCTTATAAATCGCAGTGTGCTAATCATAGATCGTGGCTTTACCGAAGTGCTTTAGCCCCCTCTATTGTGTGGGGAAAGTTATTGTTAAACTAAGCAGCGAATTATTAACTACCTAATAAAACCCATTTGCATAACACAACCTTAATACCATCCTTGTTCCCTTATCAACCGGGTGCTGAGGAATTGTAAGCAGCTAAAAACAGCCCCTTAAACTGAGCTTTTTTGGTGGCAAAGTTTAACGTTAGCTTGGCATAATGTTGGTTACACATCAGCTTCTGACAAACTACTAAGAAAATAGCATAACATAGCCTAAAGCAACACCTTACATTCTATTTATTAGCTCACTGATCACACCCAAGACGATGATTTAAGTTTAGAAGCGATGAGCACTTACCAGTTCTGACTTTCTCCGTCTCCGTCTCCGAGATGCGGGGGCGCTGTACACTTAACTAAAATCTCCCGGGCTTGTAGTCCTTATATCGAAACAACATTGATTTATTGGGAATTTTTCAACCAAAAAAAATATACAACCGATTTTTAACAGTGATTCAATGTTACACTTTCAATGGTTAAAATTCCATCTGTAATTTAAGGTTGATTCAATGTTACACTTTCAATGGTTAAATTTACATCTGTAAAATAAGGTTGATTCAATGTTACACTTTCAATGGTTAAATTTCCATCTGTAAAATAAGGTTGATTCAATGTTACACTTTTAATGGTTAAATTTCCATCTGTAAAATAAGGTTGATTCAATGTTACACTTTTAATGGTTAAATTTCCATCTGTAAAATAAGGTTGATTCAATGTTACACTTTCAATGGTTGAACTTATGTCCATAAAATAGTGTTGATTCAACATTCTTTTTTTAATTATTGATTTATTATCTGTAATAAAACATTGAATCAACATTTTTCTTTCAACCTCAACCAAAAGTCAACCATCTGACCCTAAATCAATGTTGAAACGATGTCCTTTTGCTATCTGGGTAGTACATTGTAGTAGTCGTGTCTTCTACAGACATTACGGTCTGCACTGAAGCCCCGCCCCTCGCGCATCAGAGCGTCTCTTGTCTCTCTCATCATCCGCACGGAGCGAGCGCGGAGTGAACAAAATGTCATCTGGATCATGGACATGAGCGGCTGGAGCTGCGCTGTGGCCCGCAACAAGTGTGCCTCGACATGCGGATCCACTGCAGAGTACTTGTGCTCGCCTTGTGCCTCGGAGTTTTCTTAGTTTTATACTTTTTAGGAGGTAACGGAGCGGACGAGCCGCTGCTGAAACAAGTTGTGATCGTGAAACAAGAGAAGCGCAACTCTTCCCCGTCGCCATCGGAGCTAGGACGCAATGTTGCAGTGAAGTTTGCTGCAAAGAAACCAAAGTATACAGTTCACAACGACGACAATGCAGTCATCAAAGCGGAGGGTGCGAAAAGGTGAGAGCACTTTGTGCAGAGCACGCATAAGCGCCACTAGGAAGATGCAGGTTGTGTTTGAAACTATGTCCATTTATTTGGGTTGTGAGTCACTGTCTTGCAATGGTTGTTTAAAATCCTGAAATTTGAGAAGGCAGCATTATTAATGTAGAGGTATTTGGAGAAAAATGGGTCTTAGAGAAATGCCATAACATTGTGTTAGCAGTGTGATCGTTAGTGATGGGGTTTATTCACCTTGACTCCTATTCCACATATATTGTTTGATAAAATGTGTTCAAGACGAGTTACATATAAGCTGTTGTAAAAGTGTAATTGCTGAGTATATTGTTTATACTTTCTGCACTAAATCTGAAATGCTTTCGCTTTTTGCAACAGCCCTATAGTTGGCATGTATGTTGCATGCAAAGATATCATCATAGTGTCAGTGTCAGTCATGGGTACTTGTAAGATTATTTTTTAAGAAGTGCATTCAACAGCAAAAGCATAGAAATGAATCATGGCTTTGACTTTACTTGTTTTTTCAAAGAGATTAATTGTATTATGCTTTTCCAAAGTCTTCATCCATGAGCTCCTCTATGTTGATGCCACATTGCCATACAATGTGGCTGTTGAGATACCCTTCCCCTGCAGTCAATATGTATTCTACGCTGTGCCAAATCCAAACTGAAGGTTGGGGACAGAGCTCGGAAGATAAAAACCATCAAGACATTACATAGCGAGAGGAACCTCTGCGCCCCCTTAGAAACTGCAGCGCGTGTGCACAGCAGATAAGGCAGATGGGGTGGAACGGGCCACAGGAGGGTGAAAAAGGGATGGAAAATGTGTTAGGCTGACTGCTATGCACATACACACCAAGGCTGCACAATAATAAATCACAGTTTTATTTGATTCCTAGTGTTTCAGCATATTTAAACTATCTATCGGAAGTTTGACCTGGAAACAAATAGCTTATGGGTAATAATAAAGTAAAAATACACATTATTGTAAGCATTTTATCTCGAGTTTCTTCTTTGAATTTGCTGAACTTGTCTGGTAGAAGAGATGGCCTAGTGCAAGGTTAGTCCAGGCTTATGCTGGCTAAAGATTACAGGAGTTTTTGTCTTGTGAGGTGTTAAGTAGTGACACTCACAGAGATTTCTGTAAAGGACATGGCTGCCTCCCCATTCAACAAAGGCACCTCATATCTTCCCTGTCCTTTCTTTTCATTTTGAATACATTAGGAATCAATATTACATTTACACTTAGCATCAACACTTATTTGATTTCACAGCATAAAAAGAAAACCCAAAACTGAATAACCGACAGTAACTCAATTGGTAGAGCATTGGCCTTTGGGCCTGAATGTCGTGGATTCGAGCCCACCTCAAGACCTACTTCATGACTCCCATTGATGACTGCTGTTGTTGTGTCCTTGGGCATGACACCTAACCCCACTTTGCCTGAAGCCCCAACTGAAAGATCTCAGCTCCTGTGGACTCACCACCTGCAGTAGGATCAGTGAGGGGCTGGTGCTAAGTGTACTGGGTGCAGCTCTGACTCTCACCCCCCTAACCCAGAAATGGATTAAGGGGAAGAAAATTGATGGATGGATGAATAAACATATCACATCATAGCTCATTATTTTCATTATATTTGTTTATATGTTTGTGATGACGCACTTTTGAATAGTCTAATAGAAATAATAACACTCGTCACAGTTAAATACATAGAGATCAAGTAAAACAACTGTATACATCTGAAAATAGATTAGATCCTGTCATTATGTATTCGCTTTTTATGTATTCAATCAGACCAGCATGTTGATTTCCTGCGTCGCTTTCTGAATATATAAACGGGCCGTGTTTTCTAATCTCATCGTTTCCTTTCAACACATCAGTCTACTTCCTGTGTCCAAAAATAGAGGGAAGATCTCAGCTGTCATCCAAAACACCAGCCCTCATAAAATGGCCTGCATGGGAAGCAGAGGGGCGGTGACACATGATACACGAGACATAGATGAATCTAGAATAACAGATCCATTCAGAAAGACAATACTGTTTTGATCAGACATATGTTGAATCTTCATATCCTTATTATGGTATTTTATGGTAAACTAACCATACGCTGCATTGAAACGATCACGTAGAGGTTTGGAACTCTGTTGATTTTGAGCCTCGACACTAATCCTGGCCGTGTCATTCCAGATAGTGCAACATTTCTTGGCATTAGCAGTTACTCCGGTGCTTTGGCATCATGTTGCGCTGTAAAAATGTCACCTCGCATGACAGACTAGTACACTTCCCATGAGGAGCGAGGTTTAGAAGTGTAAAAGCTCTCTGAGAGGTGCTGGAGACGGGCTCAGAGTCTGTGTTTGTCGGCTTGCTTTAATGAGTTGTAAAGGGCTTGCGGGGAAAAATAAGTTTTGAGTCATTTGTCGGGTTCAAATCCAAGACTTTTTCCAAAGCAAAAGGAAGCAAAACAAAGCAGAGAGAGTCGCAACATAATGTGAAAATTTTGCTTCAAGCTACAAACAAGTGTTACTGAAAAATAATGAGGCCAGTTGGTTCACTTCATTCCTTTTGTGTAAAAAACATAAGTTTGCTAAAGATACTGAACAGATTTACAATAATTCAATATGCAAATAAGTGACTGTGGCATATCCGCGGAACAGACTTGCAACATTGGCCTCAGATTCAGATTCAGATTCCGTTTATTTGCCATTTGCAGTAAAAAAAACACATTGGAATACATTGGCAAAAGTCACCAGTGTGCACAGACAAATACAGACATAAAACAACTTTAAAAGTACGGAAATAAAACAAATAAAACAGTAAACAAATGTCACTGTGAAATCGATCGGCTAAAACAGTTTCAAAACAAGTGCAAATCATTAAAGTGCTCTGTTCAAACTGATAACAGCTTGTGGAAAAAAGCTGTTAGCATAACGAGATGTCCTGCATCTCAGAGAACGATATCTTCTGCCAGAGGGAAGAAGCTGGAACATGGCTTTTCCAGGGTGGCCAGAAGAGTCAAACAGGCTGGAAGTTTATTCATCTGCTCATGTGATCAAGTCATCTGAGATTCTTTAGTAAGAATAATAAGTATAATAAGTATAATTGTATAATAAGTAACCTTATTATACAACGTCACATAATACTTCATAGAGACAGTGCCATTATTATTCAGAATTAAGCAAAAAATCAATAAATAATTACTTGTAGAAACTGAAAGGTCATTGTACTCTCTCATTAGGTGATGAAAACGTACAGCCATGCGACTGTACTGCTCTGAGTTGTTCAATACTCCTATACCATGGTAATAATAATAGTGCATTGGTTTTATACAGCGCTTTTCAGGACACTCAAATACCCTTCACATCTCATTATTAATTCACTCCATACACGGTGGTGATAAACTACTACAGTAGCCACAGCTGCCCTGGGGCACACTGATAGAAGCGAGGCAACCAGTATGTGCTTCCGACCACCACCAGCCATTCACACACACACCAGACTCATTCTAGGCAATGGGAGTGAAGTGTCCGAGCTGAGAGCAGGCAAAAGCTTCTTAGCAACTGTTGCCATGACCAAAATGAAGACGCAGAAGAAAACAAGCTTTTTCTACATTAAATTCAACTCATGGTTTTTACAAATTTATGAAAAAATACCATGTTTTGCATCTTAATTCAAGGTCATGCCCTACAATAGGCCTTTAGGAGTAACTTTATAATGCAAATTGTAAATTAACTGAGTGATACTGAACCTGTATTAATTAAATCGAGTCTGCATCGTATATATCTGGTAATAAATTAGATCCTGTCGTGGCTATGATTCTCTGACAATGGTGTGTTAAATTGAATCTTTTTATATAGGGTTGAATTAAATGGGCAAGCTTTAGCAGTAACACGTTCAACTTTTAGTGCTTTGTGTGTTTCCCATGCCAAGCCAGAGACATGATAGCTGCTTTCCACTGCCAATACAAACTCACCAGAGCTTAAAAAAACATGTACGATAATTTTCTGCCTGTAATCTTATGGCAGTTTTATCTTGTGTGCCCTGAAATCATGTGCCACCCGAATTTTTGCAAAGTAAGTGCACATACCTGTCCAAATCAAAACAGTACAGTCATAAATGGGAGTAAAATCACATCAATAGTCAAGCTTGTTCGTAGTGACTCTATTCCACATTATGACAAACTGTTTCCAATGCTTTCAATTTTTAAGTTTTCCTGACAACCTGTATACCCACTCAGAATGAAAGACATTAGAACAAAGGGTACAAAGTGATTTATTTAAAAAATCTCTTTTCATTTCCTGCACTTCACACACTGTCAGTATTTCCTTTGTCAGGCACGAGCCTTTGCGTGTTCATATTTCTTTGACATTATTTCTGAAAGAGTCTCTGTTTTGCATAATTTAAAACCACTGTCTGTGTCGCTTTGTACCGTTCTTCTTTCTTGGCTGCCACGAATCAGTCCTCTCTTCTTCTTCTTCTTTCTTTTTTTCTTTTGAGAACTCATCTTGTCTCCAGATGTGAAAGCCTTGCCCTGTCACAAAACTCCAGCACGGCACACGCCTTTTGCCAAACGCAGTTATTTGTGTGTCGTCAATTATGCACAGGATTCATTTGCAGTGCCCTTATTTTGATGCATGATGGGATTAGAATATATGATAAGATTACATATACCCTTTACTCGTCCGCACATTACAGCAGAAAAGGAGGAAGTAGAAGCCCTCAGATTGCACACATCACAAGATATATTAACAATAACTATATACTAAAATACAATAAAATCTCTAACTCTAGCATAAAAAGAAGCAGTATAAAATCTCTAACTTTAGCATAACAAGGAAAGAAGTCTTAAAATCTCCAACTTTAGCTTTTTTGAAGAAGCAAGAATTAAGTATTATAGATAATAAAATAATATGAATTACTAGAGAATAAGATAATAAAAGTCTGGAGCTAAAATGGCACTTTATGATGAATGATTTATTGTGTATGGCCGAGTATGGGTTTGAAGGGGAATTTAGCAGCCAAGATTTCTCTGCATTTTATTTATAGTATTTCTTACTATCATGCTTTCTCCCTAAGCCATCCAGAAAACTGTGTCTTACTACAGCCCTTTGTGTAGTAGAAAATCATGATTGCGATTTTCTCTTTCTGTTCTGTTTGGGTGGTAATTAAAAAGTAATTTACACCTGTCATGTATTAAAACACATCATGTTTAGGCTTGTAGCTTGGATTTCTTTGGTTTGTATAAGGGAGGGGGAACATCCTGATTTTCCCATTATCACATCACATACTAGATTTTATACTTTATTGTGCAGACATTTCTCCATTGTGATATCCATCTTGTATGATTTTCCATCCTTCAGAAGAAAGAACATTAAAAAAGGATTATGTCTTTACTGTATCTTGTCTAATCCACTCGTCACTTATACCCAGAGCCTCTCAGACATTGACCAATAGGAGGAGGCAAGCGTCTTAAAACCAGTCCAAGAAAACTATTGCCATCAGAATCAGTTGTCCCCTGCTACTATTATCACGCAGGGCACTATACTCTTGAGCTGGACTGAGAAAAACTGTTTTAACAGAACTCTTAAGCTCCCCTCAATCCAAATCTAATATTGGAAAAAGCCGTTTGGTTGTGACCACTGATCCTTCTACTTAAAACAAAAGCGCCTCTGTTCATGTTGCTATTTCTCTCTCCTTTAGTCTCTCAGTCTGTGTGCAGAGGCGAAGAGCCAGAGTCAGCCTCAAGCCATGCTGAGTGCGCTGAAACCTAATAAACAGAATAGTATATATGCAACTAGAGCTCCTTGTGTGGATAATAAAAAATGCTGAGCTCCGTCCACTTTGTAGTAATCAAACTAGCAGAGATCGTTATCCTGTTACATTTAGTAGTTTTTTATAAAGGCTAGACCTCTGTGGGTTATTCTGTGTTTTATTACTGTAGTCTGTCAACTCATATTGTAGTTTTAAAACAAAAATCACATTGAAGTATGAAACAATTCCAAAAATGTGTCAAGAACATTCAATAAACATCCAATGTTATTTGTAACACCCAAATATTGTTTTTAAAAGTTATTTCAATTTAAAAATATATTTAAAAAAGGATTCCGACCAGTAATTGAAAAAGTAACAAAAGCGTTGGTTATAGAATAATCCTAGACAAGGTATAATCATGAAGAATTATGAGTTTAATAGATAAACTGTGATAAATTTGAATCTTTTTTTGCCCATTTTGGACGATTACTATTTTACTTACAATTTTACTGACTTACATTTTAACAATCGTTCAAGTATTGTACAGAGACGCTGACATCGCAAATATAATCAATGTGCCTTCAGTCACTGTTTTTTTGGACTGCCCTGCGGTATCGCACTGCACAACTGGGCTAAACTACAGACCCCCGAGAAGCAGAGGCCAAAATCCAACACATCAGGACATCAATTTCAGCATTTTGACATTTCTCATTCCTAAATCTAATCCTTGAAGCCAGATTGTTTTAAAAGAAGTAAAAACAAATGAAGTATTTGAATTGTTTTCATATAGCCCTAAATCTTAAAAGACTTTACAAAGTTCTACAAAATTCTGCAATAAATAAATTGGTCCATTTAGGGAGGGACCTGACCAATGACTATAATATAAATGTTAATAAATGGCAAAGAGTCCCTCCTGCAACGGCAAGGAACGACTCAAAAAACCCAGAGGGAAAAATGCGAGGAAGCTTAGGGGAGGGCCATATTTAGAGGGACTCAGGCTGTAGAACGGGGACTGAGACTCCCAGGCATGGAGAGCTGCAGCCCCCGGCCCAAGCATGAGTCAAGTGCAAAATTCCGCCTATAAAATCTATGACACTGTTGATCCATCCATCCATCCATCCATTTTCTTCCCCTTAATGCATTTCTGGGTCGGGGGGGTGGCAGTCAGAGCTGCACCCAGTACACTTAGCACCAGCCTCTCACTGATCCTCCTGCAGGTGGTGAGTCCACAGGAGCTGAGATCTTTCAGTTGGGGCTTTGGGCAAAGTAGGGTTAAGTGTCTTGCCCAAGGACACAACGACAGCAGTCATCAGTGGGAGTCGTGAAGTAGGTCTTATGGTGGGCTCGAACCCACGACCTTCAGGCCCAAAGGCCAATGCTCTACCAACTGAGCTACTGTCGCCCTGACACTGTTGATATTTTACGAAATAATAAGACATTGATCTAGCTGATCCAGTTTTATTGGATTTGAGCGCCCTGAATAGATTGCAGCGTTGATGTAAGTTCCTCTCTCCATCCTGAAGGAGGTGACAGAAGGATGGATTTACCCGTGACCATTGGGGTTGTCAGGGGGATTGAAATGGATTCTTGCGGAGCTGACACGAGGGTGACGTGTCGCTACATGTTGACAGGCCGTGAGGAGAGCTGTCATTTCCTGCTGCTTTGAGAATTGATGCTTTTGGTCACAGGTGCAAGCGTGGTAAACAATGCTCCCCACCTTCCCTGTGTTGTTGATATATGTGCTATTACAATCCCTGTGGGAAGATTGCATTATTGTGGTGGGAGGTGCAATATTTTTCAATCGGATAAGGATGCGGTGCATATTTGTGTATAGTTGATATACAAACATGCATTATTTATTTGAAGAAATTGAGATAATTAAGATTAAGAGATCCTTTATTCGTCCCACAGTGGGGAAATTTCGGTGTTGCATTACAAGTTATAGAACAGTAGAAAAGAGGAGCACACGGCACACATTAAGTGAACAATAGCTATACTAATTAAAATAAAACAAAATCTCTAACTCTAGCTTCAATAATAAGTATAAAATCTTGAAAATAATAATAGATTTAATTTGGCAAAATAAGAGGCAAATATAATATTTTGGGATTTTAAAATGATAATGAGACTATTTTTTCTACTATTTACTTTGTCATTTCAGTTTTTAGAATGTGAAATATTTTACCTAGAAAAAATATGTAATATTTGGTTAAACAAGTATGACGTGTATACTGCTATCAGCCTGTGTAAATTGAATGTTGAATGTTAATTATTGTATTTTTAATTATTTATTTTGGGTTATTTTCGTTAGCCTGGCCTTAGCCATTCGTAAACTCCTGTCAATAATCCCTGCATGTACGAGATGTAATTTGTAGGATGGTGTGGTACAACCAGGCTAGTCACAAATAGACTTGAATGAAAAAGGCAACTCGCATCCTCCAACAAACCTGTCAGGAATAAAACAGACAGAGACGGATCGCGGGGCACCATAGCTCTGGAAGTTTATTCAGGCTTCTCTCAGGTTCTAGTGGTTTCAGTTGTTTCAATCTTTTTCAGAAAGAATAAAGGCAGGACATGATTTATATAGTAATTGTTATGTCACACATCGAAAGACATACTGTACGTGTCACATTCAGCGACACTCAGAGCATATTATAGTCAAAACATGGATACACAATCGGAGTCCTTGTAGAGTCTTGCGTAGGCCACCTGGTAGATCATATAGCTATCTAATCCTCATACTATAATAAAATGCTTCACTCAAGTGGATAAAATCATTCAGATTCTCTTAACAATTACCAAGAAATGTCTCAATTCTGCTGTTAGTTTATAGCACCATAAACATCCCAGTCACATACAGTAGAAGAATGTCTGCAAAGTGAGATTGTTTCGACCTGCACTTTTTTTTCCATTGTGTTACGGATTCAAGATGTGTAGTATTTCATCGCTCCCATCTTCTGTGTTTCCAGCAAACAGCGTAACACGGGGCGACCTGTGACCAAACGAGCCCGAGCAGAGGAGGGCATGCACCTGGCTGTAGTGGCCTGTGGGAACCGTCTGGATGAGACCCTGACCATGGTTAAATCGGCCCTCCTGTTCAGCCGGAAAAAGATCACGTTTCACATATTTGCAGAAGACCCCTTGGCCCCGCTGTTTAAAGAGAGGGTAAGATTTTTTTTTGTATTGAAGTTTTACAAAATGGTACAGATCTCTCAGTAAACGTGTACAAACTAACTTCAGTAGATAATAATGTACCACAGGGGGATAACATAAAACTAGTCTGTGGGTGGAAGAACCGGGGAGGGGGGGTTGTTATGAAAAGCAACATCTCCACAATTTGGATTTGAAGGTATATTGGAGAATTTTCTACTTCCGGGTGGATCATCAAGACTATTGATCCCCCCAATTGTCAATCATTCTGGTGATACGTTCTCGTCCAATAAGACCAGAGAGTTTTGTGTGGGTGGTTCTTTCTTAAAATTTGGGAAAATACTTTTATATATTTTTAAATCTGGAAAATGTTTCAAAATGTGTGGTTTTTATTGCTTTTGGCCGATTTGGAAGATGAATATATTGCATATATAGATTAATTTTGTTTTGAAATGTGGTTTTCTATTTAAAAATGTTGATTTGTGATTGTGGAATATGCTCAAACAGATGAACTAAGTCGTATTTAGCGTTGCATCTGTTAAAGAAACCACAGAGCGTACAGAAAGAGAGGGTAAGATTGCGTCAGTAGGTAAATGCTTTCTCTGTCTACGTGTTGTGTATTCCCCTACTGGTAGAAGCGTGTTCTTTTTTTCCCAATCCTGTGATTCCAAGTTTTGTGCAATGCATGTTAAACACTCTGCATTGCTTCATAGTTGATGACAAGATCAGAGCAGTTTTAACTCCCCTTGTGACTCCCGGTAGTACAGACACATAACCCTTTTATCTCAAAGCTGGGCCGTAATATATCACTCAGACACCCTGCTTTGCCCAGCACCACTCCCCACTTCAAAGTCACCTCTGCTGCTGCTGCTGCTGCTGTGCCGGCTCTCATTTGGATTAGTTACACTGCTTCTCTAACTATCATCCTATCGTGAGCGTTTTTCTAACAAGCCCAGGTTTGATATTTGAAAAATGTAACAAATATACCAGTTGCAGTAAAGCATTTCTCCTTATTAAATCTCCATTAGATAGATAGATAGCTTTATTACAGACTCGTAGTGCAGAACAAAAAATAGACAAGACACTACACACTAGAAGCAGACATCATAAAACAAAAAGTCCCCGAATCTCTTTAGAGGAGACAACTTTACCAGTGTAAGCCCATTGAATCCCATTATGGAGTAATGAATTAACTTGGACTTAAACATCTTCATCAGAGTTCTGAAACTGGCTGTTGTTCACATGTTTAATGAATTGTACATATTATTATTTCCATCCATCATCCATTTTCTACCCAGAGATGCCACCCAGTACACGTAGCACCAGCCCCTCACTGATCCCCCTGCAGGTGGTGAGTCCATGGGAGGATGGCCGCTCTATGGCATAGCCTTGATCTTTCAATGGGAGCTTCAGGCAAAATGGGGTTAAGTGTCTTGCCCAAGTACACAACGACAGCAGTCATCAGTGAGTCGGTGGAGAAGGTCTCATGGTGGGCTCAAACCCACAACCTTTCAGGCTCAACGGCCAATGTGTGCGTTTATGTTCTAAAAGTCTTCTATTTGGACGAGTGTTGAAAATTAGCTTATTGCTAAAACACTGCAGGCAGTGTCTGGTCTGTCTATGTAACTTTCTGTCCATATCAAATAAATAAACTACAATTTATTGACAAATGATTGTATCCACATATTACTATGCGTGAAGAATTTGTGATAAATCTTACTTTAAACAGTGCCTTGCATGTGAATAGAATCCATATGTGGAAAGTTCCCACGTGGCAGCCAGAGATTTGCAGCTGCTTCAGAACATACTGTTCAGTTTGCTCCAAGCGTTTGGTGGATGTATTTTCTTAACACCGAGACGCTCATTTAAAACGCCTCTTCTCGGCCGCGGAATTACTGCGTATCGCAAAAACACTCACACTTTTCAGGGTCAAATGTTAATGCCAAAAGAAGCTTGCAGGTCAAATGACGTGCTTTAGTAATGATTGTTTCTTTAAAGGAACCGCTGTACAGGGCATCGTAGTGTAGGAAACAGAACAAAAAAACTACACTTTTTGGACCTTGGCTTAAGCCCTTCTGGGACAAATACGGTTTTTTGATTAATTGACTGGGTTGGAGAGCCGCAACAACTGGGAGCATACTGATTTAGAACTTACCTGAGGCTTTTTGATCTGGCGTGTGGGTGAGGGAGTGGTTCATCCTTCCTCTTGTTGACCAGAGCTTCTGATCGTCAAATGAATCGAGGGAAGGGACTGATTTTATTTTTCAAATCATCGTTGGTCTTTTTGAGATATTTTCTTTCACTAAAACATCTGCTCCTATTCAGTGTTTGATCTAAGTGAAATGTATTTGTTCAGTGCAAAATAAATATTCATATTATCACTGGAAAATTGATGAAAAATAAATCGAAGTTGCTCAAAGGTAGTCCACATTTTGACTGCCTTAAAACAAGATTTTCCAATGGGATAAGCAAAATAATCTTGTTTTTAAAAGAAAATGTCTCCCATGTAATGACAACTTTCTTGTCCCATCGGCAAATCTTCAGTCAAAATGGACTTGAGCGTTGAAAAACACTCAATTCAAGAAGTTAACCCTCTATGGCATGACTTTTTATTTTAGGGGTAAAAAAATATTTCAACACACTTTTTAAGAGCTCGTGGGTCCCTAATAACATTGATCTTTACATTTGACCCCCCCCCCCCCACCCCCCCCAATCAGATAATGGTTTGTTGCTTAAGGGCAACATTGTGCGACGAGGGTACTAAAACACCAAGGTTTGCAATATTACATTGAATTAGGAAAATAATAAAACAAATACATTAGAGAAGCTTTTATTCTTTTATTTTTCAAGATCAACTTTTTTAAACGGGTACAGAGCACTCCAGATTGCAAAAACAAAAGCAAAAACAGTTCTGAGCCTCTAGTAAGTCACACAGCTGCGGGTCTCGGTAGCCTATTGTGTATGGAACAGCAAGAAGCAGTTGCTAGTGGCTGTGAAACATAGATGTTTCACAGCCAAGACAGAGACCTGAGACCTGGACTAATGTGAGAGGACTTCAGGACAGAGACCTGAGACCAGGACTAATGTGAGAGGACTTCAGGACAGAGACCTGAGACCAGGACTAATGTGAGAGGACTTCAAGACAGAGACCTGAGACCAGGACTAATGTGAGAGGACTTCAGGACAGAGACCTGAGACCAGGACTAATGTGAGAGGACTTCAGGACAGAGACCTGAGACCAGGACTAATGTGAGAGGACTTCAGGACAGAGACCTGAGACCAGGACTAATGTGAGAGGACTTCAGGACAGAGACTTGAGACCTGGACTAATGTGAGAGGACTTCAGGACAGAGACCTGAGACCAGGACTAATGTGAGAGGACTTCAGGACAGAGACCTGAGACCAGGACTAATGTGAGAGGACTTCAGGACAGAGACCTGAGACCAGGACTAATGTGAGAGGACTTCAGGACAGAGACCTGAGACCAGGACTAATGTGAGAGGACTTCAGGACAGAGACCTGAGACCAGGACTAATGTGAGAGGACTTCAGGACAGAGACCTGAGACCAGGACTATCGATTGGAATGTCCCTAACTCCTTCATTCTTGGACCCGTAAAACGTTATTGCATCCATTTCCTACAAGCAATAGTAGATAGATCAGAATGGAAGATAGAACAGCAAAAAACATTGAGTGTGGTGTTGATTATCCATTCAAGCACATCCCCAACCAGCAGCATTACACTGCCCAAACAAAAGTGCTACAACTGCATGATGTTGCCTTGAGGCAACAAACCTAAACGTGCAGTTTTTGTATATAAATGGAAACAAAAAACATATATTAACAATCAAATATGCTTCTTAACATATTCATGCACAGTCACATATTTATTTTATCAAGTTTTTCGAATTTAAACATGTAGAAAAGTTATATTTATCCTACCTTTTTCTGGCACTGTGTCACTTGTGACTCTGCTTCCTGAAAGGACTGCTCCACCCCCAGACAATTGCCCCCACCCACTTCAGAACTTGATTTAATTGGACAGAAACATGTCTAGTAATTTTATAAATAAAATAAAAAAAAAAAACATTAAAGGGCCAGTGTAAGAGCCAAAAGATTGGATTGTTGCCCGAGGGCAACAGTATGCCATAGAGGGTTAATACCTTATAACTAAACCCACTGTTACTGATATTAATTTTAAAATTGCTATGCTTAATGTCAGATCACTGTGCAACAAATCATTTTTAATTAATAATTTTATCCGTTCTTATGATCTTGATTTTATGTTTCTGACTGAAACTTGGCTTGACCAGAGTACAGGTAATGCGGTTTTAATAGAAGCAACGCCACCAAACTTCAAATTTGAATCTGAAATACGAGAAAATAAAAGGGGGGGAGGCATTGCTGCATTATTTAGAGATCGTATTATCTCTCATAGAATTCTCCTTGGAAATTTTCATTTGAGTATATTTCTTTTAAAATAGAACAAAAACAATCTCCTTCTATTCTTATCATTGTCCTGTACAAGCCACCGCAGTCTTGTCACAATTTCTTTGATAATTTCACTGAGTTGCTTTCAGTTGTTTGCACCGATTTTGATAGTTTAGTGATTACAGGTGATTTTAATATTCATGTGGATAATGGCAATGACAAAAATGCAAAAGAGCTGAGTTCTGTACTTGAAACATTTGGTCTCACTCAGCACGTGAGTGGCCCCACCCACAGCAAAGGGCACACTCTAGACCTGCTGGTTACAAAGTTGGTTAATATTTTAAATGTAAATGTGGTTGACGTGGCTCTGTCAGATCACTTCTGTGTATTTTTTGACATGTGTTTTGATAGTAAACAACCATATATATCTGAATCTGCAATTGTCAGACACAGACACATAAATGAAAACACAACCGAACTATTCATGGGAATGATAAACTTTGAGAACACATTGTGTTCTACTGTTGACGAATTGTTTAACTCTGTCACCGCCAATGTTATAAATGTTCTGGACATCATCGCTCCTGTGAAGGTTAAAATGATTACAAATAAGCCAAAGGCCCCCTGGACTAAAATGGACTCAGTCATGGTACAGAAGAGAGAGTGCCGTAGGGCCGAGCGGAAGTGGCAAAAATCCAATCTCCAGGTTGATCATGATATCTTCAAAAATGAGTTGTACAAGTTTAACAGGGTGCTACGTAGAACAAGAGAAATTTATTTTTCTAAAACCATTGATGGCTGCAATAATAATCTACGACTTATGTTTTCAACAGTTAACGGATTAACAAACCCCCCTGTTCAGCTGCCATTCGAATTTGCTTCAGAATCTAAATGTAATGAGTTTGCACAATTTTTCAATGACAAGGTTCAGAGCATCAAAAACGCCATCACCTCCAAGGCAGAAATAACATTACAACAGCCGGTGAGGCTGTTTGAGCTATCGCACTTTGCACCAACAGATAATGAAACTGTCCAAGATGTTGTCTCTAGCCTTAGTTCCTCCACATGTAGCCTGGATGTACTACCCACTAAATTTTTTAAGTCTGTTTTGAGCAGTCTTTTACCTTTGCTCACACAAATAGTGAACATGTCTTTCACATCTGGAACATTTCCAATGGCCCTGAAAACGGCAGTCATCAGACCCCTCCTAAAAAAGAGGAGTCTAGATGCCACAGTTCTTAAGAATTATCGCCCCATTTCAAATCTGCCGTTTATGGGAAAAATTCTGGAAAAAGTTGCTTACCAACAACTTACAGAATTCTTAGTAACTAATAGTTCGTTTGATGCGCTCCAGTCCGGCTTTAGAGCCAATCACAGCACTGAGACTGCACTAGTGAAGGTTACAAATGACATCCGACTTAACACCGACACAGGAAAAGTCACAGTTTTAGTAATGTTGGATCTGAGTGCTGCGTTCGACACAGTCGACCACGAGATCCTCATGCAGAGACTAGAGCACTGGGTGGGTGTCACTGGGACTGCCCTAAGTTGGTTTAGGTCTTACCTAGAAGACAGGAAATACTTGGTTCAGATAGGAAACTGTGTCTCAGATCATATGGCTCTGACCTGCGGAGTGCCACAGGGATCAATTCTGGGGCCTATTCTGTTCAATATTTACATGCTGCCGTTAGGTCAGTTAATACCCTCCAACAATGTATCCTACCACAATTACGCTGATGACACTCAAATTTATGTCTCACTTACTGCAAGAGAACATGGACCAGTGGAATCACTCCTTCACTGTACTCAACAGATTAGTGATTGGATGCAAAATAACTTCCTTCAGCTAAACGCAGACAAAACAGAATTGATTGTCTTTGGTCCTCAGAAACAAAGAGAGAGCGTTATTCGTCACCTCCAGTCTCTCTCCCTGGAACCTGTAGGCAAGGTCAGAAACCTAGGAGTTATAATGGACTCAGACTTAAATTTTAACAGTCATATCAAATCAGTAACATCAGCAGCATTTTACCATCTGAAAAACATTGCCAAAATTAGAAACATAGTGTCTAAATCAGATCTGGAGATTCTCATCCATGCATTTGTCTCCAGTAGGTTAGACTACTGCAATGGCCTGCTCACAGGTCTCTCCAAACAGGCTGTAAAACAACTGTAGTATGTCCAAAATGCTGCAGCTCGAGTCCTGACCAGGACCAGGAAATATGACCACATTAGTCCAGTTCTCAGGTCTCTGCACTGGCTTCCTGTGGCTCAGAGAATAGACTTCAAAGCAGCACTGCTTGTGTATAAGTCTCTCCATGGCCTCGCACCAGGGTACTTAAGCGACTTGTTAGTCCCATATGAACCGGCCCGGACTCTGAGGAGCACAGGAGGTAGCCTCTTACTGGTTCCAAGAGTCAGAACTAAACATGGGGAGGCAGCGTTTGAGATTTATGGAGCTAAAATCTGGAACAATCTTCCTGAAGATGTGAGGCTAGCATCTACTCTGGCAATTTTTAAATCAGGGCTAAAAACTGTTCTTTTTAGCTGTGCATACGGCTGAAGGATTTTATTGATACATACTCTTTTTTTTTTTATGCATTGTGGTTATTTATTATTTTAATCCCGTGTGTTTTTTTTTTTTTTTTTTTTTTTCCATTACTTGTGATTTTATTCTGTTTTTAATGTATTTATTGATGTCTCTGATTTGTGTGATATTATGTGGGTTGTGAGGCGCTTTGAGTGGCCTTGTGTTGGAAAGGCGCCATACAAATAAAGTTGATTGATTGATTGATTGATATTTTTTGCAGTGATTTCATTCGTTTAAGCTCCTTTGCCTCAATATAGTAGTTTCTGTGGCTCTGTGTGTCTGTAATTTCCACATGCTGGATACAATTTGTTGCCTAATATGTTTTTGAACTGGGAAAAAAAACACAAAAAGCAGAAACACTTGTGATAAATGATTCTGTTAATGCAAAGTCTAACCTCACCGTGCTATCTTTGGACACAGTATTAACCTGTGGGCCTTTCCATCCACAGCTGAAGCAGTGGCCTCGCTCCGTCGCAGCTAAGTTTCACTACACCATCTACCCCATCACGTTCTCTGTGGGTGACGCAGAGGAGTGGAAGAAGCTGTTCAAGCCGTGTGCCGCACAGAGACTCTTCCTCCCCGTAAGTATTTGTAGTTCAAAACGCAATTAATGAATCTGTCAGCGAGCCCAATCCAGTTTACCTCTTCATTCGCACCGTTGTTTTACACCGCTGCTTTATAATTTGAGCCAATTATTGATGATTTCACTGCAAAGCTTAGTAAACAAATCTCCTGAGATCAAGTTCGGTAATCAAGTGAAAAAACGTGTGCTTGCTATTGATTCTTTTTTCTTTCAAAGCTGCTGGTCAGTGAAATATCAGCCAAAACTCACTGACCATGTAATCAGCGTAGTGCAGTTTGGAAACGGCCCCATGTTGTATTTTCTGCAGGAAAATCAATAAACAGTGATTATTCTGTTGTGTGTGTATATATATTATACTCGGTTACCACAGTATTCACAGTATGCACCACAACTGTAATGGCATATGCTTAATCTATACCAGACCAGATTAAAAAAAGACATTCAGAACGGTAATCAAACAAAGCAACAACAGGTTAGTTATAGAATAATCCTACACAAGGAAAAAAATCATTAACAATTATGCGTTTAATAAATTAGTGGTGATGTGGCAATAAATTTGAAGGTTTTTATGCCCCCTTTGGACAATTGCTATTTTACTTTCCATTTCTATCTATCATAAAAGTATTGTACAGACGCTGGCATCGTAAATATAATCAATGTTGTGCCTTCAGTCACTGTTATTTTTGATTACCCTGCGGTATCGCACTGCACAAGTGGGCTGAACTACAGACTCCTGAGAAGCAGAGGCCAAAACCTTACACATCCTGACCTCAGTTTCACCATTTCACATTTTGACATCTCTCATTCCTTATTCTAATCCTTTTTAAAGTCAGATCTGTTTAAAAAAAGTAAAAACAAAAGAAGGATTCAACCTGCTGGGGGCATATATGGTCTAGTTCTAGTCCTGATGGACCGCAGCCTCCTGCCTGAGGGGAGTGGTTGGAATAGTCCATGTGCAGGGTGAGAGGGGTCGGCTGTGATACGACCAGCCCGGCCTCGAGCTCGGGCGACGTACAGGTCCTGCAGCGATGGAAGGCTGCGGCCGATCACTTCCTCTGCAGAGCGCACAATGCGCTGTAGTCTCTGTTTGTCCCTGACTGTGGCTCCAGCGAACCACACGGTGATGGAGGAGGTGAGGATGGACTCGATGATGGCCGTGTAGAACTGCACCAACATCTGTGCAGGCAGCTTGGCTTTCCTGAGCTGCCGCAGGAAGTACATCCTCTGCTGGGCCTTCTTGATGAGGGAGCTGATGGTCGGCTCCCACTTGAGGTCCTGGGTGATGGTGGTGCCCAGGAAACGGAAGGACTCCACAGAGGTGATGGGGGAGTCCATCACGGAGGGTGGGGGCGGGGGGACAGTGCTCTTCCTGAAGTCCACAATCATCTCCAATGTCTTCTGGGCGTTCAGCTCCAGGTTGTTACCACTGCACCAGGACACCAGCCGGCCCACCTCCCTCCTGTAGGCGGACTCATCGTTGTTGGAGATGAGTCCAATGAGGGTGGTGTCGTCCGCGAACTTGATCAGCTTCACGGAGTCGTGGCTGGAGGTGCAGTGGTTGGTGTACAGGGAGAAGAGCAGGGGAGAAAGAACACAGCCCTGTGGGGCTCCTGTATTTATAATCCGAGAGTCCGAGACATTCTTCCCCAGACGCACTCGCTGCTTCCTGTCCGTCAGGAAGTCAGTGATCCACCTGCAGGTGGAATCGGGCACGTTGAGCTGGGAGAGCTTGTCCTGGAGCAGGGATGGCAGGATTGTGTTGAAGGCAGAGCTGAAGTCCACGAACAGGACCCTGGCGTAGGTCCCCGGGGAGTCCAGGTGCTGTAGGATGTGGTGGAGGGCCAGGTTAATGGCGTCGTCTACAGATCTGTTGGCTCTGTAGGCGAACTGCAGGGGAGGGGGGAGGTGAGGGACTTGAGATGGGAGAGAACCAGGCGTTCTCTGCCTTATTCTGCCTACTCTGCCTTATTAACATTTGGTCCATATTCAGTCCAAGCAAAAAGAATATTGATTAAAAAAAATATATATCCCCAAACAGTTTAAAGAAGATTTGTAAATAAAAAGAACACAAAGAATATGCCGGACATTTTAGCTTCATGTTTGCCTACTTTTCTACTCTAAATATTTTAGTTTATCCAATAAATAATGTAACATATAAATAAGTAATTTATAACTGAAGTAGCTTTCACAAAAAATAGCAAATATGTTTTGCCAGATTGAATGTTAACCTTGAGGAAAAAAAAGAATAATTCCCATTCAATTTTGAGTGAAAAACTAGATAGTATCAAATTTATCTATATAGCGTCATTAATAACCCTGCTGCATTTCCACGTCTATTGAACTCGGAGTGAGAATAATTGTTTTGATCGTATTAAAAACAGAAAAAGAAAAACTTCTGGTTGTGAATTTGCACCTTCAGCGGTATCTTCGCACCTCTTTGCAGCTCGCGGTGTAACATTTCTGTATCTGCAAATACTAAAACACTTCTTATCTCTTTCCCTTGTGGAGTGTATCTGTTTCTTTCGACAGCATGATCCAACAGTCTGCATTGAAAATAAAACCCTTTTTGCTCGCAGCTGAGTCAGTGTTTTCAGTCACAGCTGTGGCCAGAATCTCTAAAATGTCCTTCCGCAGATGGTTCTTATCTGCCATCGCCTGTCTCACTGTTGTGTAGTTCATTACTTCAGCTTTCACATTTTCCCACAAAACTGTTGCAAGCATTCTGCGTGGAAATACAAACCTTCTTTAAGTTCTTGTTGCTTTTTTCCGGCATCAATAAACTTGACTATACAAAGAATATAACATAAGGTTCTAAACATCATCTTGTTGTATTTTGGAGAAACATGAGAAAATGCTTCCAAATCACTCTGCGTCCGGCTGTGACAAGTTCATCGACTAATCGCAACTTATTAATTATTGAGTTAATTTTGAAATAGTTATCAACAAGTTTTGAAAAAAAAATGTAAGCATGCTGTGAAGAAATTGTTTGACTTGACGAGTAAATTAAAACGCGCAACCGACAGATTGTATCTAACTATATTCAATTCAATTCAACTTATTTTTGTACAGTCCTAAGTCACTACATTTGTCGTCTCGGAGGACTTTACAAAGTTGTCGATTGCTCAACAGCAGATCAAAGAATCAAACAGCTCACAGGAAATGCTATAATAAGAAGCATATAGGAGCCTTCGGTCCATAGGGAGCAGGGTGACAAATATCATCACTGTCCTTAGACCCTCCTGCATCAACACTCAAAGACCCAGGGGGATAAAAGTGAGACCCATATTGTGAGGGATCTGCTCCCACGGACAGACAGGCTGTAGATCCAGGACTCGGGCTGTAGGAAGGGGACTAGGCTGTGTGGTGCAGGACTGAAGGGCCTTTGTGATCCAAACAACTAATCGAGTCATTGAATTAATAATCTGCCAATTAATCAAGTATCAAAATATTTCTTAATTACCTGGCCACATCCTTGCCAGCTCGCTAAGAGAGCCACCAAACAAAACACATAAGACTAAAAAACCCTTAGCAATGCTCCACCATGTTTTTCCATTGATGAATTTACATTTGATTGATTGAAGATTGATTGTTAATAAAGTCAAAATATCAAAACTACCCTTTTTATTTTTATTATCTGAAAAAATATGATGGATAAAAGTAGTAGTTGTGGTAGTAGCAATGTAGTATAATGGTGATAAAATACCTTTCATCTGGTCCATGTTTGTGTGGTCTCAGGTCATTCTGAAGGATGTGGACTCTCTGCTCTACGTCGACACAGACGTGCTGTTCCTCCGGCCCATTGACGACGTCTGGAGTTTCTTTACTGCCTTCAACAGCTCACAACTTGCGGCCATGGCCCCCGAGCACGAAGTCCCGAAGATCGGATGGTACAGCCGCTTCGCTCGGCATCCTTTCTACGGGGTGACGGGGGTGAACTCAGGAGTGATGCTCATGAACCTCACACGGATCCGCAGCACAATGTTCAAAGTAAGAGGCTTTCTGCTATTCTGAGGAAGACTTACTGCTTTGTGATGCCAGTTTATTTTCCGCTATCTCTGACATTGCCTGTCTAGTACTTGCAAAGGGCTAAACCGAGACCCTGTAGCTTCAGCCTCTGATGACTCATTTACTCTAATTATAAGTGGAAACCATCTTTACACAGAGAAAGATCAAACTCCTAAGTCTGCCTATATTTTCACTGGTAAATACCTGCATGAGGAAGCCAGATCACGTCAGATCTCTGAAGGTATGCAGGACAGGGCCTGGTTAGTACTGTGATGGGAGACCTCTGGGAACACCAGGTGCCACAGTGGGGCGGCTGTAAAATGCCTTGTTGTGTCCTTAAGCAAGACACTTCACCCACATTGCTTAGAATGAATCTGGTGGCTTGTCAGTGTGCCCCAGGGCAGCTGTGGCTACAGTAGTAGTTTATCGCCATGTATGGAGTAAAAGAATAATGCTATATAAAAACCCTATATATATATAACCAATGCATTATTATTAATAATGCCATTTTAAGGTCTATTTGACTGTAGAATGATCAACTTGGTTTAAACAATTCCCCAATCACGCCTGTAATAAAGCAAAAATGTTTTTTTGTTGCTTTTTTTAAGGTGAGGCGAGTATATTTGTATAGCACAGTTCATACACAAGGCAAAGTGCATAAACAAAGTGCATAACAAAACAAGGAAAGAAACATTCAAATCACACAATACAAGGCATTGCAATCATTTATAATCACATTGCATTAAAAAAGGGAAGAAATACAGGCCTCAAATCTGCGGTTTAAATGTGTTTTGGTTCATTTACTTAAACAACAGCCTCTCTCCCTATTTTGAAGTTTACTGGCGCCTCTAACCCTTTGTTGATTTGAATATACTGTTGTTTTGGGGCTACCTGATGTGAGACAGCTTAGGTCTATATTTCAATCACACTATCTACAATATACAACAGTTGACTGCGTTATTAGAAATGCTGTATGCCTGTTTTCATTCTTCTTCACTCTGATCCGTGGCAGACGTTTAGGTTTTTCCTTGAGTCGAGTTGGAGTCGCAAGCGGAGTGCTGTGAGTGGGCTGTGATTGAAGTGTGCTGATTAGTACCACACTGGCAGCAACAGAACTCTGCCCTCAGAACTCAATTTAGCAGCGCTCTTCATGCTGCCAGCCGTTTGCAACTGGGAGGGCAAATGCAAATCGGGTCCGCTTTGATGATGATGTGTATTTTTCCGTCTGTGAGTGAACATATTATTTATATTCCAGAACAGTATGATCCCCGGTGGCTTGTCGTGGGAGGATCTTTTAAATCCACTCTACCAGAAGTACAAAAACCACATCACCTGGGGGGACCAGGACCTCCTCAATATAATTTTTCACTACAACCCAGGTGCTTTTTTTTATTAATTTCTAGTTTCTGTTTCAATACAGTTATGTCAATGATGAATCGGTTGTATGCTGATGCTAAAACACTTATTTTTCTTAGTAATCAACTATAGTAAAGAGCTATGGGTGATTTTCTTAGTGCATTCATACCTGCTGTCATACTTGCTGCTGTATTATATATGCATGCAATGGTCTTTTCACATCTGTCCTATTGTGTCACAGCATGGTCTCAAACATCAGCTTCCGTTCTAAAACCAGTAACCTCTCCTTATAAACTGACAGTTAAGATCATGGACAAGAAACCAATGAGATGGCATCACTGTGATATCATATAGAAGCACTTTTGAAAATGTTGAAAATTTCTCGATTTTAAAATTTGAACAACGTTTTTTAACTTTTCTTCTCTGGGCTCATGCTGAAACGTCAGTCTGCTCCCAGAGCCTCAGTCAGTGGGGATTGTGTGCTCTAGCTTCTCCTTTAGGGGGTTAAACTGTGGAACTCTTTCCCCACTGGGCTAAAACTACAGACTAACTTGATCATCTTCAGCAGAGAGCTCAAACAGTGGTTAAGATCAAGACAGACTTGTTCTCACGTGTAAATTGTCTTGTAGTTCTTTAAAATGTATTATATCATCTGTAATGGAAAAAGCCCCCTGGGGACTAGTGTGTAAAATTAGCCCCTGTTCTATAACACTTACAGCAATGCATCTGGTTCGCCCAATGCTTTTGTTATGTTCATTTAAAACCTCATCTTATTAAAGCCGGGGAACCTAACTTTGTTGAACCACTATAAAAGTAATTGAACTCTTTCAAAGATGAATATTTCAACCGCTATTTATACCATTAATCATCATTTCCATAGTTATCATAAAATGAATGGGTCTGTAGGAAAATTGCAGAGCGGAACAAACAGCCGGAGCAGCCAGATGTGCAAAAGAGCCCTTAAATCTACCTTCAGGATGGTTTGTTTGAAAACACAGTCAAGTTTAGCATTTGCTTTGAATGAGCCTAAATGCCTTCAAGTTTTATTTTGCTTCTCTAAAGTCAAATTGTAGAAGTTGTGACCTATTTTAGTTTAAAAGAGGAAATATGTGCAATTCATAGAAGTCACTGTGTGTGTGTGTGTGTTTCCCTGAACTGCTTCTGCAAGATTATGAAACAATCTTTTTTTGACCCAAAATGGCTATTGTAACCGGCACAATATCCTAATCAGTTTGTTTTCATGTTTTTAGAGTGTCTTTTCATCTTCCCCTGCCAGTGGAATTACAGGCCTGACCACTGTATGTACGGAAGCAACTGCAAAGGGGCCGAAGAGGAGGGCGTGTCCATTCTCCATGGAAACCGGGGAGTTTATCACGACGACAAGCAGCCAGCCTTCAAAGTTGTATATGATGCAATCAGTGAAGTGAGTGTTCTTCACTTTTTTCAATAGCTACCACCTGGAAGAATAGCGCATCCTATTGAAAACTTGGCGACATGAAGTAATTGTGGTCACAATTTGGCAACTGCATCTGGATTTCTGCACACACTCTGATGATCAAATAAAGGATAAAAAAGTGAACAATACTTTTATCACAATGTTGTTGATGGTTAGTCATAAACAAATTAATGCAATACTGTGAACAATAAAGGGGATCCTAAAGTCATTAGTATCCCCTTTATTGGGAGACCTCTGCCATAACCGGACTTTTTATTGTTTTTTATATTAATTCTAAAAGGCAGAAGACAAAAATGTCTTCTTATGTCAGTGTGTAAAATGCTTATGTCAGTGTGTAAAAACATCTTATATCACATATGTTACGCAGGGGTATGCAAACCCTTTAGTAAGAGGGCCCCTTTAGCTAACTAGACCAGGGGCCGACAGCCCGAATTAAAAAACAGTTTTCACTGGATTCTGGCTTTTCTGAGCTTTATGATGAGCTATAACCGAGCTGAAGTTTGCTGAATGACAAATGTTTACCATCTCACCAGCTACATTAGCGTCAAAGACAGAATTTTATGACACAAACAAAAATAGTATATACAAATAAAGTTAATGGCTGAATTCTAGAGGTCCTAAGCTTAACAATTAGGTACCACATTTATAATGGCAGATTCTAAGCTGGCTAGATGATACTACTTGCGTTTATGACCTCAAAGACTACTTTGGGTTAGCAAGGCAGAGGGCCACATCAAATTACACGGATGGCCTAAATGGGCCCGCAGGCCTTAGTTTGGGCCCGCTGTGGCCTTTACTAAATGATATAAATATTGACACTGTTTGAGTAATGTTACATGTGTTGTGATTCAGAAAACATACTGTATTGTTTTCTGATTCACTCACTGTTCATAAGTTGCTTATAGGTGCATGTACATGTTGGGTTTTGTGAACACATAAACATATAATTCTGTATTTAAGACGTGAATCTTGTAGTTAACGTGATGTTTTCTGGTCCTGCAGTTTCCCTTTGAGGACAACCTGTTCCAGTCCCTGTTCTACCCCATTCAGACCAAGTTCCTGGACACAGTCAACACTTTGTGCGGCCGGATTCCTCAAGTTTTCCTTAAGCAGATAGAAAAGACCATGAGGAAAGTGTACGAGGACAAAGTGATCCGCCATGTCCGGCCGCGCATGTAGCCCCTGGTCTGGACCCCAAAGGACAGTACGGACTGTGTCGCGGTCTCCATATTGACTGTGGAGCCGTGACACAAGAGCAAGAATGAAATGGTTTAAAAATACTTGTTTTTATTGGGAAATGTACCAATGAGCAGCAGACAGTGCAGGTCAGTGATGCTGCTGACTGGGTTTATCTGGAATAGAATTAATTAGTGAACAAATGATGAAGGGAAGTGAATCCATTTGATAATGCTTCGAGAACCCCACATCTCTTCTACCAGCATCTCATATGGTCTTAATGTCTTTGTTTTTCTGATCAAGAGTGATGTTGAATGAGAACCGGTTCACACAGCTGAAGACATGTTCTTATTTATAAGAATGTATGTGTACTATAGTGCAATGATTATTTTATTTTTTACATTTTGTTTTGGTTGTTTATCCAAGTTATTCTACAGTTCAACATAGTTTCCCACTTTTGACTGAAAAATATTTTAATGAATGTAAAGGAAAGAAAGATTTGTTCTACATAAGAATTCTTTTTGCAGTACAAGGGTGTGACTACTGCTTGTTTGAATGTGTCCTTATTTATAAAAAAAACAAAAATTTTTAATGTTACGCTTTATAATAAATCTATTGTCACATTGGTATTTCACAACACTCAAACTGATAAGAATGTAGTAAATAGTAATGTTTTAGCATGCCATAGAAGTGGCTTATGAAGAGCACTTAAATTATTTTGAAACCTCAATAAGACCATTGTGTATTGAGTATTGATGTCACATGATGCTTTAAACACAGTTAACCATGAGACTATGTTTTTCCGCTCTTCATATTTAGACAATGTGAGTGATGTCTCGTGTTGTACAGAGAGTAAGAAAATCATTTCAGTCAATTTCCTTCCCACGGTTTTTAGTTTGTTTTGTTTACTTTACCGATGCTACCTGTCTCAGAACCACTTACAACAAGATGTGAACGTTTTATCAAACTTGAAATGAATGTGAGTGAGCTGAATCTTGGTGTAACAACAGTATTAAATGCAGGATGAAATCATTTTTGCCAAACCGAATACTGCATGTTGAAATGCACTTTGATAAGAGGGTTTTCTTTTTTACTTTGTTCTTCTGGATTTAGACCAGCGGTGCTTCGAGAGGAGTGTGCCATTCTGTGGCAAAAAGAACCTATGAAGACGGGATGTGTCTGTGATATAAAGAATGATTATGTGAACTGGAATCAAGTAAAGGAGGATTTTTGGAGAAAACAGTGTGGTATGTTGGCTTGGTTTTCTTTGAACATTTACTTATATACTACATTTCATACAGAGCTGCAGTCACAATAAAACATTGAAGAGAGAAATATAAGGATGAGAAAGTCTCCCCAAAATAGTTTTTGTGTTCATTTTAAAAGTGGTCAGAGTTTTATTTTACAGGGGGCATAATGGGTGAAAGCAGCATCTCTGATTTTCATCTTCACTCAAGAGACAGAAAGAATGGTAGTGCACTATAAGTCAGATTTGTATGAGGGTGCCAGATTGTTGAGGGTTGTAGAAAGATTTAAAGTCAATCCAGGCCTGAACTGGGTGGAGATCCTTAAAAATGGGTCTAACGGGAGATCTATTTTGAGCCACAGCATTTTGAATAGCACAGGATAAAGAGAAAGACATGAGAAAAGGGGGTAACACTATTCCAATCCTGTGTTACCCAAACTCTTTTACTCTTCTAAGTGTGTTACATAGAAAATAAAAAATCGCAATAAAGGTCTTTTCTAATCTCACAATATTTAGACAGGTCAATTTAGCTACATCATTTTTGTGTTGCTAAACTCTCAGAAGAGTTAAATGTGCATTAGGTTATTGCTGCATGGTGATTGACATTGTTCTGAATGTAATAGAACCACCACAACAATAAACGTTTTAAGAAAGTTTGATTACACAAAAATCCTTGTCAACCTAGAGTTCCACTGCCCTTGAACATTTTTTCTCTAATGTATATTTTTTCAAAGCTGGATTGTCCCCCTCCCCCCCCCCCTCCCCCCCCCCCCCCCCCCCCCCCCCCCCCCCCCCCTCCCCCCGCTCTGACTGTAGCATTAGCATTAGCCGCTGCAGCAGCTAGCCGCTTGTCTGCCTTTCACATCACTGACACCGGGACGAGACGTGATGGAAATTGACTCGCTTCAAGAGGCGCTTCGAGGTCATAACTTCATCCATCTCAAATGTCATGTCACGACAAGATGCATCGCGGGGTGTTTATTTTCAACAATTGCCATTCCGTGATCGTAAAATGGGTTATATATGACATGCTAACTACGATTTGCTAACTGATAGCGAAGACAGGCAGGCTAGGCTAGTGCTCGCAGTTTCACGGAAATGCCGAGCCATTTGGACACACAAATGGATCCGATAGGAACAGGATATATCACTCTGTATCTTTGTAGCCTGACAGTGGTTTCATAAGTATTTAATGTATTCAGGTATTGATTATTAAGCGTCGTTTGAAGCTTTTTGACTCAAGTTTGCCGGCTCTGCTGTAATGCCGTCCAATGCTTAGCTTAGCATCGAAGCTACTCCATGTTAGCCTGAACCAGGGCGACACTAAAACATGGACAGTCTGGTTGTGTTGTGTCAATGGCTGGGCTTATGTGGATGTGATCAACAACTTCTCCTGAAATCATCGTTGTTGCGTATAATTCATTCAAGTGTATTATACATTGTGTTACATAATCTACCGTGTGATCAATGTCTGTGGCACTGTATCCAGATTATATGAAGGCTTGTGTAATGACCAACCATGTACTTTATTTACAGACTTTGATAAAAAGTCAAAGAAGGAACCATGTCAAATACTCGAACAGTTTTTATGTCATGTTGCCAAGACAGGAGAGACCATGTAAGCACACACAACCTACTACTAACACATTTATTATGCATGTTTACCAACTTAACACGTTTCTTAACTCACCGGGAGGTTCTTAAAATAATGATAATACATGCTCCACATTATTTTATAAGTGCCTGTAAATCTACAACGCTATTATATAATGTTTTAAACATTCGAAAATGACTATTCTTACACTTAATGTTTTCACTTAAGTGGTGTTTCTTAATGTTTAGGGTTCAATGGTCTCAGTTCAAGGACTATTTCCTATTTAAATTGGAGAAGGTGATGGATGATTTCAGAGCATCGGGTCCAGAGCAAAGAGTTCCTGCCAATGCAAATGTGGAGTCTATTCCATTTGAAGACATGAAGGAGAGAATTTTAAAGATTGTGAGAGGATACAATGGGTGTGTATTCTTAAAATGTCATATGCTCATAGTATTTATCCTTGCACCTTTGAAATGTCTTTTTCACATTTGTTGAGTTATCGTTAAAGACTTCAGTGCATCTCTCTCTGCAGAAAGCAATGTAAACACACAATTTTACATTTTTGTTTTTTTTAGAATTCCATTTACGATCCAACGCTTATGTGAGCTACTTACCGAACCCAAAAGGAACTACACAGGAACAGACAAGTTTCTTCGAGGAGTTGAAAAGGTAACTTTTTTCAAAGTTTCTATTTTTTCTTAATCAAACATTTCTCATTTTAAATTCTGTGGTCCTAGAACGTGATGGTTGTAAGTTGCATTCATCCAACATCAGAGTAAGTGTCTCGATAAATTCTATCTTTTTAAAATTATTTCTTCTCCATTGCGCTCACAAGAAAATCTAACTGCAATATAATACTTTTACAGGAAAAATGGCTGCAGCACTGTCAATAGAATGAACGGAGTAATGCTTCCGGGGAACACGTCAGCTTTTACAGAGAGGTTGGAAAATACTGTTTTAATTTCATGCAAATTCAGCAACAGTAGATTTTTTTTCTGATGAGACTTACATCCTGCCAGACAAACTTAGGCCGGTGGTTCCCAAAGTGAGGGTCACGGGACACAATTTGGAGATCACAAGATGCTTTCCAGAATAGATGTTAAAATGACTATCAATATATTTACATATGTTTTTGTTACAAACATTTGGTTGAAAAAATGGATAAAATGGCACAATACATTTCTCACAATATATTTAATTTATCATGTTCTGCCACTTAATATTATTGCTGTTTCATGCTTATTTAGTGGTCTGTCTGATAAGTGGAAATCCCTTGCTTAGTCGTTCCAATTGGTATTGGACTAAAAGACTCCTAAAAAATAGCCTATTTTTTTTTTTACACCCTGTCTACGTCTAGATGGAAACCGTAATGGAAAAAAAGTCTGTCAACGTAAACCAATTTTATTTATGTAATGCTATGGTTTGTGCCTATAATGGTTTGTTATTGAACTTAACACACTGGCAACTTGTTAAATGTTGGGTACAATTTTTAGAGGAATATTTTGGTCCTGCTCCTCATCTATTTTAAAGCATTTTTTCTCTTCCATGTCCTTCCTGTAGAAAGGTAAATGGCCCTGGAACCCCCCGACCACTATACCGACCAAAGGTGTCTCTTGCCAATTCACTCGCAGCTAATGGTCTGCCGGACAGCACAGACAACAAGGACCTCATAGAGCATGGAGAATCAGAAAATAGGTAAGCCATCTCTGGTTTGTTTGGATTAGAACTCAAAGAAAATAACCAATCTTGTTGTCCAGTGATGTTTCAGGGTCAGAAGAGGGCCCAGTAAAGATGAAACATCCTCACACAGAGGAGGACATGGAGGCAGAGCAACAGGAGGTTAAGAGATTGAAATTCTGTAAAGATGACGATGACGAGGATGATGATGACGATGAAGAGGACGAACCAGAGGTGGACTCGCACAGACCGTCGAACAGCCTGGGTCTCTCTAAAGAAGCAGAGGCCATGGTCCACGATGCCGAGGAAAAGGAAGACTACAGTAAAGGCAAAGAAGCCTCAAGTGCCACCACAGAAGACCAAGGTACTCGTTTTATTTATTTTCTTGAATTTTTAGAATAGTTTGTGTGATCCAGAGTTGCTCCATGGTCTTAAAATGATTAAAAAGGTATAAAAGTTTATGTAGCCAAATTTAAGATGTTAAAAGCTTTAAAATTGTCAAGTCAATTTGAGAGTTTTGGCGTGAAATATTTCGAGAAACCGCATTTATTGTGGTATTGAATTAATGCCATTATACATGAATACATGAATGCCATGCTTCCTGAATTATCTGCGAACTTTTCATGCTGTAAGAATACAAATGGAATTTATAACATTTGTTTACCTAAAATGAAAACATTACATTTTCATAAAAAAGTCACTTTAGTAAAGTTGAGATAATTCTATGCATAAAGACCAACAGTAAGCACAAACATTAATAATGATCATAATAAAATGTCTGTAGCAAACACAACTAATTTCAATTAAACAGTTATTCGTTTTATGATTTCTTTTTTAAAACTTGGATCCAATCAAAAGCCCTCATAGATGCTGCATTAATTGTTGTTGTTCTATGCCAACTCTGCAGAGCCATCCAGCAGCACTCCGTCTGAAGCGTGTGCGTCGGCAGGACAAGAACAGGACTTGGAGGCAGCAGAGCGGGAAGTACCGTGCGGCTCCCAGGACGAGGCCAGCGACATGGACCAGACCGAGCAGCAGGCCCCCGCCGGCCCCCTCGAGAGCCCCGAGTCGAGCAGAGACAGCGAAGAAGGCTCCAGCGACCCAGTCAGCAGCAGCAGCAGTAGTAGCGCGAGCAGCTGTAGCATAGAGGAAAGTACTGAGACCACCCGCGAAGACATTACCCTCACTCCCTCCAGCAGCACTAGTGACGTCCCCACAGACACAGCCATGGAGAGCACCACCTCCAACCCTGGGGCCACTGAGGAGCCAATGGAGCAGGACTAGACTGAAGGCCTCCTGCTGCCATCAGTGACCACAAACCAGCTTTCCTCAGTCCATTCTGACTGTCTCTGGCCAAAGGACACTTACACTTGGAACACCACGCCTCCTCCTTCTTGTGGACACTCCCCCCAAAAATGGCTACAAGCAATGGTTTTTGCATTGGTCCTACCATGTGTTTTTATTAATTTTTCTCCCCCATGAGAGGTATATGGCCTTTTTATTTTGTAATTTTTGTTTTGGTAATCGTGTGGTTTGGATGAAACAATGCAGTGGTGCTTTTGTTTCATTTGATTTTGCGCCCCTTTCATCCCAGTCCTACTAATTTCTTAAAGGCTTAGAACCCAGTAATCAGCCGCGTTTATGAACTTACACATTTTCAGTTGTTCATTTGAAGTATCAGTTAAACAGTGCTGTAGTCCAACACACTGCTTTTACACTACTATCCCCTCTATCAACATTCTGACAGCTGGTAGAGATCTCCTATGTAAAAACTTTTGGATACAGAAGACCACAATAATTTATACAGTCATTTCAATGTTTTGTTCTGTTGGGTTATTTTTTCTTGTTTCCAAAACCAGCTGTAAGTACAAAGATGACTTCCGCTTTCTTTGTATTGTGATGTCACCATGTCGTTCATTGACAGATGAGCTGTTTCTGGTTCCAGTTCTACACCTGTTTTTGCAGCTGTACCTTTTGATATTTAGAATTTTAAATTTCTGTAAAGTAGATTTTTGTAGATTGTAATACAGTATGTGTTCACTGCCTTTGTGAAACCATATATAATTGTATAATTTCTGTGTATATTCTGAATGCTTTTGCTTTCAATGCAGTATTCAGGAACAGCAATAAATGTTAACATTTTTATTGTGTTGTGTGTTCTTGTATATATTGTACTATGTCTCCACTTTGGTATCAAATTCTAACAAGATAAACTAAAACATTTTATGTTTTTACATAGCAAACTACAATGTCCAATAGAGGGTGCTGTTTAGTGTCGTGTTCTACATCAAGATCTCATTGGGAAAACAATGCAATGCAGCAAAAATCACTTCTGAAAGCGCGTGTCTCACTGGCCGCTGAATAAAACCACGTGAATGTGTCCTTTTAGTCAAAGTGTAATATATTTATAACTCATACATAAGACTAAGCCACATGTTCTGTTCACTATTATGATTTTATTATGAAACCATATACATTGAAAAGTTTGGACGAGGGTTGAAACTATGGTTCGAAGTCTTTTTTTGTTGTTGATGGAATTTATTCAATTGGTTTCATTAAAAGTATATTTGAATATGTTTTGATTACATGATACAAACTTTGCAGTTGTGTTGCTATTGTCATTGTTATGCAGTGGGCTTACTCTGCAGGTCCCCATCAAAAAAGCTCAGGAACCCCTGGACTAAGCAGTAAAGCTTAGTTCAGGACAGTGTCAAATGAAGGAAACCCCACATGCCTCAGAACTGAGGCGTGAAATTGGATCGCTTGATTTTGGAGAAAATCAGTGTCATTCAGACCTTACCTGAAGATAATGAGGTAAATGGAACCATCCTACGAATACGTAAACGAAAACTTTATTGTCCACCATGGTGGAAAATTGTCTTGTCACCTTAATATAAATAAAAAACACATCCAGCAAAATATTGTGTATCATCCTATGTCAGCTTTATTTATATCGTCATTTACTGTCATTAGTTATTCTCGTTTTTCAAATCAGACCTGTCACTGCAGGCGTCACACTAATGGGTTGGTCCACAAATGATCACTCACAGAGTACTATGGACAAGAGTTGGGGTTGTCAAAAGTATTTGAAATATGAATGTTTTTGTATTGTGACAGACACTATTCACCGAAGCCTGAGATGTTTTGACTTCCGTCCTGAGAGTGTTTGCATGCCCAGGTCAATATTTTAACATAAAAAAACTCAAACCAAGTGGCCCACCCAACCGTATTATCCTCTGCCAGATACAGGTGATGGAAGGGTGCTCTGACAGAAGACATCAAACAGATTTATATAAATGAACCGTTTTACTTTTACGTATTTATTTTTGCAATATCTGTTGTGCATCAGCCTGGCCTTATCCATCCGGTCAATCATCATCTCCCTGCATATAACGAAATGTAATTTGTACTATGGTGTGGTAGGACCAGGCTAGTTGTGCATGGGTTTTTTCACCAATCATGAATTGTTTTGAAAATTATAGAAAGTAAAAATTGTAAATTCTATGACATCACACTATGGTGAATGTGAATTAATCCAGTTTTCAATTATTTGGTTCTAGGTCACAGTTTAGTGATGAAGATGCGCTGCAAAGTTTTACCGTTTCTCACCCGAGACAATTATTTAAATGTAGAACAGTGGGATTAATTGTACTAATACAAGGGTTTTACACAATAATTGTCAAAAATCACTTCTACATTTTTTGCATTTCAAAGTGACACATGATGAACTATGTGAAGTAAATCATTTTGGCTTTATACCATTTCTATTGTTCACTAGTTCGTCATCTGGAATGTTTAAAATGGTAAAATTAGCCGACAACCAATAAATCTTTGAAGTGGTTGCCATCAAGGCTCAATTGATGTGACCCAAAAAGTCAAGCTACAGAATGGAAGGAGTTTGTGGGAGGGACTGACCTGCTTGAGTTATGGCTCCCCCAGGCCATAAACCCAACACAACGTACAAGGGCATTTGAAGCCAACAAGACCAGGGCCATGGTGAAATAAAGACATTCATTTGTGCAGACCATTCAAATCAGCAACATTCCTGAGATGGACATTTGTAAAAGAAAAAGGGAAATCCTCCAAAACTTTGTTAGTTTATTCAGGAATCAAAAACTGACATTATGGGTTTTTTAAGTTAAAAGAAACATGACACTAGCTTGGCTCAATCAGGGAACTATCACTGAAATGAACTGTGGGACGGACAAATATCTCTTTATCGCAACCATAAACAAATATAAGGCCCGTCTATTTTTAGCAGGAGGTCATTTTGGCTCAAGGTTCACACTTCAGGCATAAACTAATATTGATCGATTTACAGCAGAGAGATCTTCAATTCACTTCAGGATAACATTTGGAAAGTGACACTAGCAGAATATGCAGAATGTGTTTTTATGAAGAATATTCTGTGTGCAAATAAGAAATGTCCACAGTATTGAGGATATCCACATTGTTCTCATTATAAAGTTGAAATTGGCCTTTTTCTTTCCCATCAGGTTTCAGTGATGGCTAAATTGGTCGTGTTCACGGTGGCGAATCTTGTTCTGCTGCGTTGGACGGTGCTGGGTTATGGAGGCAGCAGTCTGGGCGGAGAGCTTCAGACTCCATGCTCACTTCCTCCACTCGAGGAATCTATCCACTCATCTGTAAATGGCAAATCTATCCATCACAATTAAAAACGAAAATCATCAAAGGTACAAGGCAATAATTTATTATTTCTCTCATTTTACAAAAGGTCAATGTGTGGCACAGAAAAGACTTGTTACTCTTGTGTATAAAGTATGCAGCATCTGGCTTACACAACATGATGTTTGGGTGATAACCTTGCTGGTGTTCAGTTCAACAGACTTTTAAAAATAGAGCTAGAATGAAGCGCTAATTGTACTAAACATTTTACATAGGTGTATTCAAAAAGTGTATATATTCCCCTACCAAGGGAAATGTTTCCAGACAAAAACATTAATAACAGTAAAATACTGACAAAAATATATATGGTACAACAACATTTAAAATATGTAAATGCTATTTTCTGTTGGCACACTGTTTATACATTAAACATCATGTTCGTCCCAAATTATTTAAAAGGGCAAGCACACACATTGAAAAGAGCAATGAAAGAATGTGACTGAAAGAATCCTACAGACTGAGTCCAGTTATTGCTTAACAAAGCTTCTGTTCACTAACAAAAAATATTTATGTACAAATATTGCCGCATTGAACGAGGCAGGAATCTCTACCCCAGGCGGTAGTGTCCTATGTACAGGTCAGTCCATTGCTGCTTAAGACCAGTTCTCAGACCGTGGTCACGGACAGGATTGAGTTGTACACCCTGGTCCCATCTGGCGACTTGGTGCCATGGGTCAGAAGTTCTTGGATGGTCATCCAGTTGTCAAATATTTTCTTGCTTCTCTTTTTCATCATCTTTTTATGGCTGAGTTGGATGATAGTGGGCTCTCTCTGGTCTTCAGCAGCAGACTGTTCCTTGAGACAGTCAGCGCGACTCTGCTTCATGAACTCGCGCCGCTGCCTCTGCTCTTTGGCTCGGACGGCGTGCTGCTTTCTCTCCTCTTTGCTCCAGTAGCGGCCCATCTTCAGCTCACTGATCGCATCATCGTCTGTGGTCATGCCACTTCGCTCTTCATGAATCCTGATAGCACGTTCTCTTAATAATTTGTCTCGCACAGGCCGCTTGGTGATGTAACGTGTGCCGTCGCTGCGAATCTTAACCTTCCACTCCATCTTTGGCTCCAGGTCATGTGGGCTGATGGGGTCGTGGCACATGCTGACGAGGCTCATTTGGCTCTGGGCATATTCTACAGCAGATTTCTGCTGAATGAGCTGCATGTAGCTCTGGTAGTGTTGAGCATGAGCTGGGATGTGGGCGTGCTTGTACGGGGAGTGTTGAAATCCACGAGTAGACTTCCTTTCTTTAGGTACGGGTTGTAGTGCTTCATCTTTGTCTTTCGTTCTGCTGCGACTTGGCCCTCCAGCCTCAAGGACAGGAGAGAGCAGTGGTTTTATCCCACGGCCGGTAACGCTCATAGAGGGCCCTGCTGCCAGCGCCTCCTGGTTCTCTCTGCGGAGGGAATTGTCTGGTGATAACTCTAAAGTTAGCGGGGTGCTACGGCAGCTCTCCCCCGTGTTGTAGGCACTGGAACTGTCCTTGTCGGACTTCTCCGGCAGCTCTGTTATATCTGACAGTTCATGACGCCGGGCATCAATACTGGTATTGTAATTTCTAAATCCGCTGTTGTGTAACATCCAGGATTCACGACACTGCTCCCTCAGCTGTTGCATCTTGTGAGCTCTGACAATGTTCAGGCACTCCAACTCTATAGTACGTAACTCTTCGTTCAGCATTTCCAACTCTTTGTCCACACACTCCCCGTCCTGGCCGGCAGCCCCTTGGCAGTACACCCCCTCTACAACCTGTCCCATCTGACACTTGAGCTCCAGCAGCTCCCTGAAGCGCTCACACTCGTCAGCTGGGATTCCCAGGAAGTCTGTGTCAGTGTAGTCAGCAGAAATGAAGGATTCCCCACTGAAGGGTAGGTCATTACTTCCAAGCGTGTCCTGGCTGTATGTGAGTTTGCGGCAGCTGCCCAGTGTGTTTGAGGCTGTGGTGTGGTCATCACACAAGTTCTCTTGTTCGGAGCTCTCGTCGTTTCTTGTACTCTCATCTGTGCGACCAAGTCCACTGTCTTTCTCATGATGGTTGGACAGCAAAGTGGCTGTGTCTGTCATGCCATCATCTTCCACGTGCTTCTTCTGTAAGCAAGACAAAATACACAATTTCATTATTGTAATGTGAATGTTTTCGTTGTCTCAGAGAACTATTGGTCTGAGTGTAAGCCCCGACTGTTTCTCTCCGTTTGTGTCTTCTTCTGCATGTGTGTGCGCTCAGCAAACCCCTGTTACATGACCAGAGACCTTGTTCCCTGGTATAAACCTAGGTTAGACCTGGTTTAAACCTGGTTCAGTCCTGCTTAGACCACGCTCGAGGCAGCTCTGCTGCTGTAGGTGCTATGTTCTGGAATATGTGGGTGGGGTGACAGGACACTGCGCACAACAAACCGGATTATTAAAATGTGTTGGATTGTGCTTCTGTCTGCTAATCACCCGACACTCATATATCATAGTTTTATATTATACATCTGCTGATTATTTGTGACACCTGTGCGTAATATGAAAACATTTATTTTAGTACATATGAAATGTCAATAATGATCTAAACGATGTGAATAAGTCTGCACACTTCCTTATTCAATCCTTGCGAATGCCCCTAAACGCTGTCGAAGGGGCGAGGTGGCAGTGGTCAGGTGAATGAAAACACTATAATAGATCTGTCTTTAGTTGAGCAGAGTAGACGGAGAGGGGCCATACCTGCTGCAGCATGCTGGCAGTGAACTGCATGGCCTGGTGGTGCTGCTGCTCCAGCATGTCCATGTGAAGGTCGTCCAGGAAGTCGTTCCTGTCGTCATCCATCCAGCCTTCATCCAGCTGACACAGAAACAACGCCTCATTACTCACACATCTAACTGTAAAACTTTACTTATTATGTTACGAGAGGCCAGGATTCATCCCGGACAGGTCTCAAATGAATGACTATTACAGAGTTTAACTGTTTACTGAACTGAGTTTAACTGTTAAAAACCGTAAAACATTAAAATCACAAAGAGTAAATATAAAATCCTTCAGTTGTACATTTCTATACCTTTGTCATCACATAATCATCAAAGAAAAAAGGGATCACTCATTGGAAACTTTTCTTTTAGTGGTAAGGTAAGGTACACTTTTTATTGATTGCTTTCTCTAACAAATCCAAAAGGCTGAATGATGCATTTACCTGTATTTCCGGCCTGGCCACAAGTAGAGATATGTTCTGGTTGCCCTCACTGGTCAGTAGCGCCACAGCATCTTCACGGTTTTGGATCTCAATTCCATTTATCTAAACACAAATACACAAACACATTCTTATATGAATAACAATTGAGGGCAACACTTCCTACACTGCAATAGAGAACACAAACCTGAATGATTTTGTCTCCTTCTCTGATGCGGCCATCTTTTGCAGCGATGCTATTTGGGTCAATCTGAAAACAGCAGAAGGTGAGACGTCAAGTTATTATACGTACATTATGTTTGTATGTGCAGCACAGAGCAGAAGAAGACAGCACCCAGAAATAATCTGCAGGTGTTGTTTGCAAACGGACTAAAGCGTCTGGACTAAAGAACCCAGACCAGAAAATATCTCTCGTAACTTAACTTGTTCTCAACCAAATTTGTTACTCCAAATCAGGGGTGTCAAACTCATTTTGGTCAGGGGCCGAATACAGAAAATAGGAACTGGTCGGGGCTGAAAGAATAGAAGGGTATTTATTTACTTACGATTGTTTTTTTTACATTATTAAAGGTATTTTGACGTTACTTTAATCTGAAAACAAAATGTGTTATGATTGAACCAAAACTGGACCAAATATAAAGTTAAACACATTGTTTTATAATTAACGATTTAACTTCTATTGACGTGTTGGGTTAAAATGTTAGAATAAATTAATTTTGGTTGTTGACTAAATAGATTATGTATCACATGCCTTGGTAGTCCATTACATGAAGGCTGAAAATGAATAAAAATAATTGAAAATCATTTTAGGGACCACTAAAAATAGTCTTGCAGGCCAGAAAAACCAAAATATGAATACAATATCAGGGATTGTCCATGTTTCTCTGTAATAATAATGAAAAATAATAATCACAGAAACAGCAGCCCCATTGACATACTTCACTTATGTAGATGCCAGCCTCGTCTTCATCGTCCGTCCTGTAGCAAATAGTCAGGCCCAGCTTTTCTTGGATGTTTGCACGATACAAATCCACCTCCTGACGACAGACAAAGGAAAATACTCAAACAAACAGCAATAGGAGTTTTATTTCTTCTGGAGATCTCAGAGGAGCCACATCCCATCCGTCACTGTAATGAATGCCTAAACCGGATTCTGGTCTGGACTATACCGACTTCTGTACTTGCTTAGTGACAGAGGACACAGCAGCCCACAGATAGACAGAACATAGTTTGTCATTTGTCAAAAGCTCTAATCTCTGAGATGCAGACTCTAGATAAAAGGCCACAGTGTTTCAGAGGAGGTTAAACTACCGAAATGGGCAGACGCTCAAAAGTAATGAATGAAATACTTGTGGGATCAGACAGAAAAGCAGCTTTAGGTAACACAGGCGCTGCTTTCACAAATGTGTCCAGTGATAATGGCAGCCAAAGCATTGTTTTCGGATTAATGCAAATTCATACATCAAGTTCATTGAATTCAACTGGTTCCAGCGCAGTGTGGTTTGTAAAACTAAATGATTATCAAAATAGAGAATTTTTGAAATCTCGAGGGAGATTTTGTATGGAGAATTTTAAGCTCCATCCACTTCACAGCTCAATTTGTCTTGACCTGTAGCAGCTCAGCAAACCTGCTTTTGATGGCTCAGAACCCCAGTGTCCTCGTAAAGAAATGTTGCAATTTAGTTTTGAGTAAAAATAGATGAACTGAGGCAAAGTTATCATCAACTGTCACCAGCAAATTGGTAACGGTTGATATTCTCAGAGACATGACATGAGAAGAAGAAGAATGACCAAAGAAATACATAAAATAATAAATATCCACTTTTATGAAACTTTGCTAATGTGAATCTGGGAAAATACTGAGGTCCAGACGCCACCTGCATGTGAAAATCATATCCCATCAGATCCCTGAAGCAAAGCAGGGCAGGGCCTGGTTAGTACTGTGATGGGATACCTCTGCGCACACAAGGACCACAGTAGGGCAGTTGTGGCTGTAAAGTGCCACAAACTCTCATTGTGTCCTTAGGCAAGACACTTCACCCACACTGCCTAGTATGAGTATGGGTTGCCTGGGCAGCTGTGGCTACAGTAGTAGTTTATCACCACTGTGTATGGAGTGAATAAATAATGTCATGTGATGAGTCTTTGAGTGTCCAAATAAGCAAAAAATAAAACCAATGCAATATTATTCTTACAAGGATTGCAGGTTACAAATAATAAAGAGTAGATGAAGTCCATTAGTGACTAAAAGGAGGTGCATTAAGACAAAAAGACATTCTTCATTTGAACCATGAGGTGGCTCCTGCTCTGTACATCTCTTACACACGGTGGATGTAATTCATATGAAGCAGTAGGAGGTTGGGGTTGGAGACAGCAGCAGACTCCTGGCACACACCAAACCCTCATCCAGGCATTGTTTGCTCTGTGGTAAATCCATCACTGCAGACATGATATCAGGGCCTGGTAATTATCCAGGAGTTATGGGATCTGTGTCACCAAAGAATAAAGGGCGCTCCACATCTGCTGCAGTGTAACGATGTGGGTCTCAGCTTGTGCCCCATGACTGACAGCTGTGAGGTACGGAGACAGACATGACGCCGAGAGGATGGATTTAGTCTCGCTGCTCAAGATATTTTACTGTGAATTTATTCGTCTCGTTGGAGTTCACAGTCAGAAGAGAAAACGTATTGAGACACAAAAAATCTATATATATATATATATAAAAGACATGATTATAACCTCATATTCCATCTCTTCACGTTCGATGTCTTGCGGTATTCCCTCGAGAAAGTCGTTGGGGTCAAAGTATGCATGTCCAGTGGGAAGTCTGCAAGTGATGAGAAAACAATGTTAATTTAAGGCTGATTTTTTGTGAAGTAGAATATATTTTAATTACAGAAGGAAGAGATTAGCTAAAGAATGAGTGGAACATACTTCTTGTGGAATAATGTTTTATCACTGTATTGTTAACTTGTGTTCGATTTGTTTAACTTTCAAATCTGCTGTTGGCGAATCAACAACATCTTTGACTGCTGTTGCGTTTGAACTATATGCACAATACATTGAATTGATTGCTGCATCTGCAATCATTACCACCTCGACATACTTTACACGCTCATTTCAAAGTTGTTATTTACTCCTCTTAACCAAAAGTCAACATTGTGTGTGCATCTAAGTATACAAAGTTCCATGGCTCTATAGTTCACTCTATTCATTCAATATTTATTATATTCACAGTAACCGTATGAAGCTGCATTTCATTTATACAAAGTGAAGTCTGATAGCCATAAATCTTTAATTGTTGGAAAATTGTATTGCACTTTATATGTCGCTGCTAAATACTGTACTGTAACTGTGTATTGCACCATATACCAGTGATTTGCACATTCTCCATTTGCCGCTAAATGTTAATTATATTGTATCTTGTATATTGTGACTTGTGACTACGTTGGAACTGTATTTTGATGGAAAGCAGCATGGTGCTAAATCCACTACCGCCATCTTTTTTTAAAATGAAACTGCACAACGCTATCCTCAATAAATTAAACTTTAAACTTTAAGATTTGGCCTGACTCACTCCTGTGGCAGCAGGTAGTCGTCCGGAGCAGAGGGAGGCAGCTTGGAGAGGGCCATGAGGTGCTGCAGGCTGAGCTCGGTCTGGGTGCTGCTCTCCGACAGGTGGGTGTCAGACGTGGGGCAGAGCAGTGGGGGGTGTGGGGCTCTGCGGAGGACTTGCACCATGATGGGATCCTTGGCCTTCCGGAAGGCTTCCACCGCCTGGTCATGGGTGGCTTTGGAGATGTCCTTTCCATTCACCTGCAGAGGAACACAGGAATATATCTTTAGGCATATACTGAATTGTCTGAAATGTACACACTTTGTAAATATATAATGGTATAGACACAGACAGCGACACACACACGTTTACAATTTAAACAATAATCTTCAAGTAATAATCATGTTTGTGACCATACGAAGGCTTTAATTATTTTTTTGCCGGTTCTCCTTTTGGAAGAAAACGCCCCCTCCACTTTCCTGTGTGTCTAAATAGTAGGATTTGTCTATTGGAAATTAGGAATTGTTGTATGCATACAGTCATTGGCTAATTAAAATGAAACAAACCAAAACATAGATCAACATAGATTTAACAACTTACAACAACGAATAACTTTATTGACATAAAAACCACCTACTGTGATGAACGTGCAATTACTAAGTCTTGTACGTACAGCAAAAAACAACATCCCTGGGCCCCAATCTTTGAGAAGGACTATTTTATACAAAGAAACACATTTGGTTCTTTATGTATTTTCCGATCATAAACTACCAAACCTAACTTGAAATACCGCACTAAAAGACATGCTAATGGAGCAGACCGCTTACATAAACCATTTCATGCTTGTCACACACAAGACGAACTAAAAATAACCACACTTTTTTTTATAACTTTCTTGACAACTGACCCCTGAAATCCAAAGCTGACAATAATAATGTCATAAAACGAGCTTCCCTCTCGTGCAAGAGAAACCAACGCCAAGAGCACAGCGTGGGTTCACTTTACAAGGTCAAGGCCTGATCGCTACAATAACCACTTCATTAGGAGGAGTCTTCTTAATGAGGAGAGGTTGTTAGCGGTGGCTGCATCGACGTGCCCCCATTTGGCAGCTCCTTTAAAACACACACAATCAATTTGACCTTCCATTCCACCAGCCAGCTCTGTACGCCACAAGTTAACCTCGAATTATTAATTAAAAGGAAAAAAAAAAAAAAAGTAGTAAAACAGAGAGGAGCTAATTAAGGGTGTGTATGAAGTACTTTGGCCACAGGGAGGAGGGAGGCACAGGGAGGAGGGAGGCACAGGGAGGAGGGAGGCACACGGAGGAGGGAGGGACAGGGAGGAGGGAGGCACACGGAGGAGGGAGGCACACGGAGGAGGGAGGCACAGGGAGGAGGGAGGCACAGGGAGGAGGGAGGGACAGGGAGGAGGGAGGCACAGGGAGGAGGGAGGCACAGGGAGGAGGGAGGCACAGGGAGGAGGGAGGCACACGGAGGAGGGAGGCACAGGGAGGAGGGAGGCACAGGGAGGAGGGAGGCACAGGGAGGAGGGAGGCACACAGAGGAGGGAGGGACAGGGAGGAGGGAGGGACAGGGAGGAGGGAGGGACAGGGAGGAGGGAGGCACACGGAGGAGGGAGGCACAGGGAGGAGGGAGGGACAGGGAGGAGGGAGGTACACGGAGGAGGGAGGCACACGGAGGAGGGAGGGACAGGGAGGAGGGAGGCACACGGAGGAGGGAGGCACACGGAGGAGGGAGGGACAGGGAGGAGGGAGGCACAGGGAGGAGGGAGGGACAGGGAGGAGGGAGGCACACGGAGGAGGGAGGCACAGGGAGGAGGGAGGGACAGGGAGGAGGGAGGTACACGGAGGAGGGAGGCACAGGGAGGAGGGAGGCACACGGAGGAGGGAGGCACACGGAGGAGGGAGGGACAGGGAGGAGGGAGGCACACGGAGGAGGGAGGGACAGGGAGGAGGGAGGCACACGGAGGAGGGAGGCACAGGGAGGAGGGAGGCACACGGAGGAGGGAGGGACAGGGAGGAGGGAGGGACAGGGAGGAGGGAGGGACAGGGAGGAGGGAGGCACAGGCAGGAGGGAGGCACACGGAGGAGGGAGGCACAGGGAGGAGGGAGGCACACGGAGGAGGGAGGGACAGGGAGGAGGGAGGCACAGGGAGGAGGGAGGCACACGGAGGAGGGAGGCACAGGGAGGAGGGAGGGACAGGGAGGAGGGAGGGACAGGGAGGAGGGAGGCACAGGCAGGAGGGAGGCACAGGGAGGAGGGAGGCACACGGAGGAGGGAGGCACAGGGAGGAGGGAGGCACAGGGAGGAGGGAGGCACACGGAGGAGGGAGGCACAGGGAGGAGGGAGGGACAGGGAGGAGGGAGGCACAGGCAGGAGGGAGGCACAGGGAGGAGGGAGGCACACGGAGGAGGGAGGCACAGGCAGGAGGGAGGCACAGGGAGGAGGGAGGCACACGGAGGAGGGAGGCACAGGGAGGAGGGAGGGACAGGGAGGAGGGAGGCACAGGGAGGAGGGAGGCACAGGCAGGAGGGAGGCACAGGGAGGAGGGAGGCACACGGAGGAGGGAGGCACAGGGAGGAGGGAGGCACACGGAGGAGGGAGGCACAGGGAGGAGGGAGGCACAGGGAGGAGGGAGGCACAAGGAGGAGGGAGGCACACGGAGGAGGGAGGCACAGGGAGGAGGGAGGCACAGGGAGGAGGGAGGCACAGGGAGGAGGGAGGCACACGGAGGAGGGAGGCACAGGGAGGAGGGAGGCACAGGGAGGAGGGAGGCACAGGGAGGAGGGAGGCACACGGAGGAGGGAGGGACAGGGAGGAGGGAGGGACAGGGAGGAGGGAGGCACACGGAGGAGGGAGGCACACGGAGGAGGGAGGGACAGGGAGGAGGGAGGCACACGGAGGAGGGAGGCACACGGAGGAGGGAGGGACAGGGAGGAGGGAGGCACAGGGAGGAGGGAGGGACAGGGAGGAGGGAGGCACACGGAGGAGGGAGGCACAGGGAGGAGGGAGGGACAGGGAGGAGGGAGGTACACGGAGGAGGGAGGCACAGGGAGGAGGGAGGCACACGGAGGAGGGAGGCACACGGAGGAGGGAGGGACAGGGAGGAGGGAGGCACACGGAGGAGGGAGGGACAGGGAGGAGGGAGGCACACGGAGGAGGGAGGCACAGGGAGGAGGGAGGGACAGGGAGGAGGGAGGTACACGGAGGAGGGAGGGACAGGGAGGAGGGAGGCACACGGAGGAGGGAGGGACAGGGAGGAGGGAGGCACACGGAGGAGGGAGGCACAGGGAGGAGGGAGGCACACGGAGGAGGGAGGGACAGGGAGGAGGGAGGGACAGGGAGGAGGGAGGGACAGGGAGGAGGGAGGCACAGGGAGGAGGGAGGCACACGGAGGAGGGAGGGACAGGGAGGAGGGAGGCACAGGGAGGAGGGAGGCACACGGAGGAGGGAGGGACAGGGAGGAGGGAGGCACAGGGAGGAGGGAGGCACACGGAGGAGGGAGGGACAGGGAGGAGGGAGGGACAGGGAGGAGGGAGGGACAGGGAGGAGGGAGGGACAGGGAGGAGGGAGGCACAGGCAGGAGGGAGGCACACGGAGGAGGGAGGCACAGGGAGGAGGGAGGCACACGGAGGAGGGAGGGACAGGGAGGAGGGAGGCACAGGGAGGAGGGAGGCACACGGAGGAGGGAGGCACAGGGAGGAGGGAGGCACACGGAGGAGGGAGGGACAGGGAGGAGGGAGGCACAGGGAGGAGGGAGGCACACGGAGGAGGGAGGCACAGGGAGGAGGGAGGCACACGGAGGAGGGAGGCACAGGGAGGAGGGAGGCACAGGGAGGAGGGAGGCACACGGAGGAGGGAGGGACAGGGAGGAGGGAGGCACAGGGAGGAGGGAGGCACACGGAGGAGGGAGGCACAGGGAGGAGGGAGGCACACGGAGGAGGGAGGCACAGGGAGGAGGGAGGCACAGGGAGGAGGGAGGCACAGGCAGGAGGGAGGCACACGGAGGAGGGAGGCACAGGGAGGAGGGAGGCACACGGAGGAGGGAGGGACAGGGAGGAGGGAGGCACAGGGAGGAGGGAGGCACACGGAGGAGGGAGGCACAGGGAGGAGGGAGGGACAGGGAGGAGGGAGGCACAGGGAGGAGGGAGGCACACGGAGGAGGGAGGGACAGGGAGGAGGGAGGGACAGGGAGGAGGGAGGGACAGGGAGGAGGGAGGGACAGGGAGGAGGGAGGCACAGGCAGGAGGGAGGCACACGGAGGAGGGAGGCACAGGGAGGAGGGAGGCACACGGAGGAGGGAGGGACAGGGAGGAGGGAGGCACAGGGAGGAGGGAGGCACACGGAGGAGGGAGGGACAGGGAGGAGGGAGGGACAGGGAGGAGGGAGGCACAGGCAGGAGGGAGGCACACGGAGGAGGGAGGCACAGGGAGGAGGGAGGCACACGGAGGAGGGAGGCACAGGGAGGAGGGAGGGACAGGCAGGAGGGAGGCACAGGGAGGAGGGAGGCACAGGCAGGAGGGAGGCACAGGGAGGAGGGAGGCACACGGAGGAGGGAGGCACAGGGAGGAGGGAGGCACACGGAGGAGGGAGGGACAGGGAGGAGGGAGGCACAGGGAGGAGGGAGGCACAGGGAGGAGGGAGGCACAGGCAGGAGGGAGGCACAGGGAGGAGGGAGGCATAGGGAGGAGGGAGGCACAGGGAGGAGGGAGGGACAGGGAGGAGGGAGGCACAGGCAGGAGGGAGGCACAGGCAGGAGGGAGGCACAGGGAGGAGGGAGGCACACGGAGGAGGGAGGCACAGGGAGGAGGGAGGCACACGGAGGAGGGAGGCACAGGGAGGAGGGAGGCACACGGAGGAGGGAGGCACAGGGAGGAGGGAGGGACAGGCAGGAGGGAGGCACAGGGAGGAGGGAGGCACAGGCAGGAGGGAGGCACAGGGAGGAGGGAGGCACACGGAGGAGGGAGGCACAGGCAGGAGGGAGGCACAGGGAGGAGGGAGGCACAGGGAGGAGGGAGGCACACGGAGGAGGGAGGGACAGGGAGGAGGGAGGCACAGGGAGGAGGGAGGCACAGGGAGGAGGGAGGGACAGGGAGGAGGGAGGGACAGGGAGGAGGGAGGGACAGGGAGGAGGGAGGCACACGGAGGAGGGAGGCACAGGCAGGAGGGAGGCACAGGGAGGAGGGAGGCATAGGGAGGAGGGAGGCACACGGAGGAGGGAGGCACAGGGAGGAGGGAGGGACAGGGAGGAGGGAGGCACAGGGAGGAGGGAGGCACAGGGAGGAGGGAGGATAACTGCGCTGTTATAAAACCTTTTATGTCTCCGCTGAGGAGGAATATGAAAATTGACAAAATTGAGTAAGCGCTGAGGCACCAGTGACACTCTTTTATTGTATTTATTTTATTTTTTTAGGTTTTCAACTCCCCCTATGGACCAATATATGCGTTCTGTATTTTTTGTGTATGAACTGTTTGATTCTCTAATCTGTGTTGGTGATTTCAACAGTTTTGTTAAGTCTTCTGAAATAACTATTGTGATTTAGGGCCATACAAGAATAAATTGAATTAAATTGAATTTAACCAGGGAAGTCCCATTGAGATGAAGAAACTCTTTTTCAAGGGTGTCCTGGACAAGAGGCAGCAAAACTTATTACAACTGCAGTTGGTGAAAGCCTTTTTTCACTACCTGCGGTGTCGGCTCGTCCTATCATTGTGAAGCAGATTGTTCACCCACTCATAGGGAACGTGAGCTGGGGTTAGACTGTTGTGAGACAGGTTAGTGTTGTTGCAATAGTAATTTCTTATAAATGTCTTTGCTTGGATTAAAGGAAAACTTTTGATAGAGGTGATTATAGCTCTTTTAGGCCACAATTTTGTATCCTTTAGTGTTGGCTAAAGTCTGCATTTGAAGTAAAAAACAAATAAGCCCTTACAAGATACTGAGTAGCACCAGCCATAAAACTTGTATAAAGTAGTTAGAAGGGCAAAAATGTAATCAACCCCAAAAAGACAAAAAGTGTTTTGTGACTATTCATCAGGATGTCCGCGAGCAACATCACATTTCTGCACACAATTCTGCTCTAAAGCAACCGCTGCCCCTGACAGGTTTCCCCAAAGGCGTTAACGGCAAATGACAAAGTAAATAAATGTAGGAACCTAGAAATAACTTATTCCATCAGTGGCAAGTTCGCTCCAAAATAACACTTAACAGCAGCTTCAGGAGGGCAAAAGAACTCATTAGGAGATTAATGGCTGATGATCCATTGTCATTATATAACACTCGTATACACACTATCACACTACACAACACAACACAATACAATATCAGCTATGAAAGACAAGTTTGCGTTCCAGGCCTCAGAACTGGACCTGGTTGCTTGGAATCCACAAACAAAGCCTTTTAGTGCCTGTGCTGAATGTGTGCAGTCTCCGCCCAGCTGGGGAAGGGACAAAATACTTAACTCCACACCGGGATCTATCTTTTGTGTGGAAAGGAAATTGTTGTAGCATTTTTTATTGCTCAGTTTCTTTGCATGACCATGTTTGTGTCCAAATAAGTTGTCGTGGTCCACTGTACGGTGGCAAAGCAGAAACAAAACAATACAAATACAGAAACGAATATAGGGAAATGATCAAATACTATACACTCAGAATAAACTTTTTTTTTTTGCGGTAATAGAACAAACACCAGTGAATCAAGAGAGAAACAACTCCTTGGTTTTAATTCATCAATCCTAGTGACAAAGAGGCGCAGAGGTCCCACTTAAAGGAATACTAATTAGGTCTAAATCACACGGCTGTCTGGAGAGGAATTTACACAGCTGGGCTATTGTTAGTCACAATCTTCTTATTTCATTAAAACGTCACCAATCTGACCTCCACCAGGGTCAGAGAAGAATGAGAAACTGTACAAAGAATAATTTAATACCTGCTTCAGAAATAAGACCACATTTTTGTTGGCACTTGATATAAGAGCAGGCTTTGGCGATGGTAATTAGGGTTAGAAGGGTTGAGAGCAGGCTCAAACCTGCTATGCAAATCATCATGGATGTTGGTATAGGGCTGATGTATTCATAGCACTGCCAGCCAGTAATCTCTTTTTTATTATCTGAAGATGGATAATTTCATTCAATAACATCTCATTCAAGACAGGTGCTAAATTTGCATTGAAAATAATATACTACTCAATTATGTTCCAACTGTCAAATTCTGACAAAACAAATCTACAATGGGTGGTATGGCATGGTCGACTCAGCATGGGCCATAAAACAATTCACAAAATATGCATAGAGTCTTTTCTTCAGGGATTGGTAGATTTGTAAGAACATCCTCGGGTTTCCCCAAGATGCACAGGAAATACTCAATATGAATCTCTCCTTATGCAACCATGTTAATACCCTCACACAGCAGAGATCCTAAAATCAAAGCTGGCATTATTTTATAGAAGGGCTGTCTTTTCCAGAGGCTGTTGTGGCCACTTTGCTTCTAAACCTGTGAAAGTGGTCGATTATTGGCCATAATAATGGAATCTGAACACAAATTATCATCTCAAAGTAACCCTAGAGCAACCACGCAGATTGGCTAGCCAAAGCCAACTTTGGGTATAGGAGGTACCTGAATGATCAGTTATTTCTGGTCATATCTTCATTTAGAGACAAAAAAAATAAAAAATAAACACCAGGATCAGGCAAAAGCCCTAAAACGTTTACTTTTCAATGTACAGTATGAGAAGTATAGGTGTCCATCATTAAATGTACAAAGCACATATTTTTCTATTAATGCCACACAATGTGTTTTTACTTTCCATCTCTACATTGACCCGTGGTGGGAGCTGTTATGACTTCTTCTGTTGACAGTAAGTACAATGGCAGCCACCTGCTCCAGACCAGGGCCATGGGTCCCTGTTATTGTTATTAAAAACATACATTCATGTCCCCCCAAAGCAGATCTCTGGCTGGTTTTGAGGTCGATGTCGAGCCTCATTAAAAGCCTCAGTTCCCACTGTGCCTCTTTTCTGTTCCCCTGCAGAGCTTTGATAACAGGGTAAAAAGAAGCTTTGATAATAGGGTCTGCCTGAGACATGAGCGGTCCACTTAAACATCTCACAGTGACCTTTTGGAGAGCTAATAATAAGGCTCCTTTATGAACAAAAGTAATATATATATAGAGATATGAATGGTGTGTAGCATAAACCAGATGTAAAAGCTGATTGAGGAAAAAAAAACATTCAGATATAATTTCATGGACGGACCTTAGCCACAAATGTACCCTAAATGTGGTGAAATAATCAATAACCAAAAAAAAAAAGAAATGTAGTGTGAGTTCTTAAGCCCTATTGTGGTCATGTTGCTCTATCGACTTTTGGCACAGTTCAATAACTTGGCATGTATCTTTTGTTTTTTGGATTTCAGACTAAACAAAACAAAACGAACGTATAGCAACGGTAATAATAGTCTTTAAACTGTGTCTTATGATCCACATGCAGCACTACAGAGTCCTGCAGGGACAGAGTGTCCAGAGCTCTACCTTTAAGTCTGGGACAAAAGCTACATCTCCACATGGCGCCCCCAGCTTTGAAGACTGAACAGAGGGGTCCAACAGGCAGACGGTTGGGTCAAGTTCAAAGCAAGTCCCAGGTCCAGCCCCTGTAATGACCATTGTGGAAGGGAAATCACTTAGCTAAAATGACAGAACAGAGAACTATCCGAAGAGATGATTTATCTAAAACACAATAACACGTTTCTGCCAACAATTCCAACCCAAAGCAATATGACAATTTACAGACAATATTTTGTAAAAACATTTTGTGTGTATCTATGTATATATACAACATTTATATGTACGTCTAAATTATATGTAATATGATAATAGTATGTAACAATTTCTGCTAGAATTACTGAATAAATGAGAAAAATAAGTTTTAATATTCTACAAAATAGCGGTTTTCATTCCCACTGAAACCCATGTAGACCATTGCTGAGCTTAAAAAGGCATCGCCCACAAAATTTACGGGCCCAAGAAACTCAAAACTCCAGGAAAGGAGTAGATACATGTTTGACAGTCGCTTTGAAATCTTAGGAAAATGTGTGAAAATACATGGATAAGGGATCTGAAAACTTCTGGGCCAGAGCTGGTTAATTCTTTGTTCTTTCATTTACGCAGAAATAGTTACATTCATACAGTATATATTTGCAATGATGATTACAAATTATCAGCACGATATGGAATGGGAAAAAGAAAAAAAGCCTACACCCTTCAAACCCATGTACATAATTGACCTTTTCTTTAAAGGATATAATTATTGAACATTTGAATGGTGGATACAGTACACACAACTCAATATGTCAGAGTAGGGCTGGGCGATTAATCGATTTTAATCATTAATTCGAGTTTTACGTTTAGGGCGATTTCTTTTTTTAAAAATTCGATTTTTATTTTCTCCATCGCAGAACTACAGCGCTAACGCGCTAACCGCGGGTCTTTGGTGTTGAGCAGTCATTTTGAAGCTAACCTAATGCTAACAGTCTCCCTCTGGCCTGAGGCTCGCTCTCACAGTTGGTGCTGTTGCAATAACACTTCAAACGGTCAAGAATCAGACTTTATTTAATCGCCAAAACACACACACACACGCACGCAGGCTCCGGTCGCTATGTTCGTACGCCATGTTCGTACGCCACATCTTTCACGCTCGTTATTCCAAAGCGCACTCACACATTGCTCTCATTGCTCTGATACAAACAACGTGTTCCCCGCTGTCTGTTAGCTACAGTAGCTGCTACAGTAGCTGTTAGCTACAGTAGCTGCTACAGTAGCTGTTAGCTACAGCATCAGAATGTAAACAGGAAGCTCGCACAATGCGGGAGCCACTGAAGTTAGTATTAGCGCCACCAGCTGGACCGAGCGTTGTACTACAGCACAGTTACTCAGGCACAGTTGAAAGAACAAGCATGAAAACCCGAGGAGGCTTTTGGAAAAGACTGTCTGTTACAACATTTCTATTTTGAGTAATCAGTTTTAAAAATGTGATATTTCATGTAAATAATGCATGTGTTTAATAGGATTGATATATTTGCGATGGGCCTTGTTTGTGTGATTTAAGTTATTTTGAAGGTGCATAGTGTCATTGAAAGTGAAGTTATTATAAAACTGTTAAGCTACATTTTCACTGTTTACAATGGCAGAGCCATCCCGTTTACAAGCATGTTTTAAGGCTTAATTCCTGTTACACTTATGCTCCATGGGGATTTAGATTAAACTGCATAAAGGAAAATCTATTTCTTTGTCAGTTGTAGTTTGTTTTTAAATAGAAAAAAATAAATCGATTAAAATCGAAAATCGGATTTGGTGTGAAAAAATCGGAGATTTTTTTTTTTTGCCATATCGCCCAGCCCTATGTCAGAGTTGTTGCTGACATGGTGTGTGTGATGGCGCTTAGTTTGGTTGGTGGATGTTGATCTTTCCCTCTTCCTCCGAACACTCAATTCAATTCAATGCATTCATGTATAGCCCCAAGTCACAACAGCAGGTATCTCTGAGGACTTAACAAAACCGTTGAATTCGCCAACATAGATCAGAGGTTCAAACACAAGAAAGGCAATGCTAACATACAGAGACACAACTGAGAAGATTTGAAGAATATTTCAGAGTAGAGTTTTGACTAAAATGGTGGATGTTTACAAGATAGAAACCCAAACTACATGGAACGCTTAACACAGAGGCCCCTCAAGGACAGTTTCACATAATAACGGAAACCTTGGTACGCTGATAGACCATGCACAAGTGGAGAGTATCAATGGGCCAGACGGAACAGTGTGAACTCTTAGACCCTAATCCAACCATCATTAACTCTTGGGGGCCGTGAGAGTAATCATTCTGGGAGACATGTAGTAATCATTACACATTACAAGTTACTTATGTGTCTGGACGATACTGAGAGGTGTTAGCAAAGCACTTCATGTTGCTACTTATTTCTTCCAAGAGAAAGTCACTGGGTCAGCTGGTAAAATTACTCCTACTGTCAAGAGGTTTGGGGTTTGGTCTAGCTTGAACCAGTCCTGTAAGTTTGAAATAGATAAAGGATACAGAATGAGTCCAAGTTCGCAATGTGTATTTATAGATTCTTTAGCACTCATCACACACAAAGTGAAATATAGCAAGCCTGAATTATTTTTAATATTGATTATTGGCTCACAGCCTGTAAAAAACTCCAAATAAAACATTTCTGAATAACCAAAATCACTGTTGGACCATATTCTAATTTTCCGAGTTTCACTTTTATTATGGGCGGCACGGTGGCTGAGTGGATAGTACTCTCGCCTCTCAGCAAGAAGGTCCTTGGTTCAAATCCCGATCGGACCAGGGCCTTTCTGAGTGGAGTTTGCATGTTCTCCCCGTGTCTGCGTAGGTTTCCTCTGGGTACTCCGGTTTCCCCTACCACTAAAAATATGCACAATAGGTCTGGCATGCGCCTCCTGTTCGGCGACCCTGCTCCCATCTTTGTGTGGAGTGAGAGGACAAATGCCCAAAAATAACAATTGTAAACCGCTTTGTGACTCTGGTCTGTGAAAGGCGGTATATAAATAAAGATTACTTACTTATTATGATTAGCTTAAAATATTGTCTATCTATATCGCTAAGTTAAGTTATACTCTATTGTGCCTGTAGGAACATTTGTCCTTTGGCAGGATCAGTGGTCACCAGAGTCCAACGCCCTGGGACCCATCTCCTGGATATTCAGGATTTTGCCTATTCTACATGTTTTTAGTGGCAGGGGAAAGCGAAGCACCCAGAGGAAACCTACAGTACACAGACACAGGGAGAACATGCAAACTCCTCTAAGAAAGTCCCCTCTCAAACTGGGATTCAATGCTAAACACCCACTCACCATCTTTTATATTGATGATATTTATACTGCATCTAAACTAGTATAAAACCTTGTGGTAGCATAACAGGTTGTAGTTTGTGTGAATAAAACACAATAAAAGCCGGCTCTTAAAAAACAAGTCGAGCGCGAGTGTCCAAACGCTGCGTGGGCGAGGTTTCCTTTTCCCCAGTCTGACAGTTTTATATGAGCTTTTATAGCACCAGGTCTTATCTGTTATGATGCAATAACCGCGGATGACAAGGCTTGTCATGTCTCTTCCAAAGAACTACAGCCAGGTTACATGATTGACGGCCGCACAATGACACAACCATCAAAACACACCCCCCCCCCCCTCCTCCCCCCTCCTCCATGTCGCTTCTGTTGCGAGTGAACACGTTGAGAGCGTTGTGATCCCAGCATTAACCATGATAAAATGTCATTATTTTGTTGTATTTTTTGTGTGTTACTGATCAAAGCCTCAGTCAGTCCCTTGGCTCCCTGTTTGCCCGGATGTGCAGCTGGCATTTGTAGGGACAAATAATGAGTGCACATTATTTTTTGTTCATTTAAAAGGCAGGCCCCGTGAAGCCTGAATGGAAAATAGTAATGGATGCAGTGGTGATAGATGTCTCACACAGAGCTTTCAGTCATTAGAAGACGCTGCCACTTGAATGCAAACAAGCAGATGAACGCGCTCCGAGTGCGTCTCAATTAAAAATGACATTGAAATATAACCTTTTTTTTATTTTTTTATTTTTTTTTAGAAAGGATTACGGGGAAGGAGATAGCAACGCATTTATAATGGTGTACTAATGACGTTGCCAGGGGAAAGCATTTGTGTTGCTATCTGGACAAAAGTGAGGTTGTGCAGGGTTCAAATAATGGCAGAAACACGGATATGAATTTACGGTGATCGTGAACAACATCCAAAAAGAAGAAAATATTCAGGCACTCACTGAGAATTTATTACTATAGGGATGGCTACTGGTTCAAAATGATTGTAAAAATGTTATCTTGCTTTTGTATTATTAAATATTCTAAGTATATGATACAGTAGTTGCTCTAGTTTTGGTATTGACTATATCTGATTTTTGTGTTTTTGCCATTTTCTCCCACTACACTGCAAAAATAAAAACATATTAGATTGAATAAATGTTTGAATTGAGTGGGTTTGATCTTATTTGAGTACATTCGGGAGTACATTCTGGTTTAAAACAAGATTTGCCAATGGGACAAAGCCATATTCAAGTCTTAATTATCTCAGTCCAAGGAAGACATTTCTTGTTTCTTTTTAAAACAAACAAAAAAATGTTTAAGTCACATTGGCAAATCTAATGCAGTCCAAATGTGCTCAAATTAAAATACATTTTTGCCAAATTTGAGCAATCTTTGACTGACTTTTCTTCACTTTTTGCAGTGTAAAATCTTCTGGGTCCTGTCCATTGTTTAACCCCGTCTAAGCAGTTCCCTCGTGCGAATCATTGTCGCTGCGTGTTAACAGACTCTTTACCACCACTTGTCTTTGGCAAACTGCGAAATAAGTGCAGCATAAGCAGAGCGCTGTTAAAGATAAACTTTCAGCCGGTCAGCATTCAGTCCACAATGAGGAGGTGGCCAGCGGTGGCCTCTTTTCCAGCATTGAGAGAGCAGTCGCCTCACTCCCACACCCAGGACCCCCACACTCACAAGAGCCCCCCCACTGGATCTCTCCTTTTGAGTCCAGCGCAGCCACCTCTCCCTGACCCCTGCGACTAGAGTTCAGCTCTGCTCACAGTGACAGCTTGACCGCCAAACCCCCAAGCGCACGCACAGGCAACTTACATTATCAGCAGAGTGGAAATTCATTCATTCATTCATGTGGATCTTTTTCCCCCCCCAGAATCAAGACATAATAGATCATCATAACCGACCAAATAATATTTCAAACCCAAATTAAATGGACTAGGGGAAAAAAAGATCACAGTTAGGATTTTTGTCTTCCTCCCACTCCTGTTTGAGTTTGAATGATGTCAGTATTGTAATAAGTGGTTTTCAGTACGGATCCCAGGAGGTGAGATCCCATTAAATAAACAAGAACTAGTGCAATTCATCAAGATTAAAGTAAAAAATCAGCTCCAAATTATCTGCTATGTCCAGCTATAGGCCATTCAAATAAAAAGATCCATGAGCATCAGAGACATGACTGAGTTTCAATAAAAATCCTACTAATTGCCCAGCTATGATATAAAGAAGTATGAAACTATTGGAGAGAGAACTTTTTGAGGTACTCATTTGTATTATACATAGGTTGGAAAAACAAACACAAAACTTTTTTTAAAATTAGTTACAGTCTATAGCAATGCTGCACCTGTTTTCCTTGCAAAAAAATCAGGAATCCTCCATGATTAAGGCAACCCGGGCCAAACAACAGCTCAGATCAGTCACATCAACCAGTTTAAAACTACCACAATAACCATCTCCAACTCTTAAATGTGCAAAAATCAATGCAAAGAAACTTTCAATCAATAATTAAACCAAACTTCTACTACAAAACAAGACCGATATAAGGATACTGCAGTCGCTCTCGGTACCTGGCAGATTTCGTAGAGTAGTTTGTAGTGTTCATCGGGCTTCTGCAGGGAACACAGGCTGCATCCCATGGTGGAGCGCTCCGTCCTGGTTGGTGTGGTCAGTCCCCCCCTGGCCGTCTGTCATGCTCCCTGCCTCTCTCCGCGCTCTACAGCCTTGTGCAGAGCCTGAGCCGGGCCGCGGACAGAGCGCTCTTATAAAGCCCCCACCCCCTCGTGGGCACCGAGCAGCCTCATTGACTATTCATGAAGAGCCCAGGCATGACGGGGATTACAGACACGCTCACAAGACGGATTCATTAGCAAATATCATTACATCTATTGTCCGCAGCGGTTTGGTGCAATGGTTTGATAATTAGCCTTGAGGTAAATGTTTGAGTGTGTGCGTGTGTGTGTGTGCTGATTGAACACACACACACACACACACACACACAGCACAATCAGAGAACAAAATAGTATAATAGAGCAGGGTAATGTGAGGAAAAAAAAAAAGAGCACTCAATTTTTGATTAGATTTTAGTTGAATTCTAGGGATGGGACAAACGTTTATTGTCAAAATAGACTGGATCCACCAGAGTGCTTCACGAGACAACAGTGACTAAAACACCGTCATTTTTTGTTTAGGTAAAGCAGGTTTGTTTTCATCAGCTGTTAGTGACTGTAAGTGTACCATTACAACATGGAAACTTGTTTATATTCAAATGGGGCCTACAGTGTGCGGTAAGAAAATACTTCCTTTTCTGTGTAGCAGGTGTGGTTATAATAGTCCAGCAAGTACTGTACTTGTGCACAAGCAGAGGGGAAAAAAATAAAAATAAATTAAAGAAAGCCCCATGATTGGTGTTGTCCCAATGTCATTAATTAAGATGAAATGCAAAATGTGAGAAATGTGATCACTGGTACCAGATCAAAATGGTCCAAAACGTGTTGGAGATTCCAGATTACAATAAAACGTAAAATTAACAACAAAAAGAAAGATAATACCCTGATGCAGCGCAGAGCCAGCCTCAAAAGCAGCCATCTGGATATGCGTTTTTTCCAGCATAAAGAGACGTTCCAAATCCCATCTGGGCATTATTATCTTGATCTTGATTGTTTTATGCAATAATTAGTTGGTTTTAATGATAAACACTTTTTTTTTTTTTTTTTAGATGTATTGTATTGCCCACCTCTATAAAAGCAAACAGAGGCATCATTGTGAAAACTTCCTGCTGTGGTTAAATTATCCGTTTGTTTGCTTTAGAGCTATAATCTTTCACCACAGAGAAACCGGAAAAACTACCACAACAAATATGAGGTACTGACCCAGTGAAGCGGCCAATGCAACGGGCACTTCCCTGACGCTAGAGCGCATTCAAAGCTGCATGGATTGCTGGCACAGATACAAATCAGCCAACCAAATCAAAAAACAGCGACGAGAAAGAAGGCTGGAAAAATAGCTCTACATGCTGCCAGTTCGTCGGCCAACTTCAGGCCCCAGCCCCAGATGCATTTTTAAACTCTTTTTATGATTTGATCCCACTGGTATGTCACAAAAGGATTGCTTTAATTGACCCGGCAGCGCTAAGCTACATACCTGGATAGATTTTGGGGTCCTCTGGGACAACCCTGGCTGCTGCTGATAGGGGTTTTTCTTCAACCAGATGCGCCCACTGATCCCTATCTATCATCACTTCCCCAGCCCACAGTCGAGCTGTTATTAAAGGGGCTCAGAAGTTTTTTTCAAGTCAAATGTCAAGCAAATTCTATGAGTATAGATTTCAAATGCCACCAAAATCAAATTGTAGGGGAGAGAACAAAAGTAGTTCAGCCTAAGAACAAGGGAAATGTCTATCTTTGTTAGGTGATCCATACGAGAAGCAAACAATGACATTTGCTGAATATTCCAGGATGAATCTCCGTGTGTTTTCACAAAAGTTGACATTTGGTTTGGATGGAAAAGAGGTTTTTAGAAGGAAGCTAGTTGGAATATAGCAAGCAGGGAGAAAGAATAAGTTAAAGATTCAGTAAGCGATTTTGTTAGCTTAACCGTAGCACCAACTCAAAACCACTCCCCCCTCCCCTCTCCACCAAACCAAACATCCAGAATTTTCTTTTCTTTGTCACAACAGGGAAAGTGGGGGGCAAACGTGAAATTGGCATTTTCTGTTCAGCCATTTAAGGTTTTAGAAAATTACCCAATAACTCAGGTGCACGCACTCTTGAGGGTGAAGGGGGTAAACGCATCCCATTGATTCGTTGGGGAGGAACGAATCCCAATGGTTTATTTTTATCGGTCCGCTCCAAAATGTTTGTATTAATTTTTGGAGACTAAGGCATCTGGTCAATTCCATTACTATTTGAAAACACACGATAACTTGACTACTTTAAGGGTTTAGGGACGTTTTCCCAAAAATCACTGACTGCATCTTTAAGAAAACATTTATGGACATCTGCCCCTTATGGACCAGTGGCTCTATGTGTTTTTATCATGCCATTTCTTGTGTTTGATTCTCTAATCTGTGTTGGCGAATTCAATGGTTTTGTTAAGTCCTCCGAGACTGTTGTTATTTAGGGCTGTACAAGAATACATTGAATTGAATTAACAATGAGAACTAACACACAAAAACCATATTTAGGTTCAACCCTCCATCATTTCTAGCATCAATTAAAATTCCTTTAAGTTTCCCACAACTTCCTATAATTCCCCTTCACACCTCGAATCCCACATGCTTAGAACAGAAGCAGTGTAGAGTATGTGAGATCTGCTCGGTCTTTTAATCGCTAAATTCCCTGCTTGTCTGGGCGCTATAGTCTCCAGCAGCTTCCATCCAAGCGGCATGAAAACCAATTCTGCGCTTACATTAGCCGGTCTGTAGCGCCCGGGGCAGGGATCAGCGCAGAGTCGTATCCGTTCTCTCCCGCCTAATCTTTCTTTCACGCTCATATTATCCTGTTCAGCAAGTCAAAATGGACACAGCTCTGACGTGAATGTTCAAGAAACTGCTGAAGAAGATGAAGTGGAAGAGTGTTTGTTGAAGCAGGTTTGATTTGACTAATACTGGAAAAAGACGTAAAAAAAGTGATCAAAAATATTACCAATTTCTTCTTTGCAACTCTTTGGTTTTCCCATTTACAAGTCTTGGGATGTGTCGTTTAAGCAAGTATATAACTAATCAATCTTTAAAATCCGAAATAGGCAATAACATAAATTGACTTGCAGCTTCATGGAAAATTGTCTCAAGAACGTAGAAAGAACAATCATTTTGTCAGCCCCAAAGCTTTACGTTCATTGTCAACACGGACTCGATCATAACGACATGGGTAAAATAATGACGTTTAAATGTAAATGAACTAACATTCATTTTTACGCCTCGGGTTCGTGCAACACCCCCCAATTAACCCATGATTTGTCGAAGCGAGCATGACGATGGTATTTGATCTTTCGTGATCATTTATATGTATGGGGGATCTCCCGGTGGGGTCGGGGGGACAGTCACGGCCTCGACTATAGCCGCAGTGGGATCAGGTGGCTATTCTAAACAAGAGACTCAAACGCATATTACTCTGAGAAGCTAGACAGCACATTATTTACTTTTTGGAATGAGACAAAGCAAAAGAATCCGTAGTAGATATGAGAATATTCATAATCCAATTGATATACTGTAGAAAAGAGATTCCAACTGCTGCACTGACACCAGCAAAACAAAACAAGCAACACTAGGTCAAATATATTAGCTTTTTATTTATTTATATATATTTCTTATTAGCTAATTGACTGCCATTGATGGATTTATCTCTGGTTTCTTTCCCTGGTCTGTCTCCTCTCTCTCTCTCTTTCTCTGGTCTGAGACGGGTGATTTCTGTCAAACTTACCTCTCTTCAACTGGGGATTACAGAAAAACAAAACTAGCTAGAAACAAACTTATTTTTGCTGATGAACGTAGACAGTCCAGTCTTTCAGAATCTGGTTTCATATTTCACATAGTCATAGCACACAATGTTCTGTGGGTCTTGAAAAATCAGTGAAATCATCAAAAACGGGTGGCAGTCAATGAGTTAATGTATCCTTTTGTAAAGCGTCTTTGAGTGTCCAATAATATGGTAAATAAGTAAGATGTATTATCATTATAATCATTATCATTTCAGTATTACTTGTAATGATAATAATAGTGATGAAGTCTATAATGAATGAATATTTTTGCAGTTTGAGCCACAGTGAAATGACTGCGAGGGTTGTCAACACATCAGCCAAAGAAACCCTACTCTGATGGAGGGCAGTGATAACGTAGGGAAGTGAAATATCCAGGTGCTAATGCTACGTCCAGACAGATCGGGAAATATAGAAGAACGGAAACTAGAAAAGAGTTCATCCAGAAGTGGGGCATGAAGCTGTTGATGTCAATGTCAGGTCATATCCTAAAATCAAAGATTATTATAAATTCATTGCTTTTGAAAAATATAATCCCTTCCTAATGTTACTAGAATAATATCAACTTTGCAATATGGAAAGGGCGTTCTATTGTGCATGTAACGGATAAATACGTATTTTAACCAAGAAGCTCGTCTCCCAAATGGTCTGAGGAGAACAATGACATGGTTACAGGAGCAGTCACCAACTAAACTAGAACGGACTAACAGAAATGTACGTCTTAATTTAAGGAGACTCACATTTTCATTAAAGGCATATGTCATAATAATCAGAATTATTGGCAGACATCAATAGTTGCAGCATTTGATACAACAATAATAATAAAAATATATAACAGTGATTTTTTTTATTTGTGTCTGATCTGAAATGTGAAAGTAGATCATTTCATAAGTTGGTGTGAGGACATAGACAGATTTGAATACAGACAGCAACTTTAAAAGGGGATTATTCTGCTCTTCTCGTTCAGAAACTTGGCACCAAACTCGGCATTAACCTCAATAAACAGAAGGGGTTGCTGAAGTTAACCACTTTTAAATCACCCATAACATGTTTGCATGATTCATTATAACGACGCAGACTAACTCCTGATTGTGACGATGTCCATTGCTCTTCCGCATATACGTAATATGTTATGCATGTATAGAAGTCTGCTTGTGTTATTTCTACGGTGAAAGTGTCTTTTAGGGGTCAGCCGGTGCTTTTGTTGGCCACAGTCTCGGCTTGGTCTATCAGCGCCCCATCTACAGAGGATATGAGGAGGTGAGCAGTAATAGAGATGCCAGATGAGCCAGTGGCAGCGAGTGGGATGTGAGGAGACGGTGAGAAGATGACAGAGGACTCGGCCCTGGAGGAGTGGAAGGTGTCTGGGCTGTTCCAAAGGGATCTGTGTGTGCGACTGCTACACTGCCTCCTGCATAATTTATCAAACAGATGTCAGCTTTGTACAGCTACAGTATTTACTCTGCAAGTAAAAGAGCACGGCCAAGCAACACTACAGTAATTAGATCCTCTTAGAGCTGATTATCACCAGGCAAGTTATGACAACATTTTAATCATATGTTTGCTCTAGTTGTAAAAGGGAAATCGCTTCTTTAGCTGTGGCTGTCGAAAATAGGCTTTTTGAAGACATTTTTCACCGTTAAACCTTCACTGTGTCGAGTCCTTGATCACATTAATGATGAGACACACACAGTTTGAGATTTAATGCTGATCTTACTAAAAACATCAACAAAATCAGCAATCTCAAATTAAAGTTTTACATAGCAGTTATACAGTACATAGGATTCGTGGAGAAAAATAGCTTTTTAGCAAGTTTAATAAATAAATCGCAAGAAAAACTAAACGCAGCTTTTGAAATCAGTTGAGGACAAGACAGCAAAAGTTAAATTTGTATCACTCTAAACGACAAAGTTTGAATCTAACTTGTTACAAGACTACGCCATCTCCCATCAACTTGCGTTTTTTGTCTCAATGACAACCGTTTTTCACTTCAGGTGCTGTGTCCCACCAAAATAAAAGCACAGATATCAAAATAGATATCAGACAGATATTAATGTGCCTGAAGGGCAGAACAATAGCTTCCCAACCACAGCTTCACCTGTTCAGCGGTTATTCTCTGGTTCTTTGCCTAATACAGTCAATAAGTAACATATCTTCTCACTTAGGGTATAAGGTGTGCTTCCACTGTGCAGAATATTGAAGAAAGCGTTGCATCTATACGTCGATGAGTATCCACTTAATCGTGCACATGGTTCTCAATTTGTTAATGTTGTTTAATGGTGGTGTCACTGCGTTTGAGTTCATGTAGAGTGAGTTATAGGCAAAAACCCATTCAGTCTCGTTACATTACGGTGCTTTGTCTAATGAAAAGGTGAGGTCATTTGGTATCACTCAAATACCTCAATAGTCACACAGACAGACCAAGACAAAGTGTTGTGATAAATAACGTGTTGAGCAAAAATAGGAAGTTTGTCTCTTTTATACTTGTCTAGGCGAGTAGGCAGCAGTGTGATGAAATTGCTTTTGAGGCTAACTGGAAAGCTTGACCAGTCAGTAAATCTTTTTGCTGCATGACCTGAGCCCATTAGTGCTGCGGACGCACTGACCTCCAGGGCCGAGGGCAGCCGCGCACAGTCACAGCTGCCCGGGTGTTTTGCTGAGCCACTAAGCCGTTTCAAAACTTGATGTCATGGTTAAGATTCCAGGATCGGCTTGTTATAAAAGCCGATCACAGTTATAAAAGAGTCAAATCTGATCACAATACCAGGCAAATCAGACTGGGCCAAACTGCTAAATAGGTCGGCTATCTATAAAAAAATTAAACAAAAAAGAACAAAGCAGGGCCTGGTTAGTATTATGATGGGAGACCTCTGGGAACGCCAGGTGCTACTGTGGGATGGCTAAGTCCATAAGTGATAATGTTAGTAGTAGCCATATGAACGAACTCGGACTCTGAGGAGAACTGGGACTGGCCCTCTGCTGGTGCTTAGAGTCAGGAGTAAACATGGGGAGGCAGCATTTCAGACTCATGCAGCTAAAATCTGAAACCTTCTTCCTGAAAATGTGAGACAGTCTTCTTCTCTAACAATGTTCAAATCCAGGTTAAAAACAGTTAAGAGGGACAAGAGGAATTTATCTTTACTCTTTTTAATGTACTGTGATTATGACTTTAATGCATTGTGTGATTGGTTTCTTAATCTTAATTTTCTCAGCACCTTGAGTTGTCTTGTGTATGAATTGTGATAGACAAATAACCTTGCCAAACACTGTACCAAACTTCTGTTGCGTTCTTAGGCAAGTCACTTCACCCACATAGCTGTACGAGTCTTGTGTGGGTGTGTGAATAATTCCTCGTGGTTTGAGAGGCTGATGGCACAAATTGGCAGCCGTTTACCGCCATTGCGTGAGGAGTAAATGGATAATCCCAAGTGTCTTTCCCAAAAGTGCTATATTGGTATTATTGGTTTTATTTATATTGGTTTATTATTAGTAGTAGTAGTAGTAGCAGCTCATCAAAATAAATAATTAGATGTTAGAACGATAGGTACGTATAAAACATCCAACAATGCAATTAGTATATGATATTGCATAACATAACTCTGAAACAATATACTTTTAAAACTTTTTCATTCCATTGCAGGACAAGAAGCACACAAAATATACAGAAATAAGTAGCCGTTAACTTATACAATGCCTATTATACAGAATGCACAGAAGGAAAAATACGGTGCACAGGTGAAAATGATAACTTTAGACTCCGGCAGAGGAGAGAGTCGTTGTACAGATGTATGAATGTGGTCCTGCGTCATTCACTGTTGGAGAATGAACTCTGTCCCTCTATTGTGCTGTGCAGTGGCTGAGCAGAATCGTCCGTGATGGAGAGCGGTTTGCCCGGTGTCCGCCTGCCCCTCACTGTGACAATTGGTGTACCGACAATTTATAGCTTTGATTTTACCACTAAAGCAAAAACTCATGACGGCGACTGTGACACTGACAGATACAAGCACATTAACTGAAATATATTTTATGGCTGTAAATCAACATCTGTCTGCAGTGTTCCTCCTGTCATGTCATCGCTGTCGTGACACTTAACTCCAAGGCTAAAAAGGGCTGATTTGTTGCTTTTGGGGAGTGTCCCGCCTCATAAATGTGCGGCCCCTTCTCATTACCTCCTCGATTACCTTAATCCCCTGTCTGATGTCGTCTTGTCACAGGCGCATAGGGATTCGAGCGGACAAAGGTCAAACCATCCCCCATTTGATCACTGCTTTTTCATAAAAAAAGAGCTTTACAATCTGTGTTATTATTCCAGAACGTAAGAAGAAGAAAAGAAGCTTAGCATTGGATTTTAAGTGGAAGATTATGGAATACCACTATGCCAGTGAATAGTATACTGTATATAGCACACACTCTGATCTGATTGAAATTAAATAAGATGTTAGATATTAGATGTATGGTGAAAGAAAATTATTCCAAAGTGACAACAGCAATGCCAAACAGTCACTTAACGCCAATAAGGCCATCCTTTTCAGAAAACGTATTGAAATTAATTTTCCATTTACACTAATGGCATTGGCATTTGGATGCTAAAAGCCCTGCTGTCCTGACTCATCATTGGATCGGTATAGAGGAAAATGGATGCACTGTTCACGCTGAATTTCCAGGGAATTGTTAATTGAATTGACTGTGTGTAAACCTAGTTTGTATTGTCATTGGCTGATGTCTGGGGAGGTGTTGGACTGGAGTTTGTTGGCTAAATTGAATTCATTATAGAGCACTTATAGCTGAGCTTATAATGAGACCAACTGAAACAGGAGTCAGTCCCCAGTTTAAATAATTAGAGACCCGTGCAAATGCATGTGGATTTTTCTAATAGAGACACATTTTTCTGGAGAATGATTGTTTTTTGTGGTTTAGAAGAGTATTTCACCAGGGCTATGCTGTAATGGTCCAGTTAGGACTAACAGGATTAGTCTTATGTTATGTAATTGAACAACAGCAGACAAGTCCTTAGTGGATCAACAAACACATACTTGTATGGGTCGAAAACACAGAGGCAACTCCAGTACTGAATAAAGTCAAATTACGAAAACATTGCAAAATAATAAAATAAAGCAAAACTAATGTCTGTTTTCCTCATAAACTGCATATTAGGAAATTGAGAGCTAAAGTCACGCAAAGTGATTGCTGAATGCGGAAGAAGTCGATATAAAAATAACCTAGCTGGAGCTTCTTATATGAGCATTTGTTTTGACGGCTTTGTCATCACTGTACCTACACCTTTCTCAAAGGGTTGGTAAAGTGGGGCTTCTATAAATCTACACATTTGTGCAACAAACTCTGCTTGTTCTCTTCCATTCTTATCAGCGTAACTTCATTGAACATTAGCATTGTCTATCTATACACAGTCTATGGTTTTTACCCTCCAAGTTTAGTGCCAAGCATAGTGAGCAGGGACTTCTGCCCACAATGATTTAATTATAAGTACAATAAGTCCAACAAGAGAGAGACACTTTCAGAGATTGAGATAAAAGGTGATGTTTGACCAAGTTTCTGTTTTGTCCATGCGCAAAATTGATTGTAAAGTTTTCAAAGAAACAGGGGCCCCGAGTTGTAACATGGCCTAGCAGCATCATGAAGCACAAGATATTTAATACTAAAACATAAAGTAAGTACAATTCCATAGAACCAATTTTACAGGATGTGATACAACCAGAAAATCTGTAAAGTAAAAAGTGTGTCAAAAAGCACGTTCAAAATCTGAATAGCTTAAAGACCTCCCTGACTCAAGTACAATTAGTGTGAATAGGTTTCAGAGCTTGCTCTTGCAGAATACACTCCAACAATGACAACACACACACACACATTTCAAAAGGATATGCACCGTCTGCTGCTGGAACATGACTTCACTCAACAGCAAGACCAGGATTTGAGGATGATTGAAAGAACTGAGTGGACTGCAAACACAAAGAGAAAGCTCCTCATAATGGAGACGCCACATGCCAATATCACCTTTCACTTGCTCGGCTTCACCACTGCTTCTGTACCGAGTCACGTTCCGTCTCTTGGCTTTTTTTAATCACATGTTTTCAATTACTGCTGGAGTGTGGAGAGACGGCTGGCGTTGTAATTCAATAAAGGCACACGGAGGAAGGTCAGGGGGTGCGAAGGGGCGGCCATTGTGTGGCGGACAGTTGAGTGACAGCAGTGAGGTCGGAAGCGTCGTGGTTACGTTGTACCCGTCACTCGAGCTCTGACATGAGCAGTCAGCGGGGATGTTGATGTGATGTCTCCACTGTGGGGAGAGGTGAGAGGTCCCAGGCCACAAGGCAGGCCCACCCCGGCACCTGTCATCCCCCAAAACACAGCATGGAGAATCCAAACAAACAACACGCTTTGAAGGGACTGTGTAGACAAAGAGAATGGACCAAGACAAGTGAAAAAGTGTGAGAAATAAGAGTGATTACATTCAAAACAATTATTAAAGGGAGATGGAAATTGCCACAAGTGGGCAGTAAAGACTCTGGGGCAGTAACTCTATGCTCCACTGAGGTTCATGCTCAAACCTCCTCCAGCTCATCCATCTCTGTCAACACTTTTCCCTTCAAAGTACTCTACCACTTCCTTATCTCCTCCTCTCAGCGAACACACCATCATTCAATGATCTTCTGAGCCAATGAGTGGCCCACAGTCAGAGCAAAGACATCGATTTTTGTCAGTGAGCTGTCGAGGTTTAGGAGGTATTATGTGCCGGTCATGCATGCTTAGCAACGATAAAGCAGCAAGTCTGGATAAATAATCATTTCTAAAAATAAACATACAATTGGTTGCTGTTAAATCCGCAATTGTGGGCACGGTTTTAAAACACAGACCCTGATTGTAATGATTACAAACAATACAAAATTGACAGGTATAAAAATCCATGTTTTCATGCAATTATAAATATACATGAAAAATGAAAAGCACTCATGCCTTACAGCAAGAAGGTTATTTAACCCCCTGGCTGGACCAGGTCTCTCTGTGGAGAAATGTACTGTATTCATGTTTGCTGTGTTCGAATGGGTTTCTCCGAGGTCCATTTACCCCTCATCACATAAAACATGTCCCAGAGGGAAAAAGTCATGACCCAGCCGAAAATCTACATCTGGAGTCTCCCTGGGTGCTGCTGGTACCACTGCAGTGAAATAAACTTGTGACCGTGACTGCTGATTAAAATTGAAAGAAGCATTAATTAAAAGTGTCAAAACATAATAAATCCATGCTAAATCCAGTATTTTGTCTTGTGCCCCCACCCCCCATTTTGCACAAGCAACTGTCTTAGTGGTTTGGAGGGGTCCAATGGAGAGGCCACATTTCTCCGCGGGGGACAATAACGTGCACCATAATTACACAGTGTGGCTTAACATTATAGCATTTAAGTATTTAAACAATCTTCCTAGTACTGATACAAAAAAAAGAGCGACAAAGGGAGTTTGGCAGGGACAAGGGAGGGAAGTGTAAACCTGGTTTTATTGGCCAATTGAATGAACTTCGATTGGCCACTACCTTAAAGGATTTACAGGCCAATCTCCCCTCATCTCTGCGCTCACCGCCTGTCAGTTGTTATTGAGTTGTCATTAGCCCCATACTAATCCCCCCAGCGCTGGGCTCTAATTGAGAATCACAGGTCGACATGGTGCCTCTCTAAGCCTCCTCTTTGATGCCGTTGTGCTCCTTAGCCTCTCACATAGAGGCTCCTAATGAGGGAAACAGGTGAACCAGGGACAGGCATTACTCAAGAATGAGACATCGAGCAAAAGTAGAGCACTGTGGAGACAATGGTCGTAACAGAGAGTACAAGGGTTTACAGTGCAATACTATGTACAAAAATAAATAATTACAGCAGAAATAGCTTTTGTGAAATTCTATGATCTAAAGTTTAACACTCATATATAAACAAGCAGTATTTGTAATGTGTAATAATGCAGAACGCGTGACTCCAATTTGTCTATCTGTGGTTCCCAGTGGGACCTCGGAACCCCTGGGATGGTGCCGTCATGACCTGTCATTCAAATTCATTAAAACAAGCATTAACACAAAAAAATCCATAGTTTGCCCAGGGGATCACTAGATTGCTGCCAGTCAAGGAAAGGCAAAAGTAATGATATACGCACACCAGTAGCCGAGCAAAATGTCACATATAAAGTTGGCTAACAGAACCCAATTTATAAAAAAATCTGGATGATACAAGCATGATGGAACAATATATGTTTGTTCAGACTATTAATACAGAAGGGTCTGGAATATCGTCAAATTCTAGGCCTGAAGTAGAAATAAAATTGTGCCTTATCTGTTGTACAATGTTCCATATCAAACCAGTTTACATTACAGACATCAACCATACTACTGTAAAACCATTTCTATTCATATCTGCTGAACATGTGCTTTTAAGTTGTTGGAAAGACCAAACACAGCCTAAAGTATCAGGACAAAGTTACAGTGCCTTGCGAAAGTATTCGGCCCCCTTGAACCTTTCAACATTTTGCCACATTTCAGTCTTCAAACATAAAGATATAACATTTTAATTTTTTGTCATGAATCAACAACAAGTGGGACACAATCGTGAAGTGGAATGAAATTTATTGGATAATTTAAACTTTTTTAACAAATAAACTGAAAAGTGGGGCGTGCAATATTATTCGGCCCCTTTACTTTCAGTGCAGCAAACTCAGTCCAGAAGTTCAGTGAGGATCTTTGAATGATCCAATGTTGTCCTAAATGACTGATGATGATAAATAGAATGCACCTGTGTGTAATCAAGTCTCCGTATAAATGCACCTGCTCTTTGATAGTCTCAGGGTTCTGTTTAAAGCGCAGAGAGAACCATGAAGACAAAGGAACACACCAGGCAGGTCCGAGATACTGTTGTGGAGAAGTTTAAAGCCGGATTTGGATACAAAAAGATTTCCCAAGCTTTAAACATCTCAAGGAGCACTGTGCAAGCAATTATATTGAAATGGAAGGAGTATCAGACCACTGCAAATCTACCAAGACCCGGCCGTCCCTCCAAACTTTCATCTCAAACAAGGAGAAGACTGATCAGAGATGCAGCAAGAGGCCCATGATCACTCTGGATGAACTGCAGATACAACATACAGTATCTGCAGTGCCTTGCGAATACTTTCGCAAGGCACTGTATATAATCTATGAACTCAGATTAACATCATAAGCTTTGAGGCTGTTCCGCCAATGACGTGTTTGTTACCAAACTTATGCCAATTATCAAAATACTGCCTGTGCAGCCGATAAAGATGAAAATAACATAGAAAATAGATGTAGTCGTTGTACTTTCTACAGGTTAATATGAATCATTTTCACTTTGCATTTACAATAAACCCAAAACAGAAAGAAAATTGTGACAAAAATTAAATCGAATTTGTTTTTATGACCGGTTGTGTGGTCAACCCTACACCTCTGAAGCACCCTGAGGACCCCATACCGAGGGCTGTAAGTAACTAATATTAATATTTTGATTTTGGATTTTACTTCCATAATCTCTTTACAATTCTCTCCTGCATACATCTTGCCGGATCTTCCATCCAGGGTCCAAGTGCCCAACCATATTGATAATTAACGGAATCAAATGCACATCTTTTGATAACAAGTCAAGTTACAAGTGTCTAACCAATAATGCAGTGTACCGTCGTCTGCATGGCCCAAGCAACATTCTTTTCATTACATCACAGTTCTCACCCATGCCTCAGTATTTGGATTTCAGCGCACACACGAGCACATTCCACTAGTAGCGAGAAACAACAGACCCAATATTATTACAGCCAAGACCTTTGGAGAGACCAAAATTAAACCGGCAAAAAGTTCAGAGGCAGGACAGACTAAACAAAACCCACGTCTCTTGATCTTGTCTCTAATACAGCAGTGGCGTTTGGGGTTAAGTCCACAAGGTCAAAGCACAGACAGGCAAGAGAAAATGTTCCGAAACACGTTTACAAGTTTACAATCACACGCTGTTTATTAATGCAAACGGTTGTAAGCGAGGACGGAACGAGAAGAACGGGATAACACCACTTTGCTGTAGATGTAGTTTGTGAGAGAGGGTTTGGAGAATAAGGATGACCAGAATGTCAAATATTCATTTTGTAAATACATCAAAATGCACACATGACACAGATTAGATTGTCATGCTTCTTGTCATTTTGAAATTTAATACAAATATAATTATAAAAGACAAGAATCTTTCCCGACTTGGGGACACACTATGTATCACAATGAAGTAATTCTCTTAGTATATAAATTGGCCTATAGTCAACGGGTCGAGAACTCAATTTTTCGCATATTGTGTACTTACAATACAATACTGCAGGGGCAAGGTCAGTTATTTTAGGATCAAAAAACAACATAATATGAGCAGCACATTCTCCTTAATGAGAGTATAGGCACACTGGAATATTCCCCAAACGGTTGATTATAGCTGCCTTGTTTCTCAAAGTCAAGGATTCTAAACATTAAAATACAGATAAATAAATGTTTGCTTCAAAAATAAAAGAAACCGTTCACAACGCAATCACAAGGCTATATTTGAGCTCAGGGGAAACAGGATCAAACCAGGCCAAGAGCTGGGCCCACTGAAGAGCCACATCGCCATCTGCTGGTCATCTTCAGAACGCAGGGAGACTATACGCTGGAAACGTGGTGGGTAATAACTTGGTGATTGCTGATTGTGAAACTTGTTCTGTGGTTCAAAGACAATGAATAGGGAAAAATCTGGGGGATTCAAAACAAAATAATAGTTTTTTCACTTAATTGACATAATAGCCAACAAATAATATATAAGTAGAAGTTTATAACATTGAACTTACCTTGAAGAAGACATGATAAAGGAGAGAAATGTTTCTAACAAGACCATGACATTAACTGAAACAATATAATACAATCCATCTATAGTTCCTCGCTATCAAAGCAGTCGAATTCTAGCAATACCTTTAAAATGCGTCAATATTCAGCCTCACTCAACAAATCAGCTCTCATCCCAAAGGGTCAAATATTGAATCACAGGGCTATTTCTAACAAGTATGCAAAAGATAACATGTTTTCTGAGATGAAGAGAAAGTTGTGGTCCAATATGTTGACAGAACTTCACAAGTCACTCACAAAATGCATTATTAACATGAAAATAAAAATGAGCCGGCCCAGCTTTAATAGAGAATGCCCTTTATAGAACATGTTAGCATTCTCCTTCTTCTCATTAGGGTAAATGTATGTTCAGTTGTATTATAATGCTTACGCCGTTTGAAAGATTATCAACAAGTGGCCACACAATGTACAGTAGGTCAGGCAAAGGCTGGCTGGTATTTACC